GACGAACCTGGCTTAGTGCACGGCTGACCTCTTTTCAATAGGGGCCAGATTAGCTTGCAGCGGTGCTGTGTGGCTCATCGCTGCGGTGGTGGAGCGCTTTTGTCCCCGGTGGTAATCCGCTCGCTCTCAATGCCCCAAACCCTGGTATACGGTTTCAAAACAAGGCTGGATTATCACCACTTTTGAGAATGAAAAATGTCAGTAATGCCGGTGGAAAAGGGTTCTAAAAAAAAAAGCTTTAAAAATTGTTGGAAAACAGTGCTCTCACAAATTTCAACATTGTTGCTATCTTTCACAATCAGCCAGCAAAAAAAATTTTACTTTTCAGTATCAACAGAACCTCTGTGACATTCGTTGTATTTGTTACCTGGAAGTAAAGGTCAAGTGTTTCCATTGGATTTACTCCCTCTGGAAAGCATCCATATTCTTGCAGGAGGTAACAGAGTGCATAGTTTCTATTTCCTGATTCCTTCTCTGACAGAAATCTGCAAATGAGAAAGGAAAAGGTCTTCTAATCCAAAGCCTTCATGATCCTTTGAATTCTGCTGATGGATTTGGCAGATTTTGTAGGATTGAGAAAGGTAAGAGTCCAGCTACTATTACTCAGCGAGGGGTTTAATTTCACTCAAAAGTTGTTGTACAAGACAGTGTGCTGTTGGTTCCTTTAAAGTCTAGGATTTTGGAGGATTAAAAATTTTTTAGCAAAATACATATAAAGTTAGTTTTAAGAAACATTGCCCAGAAAATAGCAGGTAATCTGAGTTTTGCGTTCTCAGTGAGTTTTTGAATATGGTGGTGGATTTCTCGACTAACGTTGCATTGCTGAATCCCACAAACTCGCCACCCGCCATCTCTTTGAAGCGTTGCATGATGTCATCAAAACGATCGGCCATGTTGCGGCTTTGCTGCAAATAAATAACATCATTAAATTATTCAGATTTGGCAGTAGTGACACAATACCAGTATTCGACAAATAGTAATATACCACTGGCTGATGAAGGCATGGGGGATTGTGGGTAATATGCACCTATTGGCGACTTGGGGTTTTCTGGTTTTGACTCCAAATTTTGATGACCAAGAAACAACTCACACTCAGAAGTGACAGCACCAACACAGCACCAGAGTTGTTCATGGGATTGTGAGGCTTGTCTGGAATGGAACGCAAAAGCATTGGGAAAGTGAATTGGAAAATGTAAACGACAGTATTTACATGTACATGTAGTAATCAAAATACCATCAATTTTCATTTGAACGGGTACAATGCCACAGTAAGTTTATATAAGAAGAAGTCACATGAGCATGGCAGGAAAGGAGAGTGAATGGTGGACGGCTGGTGACTATTTCGCATTTTTGCTGAAGTGAAAGGTATGCACACAGGTGGTTGTGCACTGCGACTCACTCAAATCGTTGAGGCACAAGTCATTGAAGGGCCGGCCGCTAGGCTCATGGCCCACAAAATGGTGGACGTAGTTGGCACCGTGGCGAGTCAGCACCTCAGCATAGATGGGCGCCTTGCTGCAGGACTGAAGGGAGAAAGGCACGGTGGTATTGCCAACGGAATGCCGCTGGCCATCGATAGTGCAGAGGGCCACGCCCCAGTGGTTCGGGTTCTGACGAGCAAGCTGGGGAATGTAAGTTGCCAGCTATGGACAAATAGAAAAGGCAATACTGAAAGACATGTCAATTTACCCTAGAATTCAGCCTAGAATATGAACTGCAAATTGATTACTCAAAACTATTTATCCATTCTGAAATGGGTCATTCTGTGAGGTTGGGGCACAATTTGTTATGGTGTCCTTATTACATGGGTAACTTTCACCACCTTTCATGACCTGTGGAGTAGGTCATTTACACTGAAAAATAACACTTACCTTTGTACATGCATTCAGCCTTGCAAGATGTATAACAATGTCAATTTGGAATCCACATGCAGGGAAATAGCTGTTCATTTTTACAGAACTCACATAACAATGAACACGGTCACAAATTGTGCCCCAACTTCTTGGAATGACCCACATCTAAACCAATCAAAGTCCTTGCATGTTTAGGCAATCAGCCAATCTGCATAATGGCTCGAACAATGTACGACTGGTTCATTCTCAATGAAATTTCCAATTTTTAGGTCCCTTGTCTGAAACAATCTTCTAACTCTGTGAACTAGAAAGAAAAACGAATTAGCAACAAAAACTGGGCGACCTCGCATATCAAGGATTGCGTACTTCAACCCCAGAAGTAAGACCTTTGTAATGACCTTTGACCTTACCTCTCCACTGGTGTTCATCTTGATCTCCTCGTACAGTCTGTCCACCTGAGCAGTAAAGTGTGGGAAATCTGGCAAGATGAACATGTTGCGTAGAGCGCGACCGATCAGGACGATATTTGACGATATACATCTGTATCAACCAGACAAAAACAGAAAATGCATTAGTTCTTAACATCACAAAGACTTTTCCTCTTCCTGAAAAGGAGAGTAGATTTAGATAGGCTTCATCTACAAACAACACAGCAGTTTATCATAAGTTCCTTCAAAAGTCCAGTTTCAAGTCTGTTCACGACACCAGTCATTAGTCACAGGGTGAGTGTGACAAAGGAGTTCTTCCATCAAAGTTCATTTGAATATGATGGACAATGGGGCCAAAATGCACAAGATGTTCTTTGAGGTCGTCACAGTTCACTTACTCTTGAAAGTCTTTCCGTTCAAGAATAGTGTCGCTGAGGTTGTCGGGATACTGTTGGGTGAATTTGTCCTGGATTTTCTGCAGGGACTCCTGGAGGCGAGGATCTGTTTGCCGTAGCCCCTTGGAAGCTAAAACCTGATTCAGAAAACATTTCAAATACCAAGTCAATTTTCAAGCCTGCATTTTTCTTATCAGACAGCATCTGCAGCCCCTTGGTGGAACGCAGAAGACAAAGTTTCCAGCAAAAAATACTATGGCTTAGAGGGATATGTTGCAAACTTCAGCATCGCCAACACCATGTACTGAGCAGGTTATGAAGAATGAAGAATTTGAACCAATTCCATATACATGTATGGACGCCACTAATTTTTCCCTGAGACCTCTTAGCCACCTGAAAGCAATACAATGCTCTAAAAGGTCAAATTTAGTGATGAAAATGTTGAGGTGTCAATTAAGAAAACATTTAGAAGTTTTCAGACAAGTCTCACAGGGTTTCTGCACAGGGTGTCAAGCGGCATCCTTGTATGGGATTAAATCAAAGAATTCAATTCTATTTTTAAACAACTTTTCCCACTTACGGCAAAGAAGTCTCTGAGTGCAACCTTCTTCTCTTCATTGCTCAAGATATGGAACACTAGATCCTCCAGGCTAATAAGACTGTAAACACATGACAAACATTACAAAAAAAAAACAAAAACAAACCAAATGAAGGGCAGTGATTGATTGATTCAGAATACCATCAGAAAGGAGTTCTGTCTATGAACATTACAAATTTTCCCCCGTAGTTAGTTTATCAGCCATCAGAAAGGGAAAATACTGAAGCATTTTCCTATATTTAGAAAGCACTAGAGGGTTTGAGCATGGGATGTCAAGTGATGTCTGTGTATGGATCAAAAGCAAATATCTTCATTATGTCAGTAGGGAAATCAACAGGTCGGTATGAGTCCAACTCATACATGTATCTTTAACCTCTCCGTCACATGTGGGAGATATCCCAAAGCTCTGGTGACACCAATTCCCACATATCCCAAGGGAGAAGACAAATGTAGTACAAGCAGTTATTGTCCCATCTCCATTCTGTCAATCATGATCAGCCAATTGTCTCTAACATTTTGGAAAGGTGGATGCTCTTGTCAGTATACACTTACCTTGAAGAAAATAACCTCATTCCTAGTTGCCAGTCAGGATTTAGACCCTGGCAGTCAACTGAAATCACCCTACACGATTTGACAAATAGGTGTTTCCAGGCTATGGAGCATGGAGAAGTTACAGGTAGTGTATTTATAGATCTCAGTAAAGCATTTGATCGTGTTGACTNTGCTTGGGAGTTATTATTAATGAAACACTAAGTTGGGGCCCACATGTTGATTATGTAAGAAAAACAGTCTCACCTAAATTAGGTACATGTATGTTAAACAGAATCCGGAACTATGTCAGGCAAAGTAGCCTGCACACACTTTTCATTAGCTTAGTTATGCCAACTTTACAATACTTTTGCATAGTACGGGGAGAAAGATACAGTACATATCCCAGGATACCATTCTTCACAAATGTCTAAAAAGAGCTGCACGGATAATCCTCAAATGTACTTCTCTCATCCCCGCATCAAATATGTTTACTAAACTGAACTGGGTGCCATCTTCCGAGAGAGTTAGATCTAAAAAGACTGTTCTCGTTTTTAAATGTCTAAACAAATTGACTCCTACATGTATGTACATGTATATGACAAATCTGTTTATGCCATTCACACAGGTTCGTGAAACAAGATTTTCATTTAAAAAGGCACTTAAAATACCTTTAGCCAAAAAAGAATGCTACGCTCAAAGTTTTGCGGTGAGAGGTGCAAAAACATGGAACAATTTGCCAGAGCAACTCAGACGTATAGACTCCTTAGAGGCATTCAACTCAGAACTACAGAAAGCCATGACCAGTGCCAGTAGTCCAAAATGCTGGTACAGAGTTGTAAACTTGGTTGCCAATGTTCATTGGAGCCGGGTCGGGCATTTCCCCACGTTTTTTTTTTCCCAGAGAGTTTTTTTGCGGGGTTTTCGCCCATCCCGTGATCAGTATTTAATCAATGCCTTGATTATTCAAATGTTCACATGTTTTAGTGGTTTGTGTTTGTAAATATTGATGTGTATTGTATTTGTCCAATTTTACTTTTCGTTCTGAGTTTCTAACTATTTTATTAACTTGTTATGATCGCAGGGCCCCCATGGAAACCAGTTTGTAACTATTTGGGCATACCCTGGGAAAAGAAATGGAATAAATAAATAAACTCTTTCCTACTTGCATGTAACTGCAGTATGAAGTAAAAAGTTGGCTGTGGTTTTCCTCAAAGCAAAGTTACTTCCTTTCTGAAACATTTCGAGGGTACCAAGACAAAGAACGTACATGTATGTAGGCCAAAAAGCAAATATCAGTCATCAGAGAAAGTTCTGAATTATTCACCGTACGTGTTTCCCAATTGTGAATTCTATCAAGCGCGGTCCTTGATGCATGGTTTTCGGCATTTGAGCGAGATCGCAGTTAACAACAACTTCGTATTCAAGCACTAGGTTCGAAATTGCGTATTGAGCTGAGATGTCGCTCAATTTAACGACTTTGTCGCGATCGTTAAATAAAAGGGTAAAAGTCAAAGGTTTTTTCAAAACTGAAGGTAAAATCAGCATGTAATCAATCAACATTTCAATGTCCAGAGGAATTGCATATCGGTAACCAAAAGCGTCTGTGATGGGCTTTGTCTTTCCCGTTGTTGGCTTGCTCATTTGCGTCGCTCGCACCGAGTCTGAGCTTAGCAACATTTTCTCTTTTTCAACAGCCATTTCTCTAATCAAGTTCCTCACTAAATTGTTATAGATCATTTGGTTGTCGTCTGATGGCGAGTACTACAATGATGGTCGGTGGAGCGCTGGTCAATGCATTGACGTTTATGGGGAGTGCTTTTTTGTTTAGTTTGATTGGTAAAAATCAGGTCGACGAAGAATGCAAGAGACACGATCTGGTGATAGAACATTCAGCCAAAGCCAAAAAAGAATGGGTAGAACATCACACCCGACTTTTATACCTTTTGAACAGTGAATTCAACAAATAAGAGCATCAGAGCAAACATTTTAAAAAGTAGAGGAAGCATTGATGTTGTATAGCCAAATCACGGGCACCAACCAAATGGATCTACTGCCAGAACCTGTATTGGTCAATTTTTACAAACCAAGTGATGATCAAAAAGAAAGAGAAAGAGAGTGTTTGTGTTGGGTGTTTGTGTTGGGTATAAGTATAGCGTTATTGGTAATAGGTATTGATAAAACTTTTTACATCTTTTTTTTAAAATAACGATGGAATTGAATCAAAGCGAGAAAAGGAGCAAAGTGAGCAAAGAAAAGTCAAAGTTGAAAGAAGTCTATTACATGTACAGTCCTAAAGGTTAATATTGGAAAGGACACGCAGCTGTTGAAAGTCTGCACAAAAAAACGGCATCAACAAGAGTGTCATAAGAGCCTTGTTAAAAAAAAAAAACAAGCCATTTGGCAAATTTATCTGCCCGCCCCTGGGTATATACCCAGACTGAGTACTTACAATCAGAGTTTGTGACACCTACAGAAACGACACGCATCAAATGGACATGAACACTGTATTTACCTTGGGAACGGATTCCAAAAGGACCAAGGGGTAAAACTTTCAAATGTATGCATTAATGGTAGTCAACGTGGCTTCAAGATATAAAAAAGCCGAACCTTTGACAAGAAAAACAGCCAAACAAGTGACCGACGCCATAAAACAAATTTATAACAGGTCTCCTTTGACGTGGCCAAAAAAGCTTAACGTAGACTCTGGATGGGAATTTAAAGGCGAGTTTTGAAAAATATTTGTAAAAAATGGGGTGAAGGTGCAAGTGGGTGGACGGAGTACATTGATCGCAAGGGATCGTACAGTAGAACGGTTTAACAGAACGTTGGTCAAGCATTTGTTTGAATACCAGTACGCGTGAGAAACATTAAAGGTGAACGAAACGTGGAATGGGTGGAGCGTCTGCTCCAGGTCGCGAAATCGCTAAACGAAGAAAAGACCCGGTTGATCCATAACCCATTGATCCGTGACGAGTGAGACAATAACTGGTTCCTGTAGAAGCTGTGAAGCTTAACGAGTGGAACAGTTGCCTGCTGCTTCTCAGAAAAGCAAGTGGAGCAAAGCAAACAAGCGGTCAGAACTTCCTCCAGCAGCTTTAGTCCGATACATGTACTTGTATTACTCAGGTGAACAAGAAGGCCGCACTGATCTGGAGCGTGGACGTGTATCAAATCGAAAAACGCACGAGTCAGTTCAAACAAATCAGCGGTAAAAAGGTGACAATGGGACCAACACTCTATTACTTGCTCCCAGGCTTGGGTGGGGGATCCAATCGTTCTTTTGTGAGAAAAGAGCTTCAAGTGGTACCCGAAGACACTGCGTTACCACCGGCTCGGTAATGACTGCAGGCCAAAGTGTCGATGCCGTTGTCAGGGACAGGCTCAATTTGTTTTGAACGATGGTATAAATCATGTTCTCATGATGTTGTTTCTTACAAACATGCTTGTGATCAAACAACATTTCTTTGTAAGCTTCGTGTCGCAGTTGTCTTCTAGTAAGACTTTGGCTACCCCTTTGGCTTTTTTGAGTTTTGAGCTACATGTACCGGTATCTTCGGGGTAGTCGGGGTATCTGAGACACTAGGGTGGGAAAGTCTACATTTGTAAAACTTGAACCATCTGATTCTTTGTATGTGGTTGTTATATCTTTGTGTAATTTGTCATTTGGATTGGTTACAAGCTGATGTTTGACTTTGTCTCTTACGAGTCCTTAGCCACTCTCAAAGCCCAGCATATGCATCGCTGATCTTTGTTTTTCACGTTGATGATCGCTTTTTTGTCTGCTAACTTTTAGAGGAGTGGTACATATTTCCTCTCAACGGTTCATAATGGCCCACGTTGGTATAAAATGCAACGACTTTATAAAATACCCACCATGACCCCTTTTATTATGTTTCTCTACTTTCTACATGTCAATATTTGTTGTTTTTGTTCTTCTAACGCATTCTTGAGATCTTGTTTGTTAAAGACCATGATATTTCTAGAAATAAAGATAAAAATACCCTCTTTGATTTCTCGTTGATCTGGTTTTCCATTATAAACTGAATTTTGATCGCCGTTATTAGCTTACATGTACATGTATGTGCATAAGCTCTTATTTCTCATAATGCAGACAAAGCTTTCGCTTCGATGCTTCTTTTGTAAAATTAAAAAAGTGTACTATCGTTTTTAAAGAAACGCGTCTGCAATTCCCAATTTCTATGATTTCCTTGAAGTCATCAGATTCTTCGAAAGTCTATATCTACAAATGTTTCTGGTCGGGTGTAATTTTGGATTGCTGTAATGAGATCTTTTCGTAAAACGTGACCCAGTCGATCCATAAAGTAGCAGTAAATTCTAATCAATTGTTTTCTGCTATTTCTAAAAGTTGATGATACAATTTGTGTTGTACAGTGTACATGTAGGTTTTTAAATTGACGTTGGCTCGCTTGGATCGCACGTTTGAGTTCTCTTTTTACATGTCGACGACCTCGAGGTGGCGGTAGGTGTACGTTATAAGGGTCAATGTAGTTCAAAAAATTGATTTTCTGATGGGATTAAAATTAGAAAGCATGGGCCAAGCTCGTGGTCTGCCCTCTTGATTATTTGTTCTGGCATCTTGATTATTTGGTCTGTCCACGTACATGTACATGTATGCTTTTTGTTTTACAACTTTATATAATATGTTAAAATAAATTTGGGTTAATTTTTGTTCGGTTTAAAGAGTTAGCTTACCGGCAGATTTTACATTGTGACATATATTTTTTTGGGTTCACAAGAGAGATCTTGAGGGATATACATGTAGCCTTTGACATTTTGCGCTATTTCTTTGGTGTGTGGCCTACATTTCCAGCAATGATATTTAAATGTCCCATGTTCACAGGTGTTCCATTTTTTATTACATGTACGTGTATTGCGTCCTAAACTACTGTTAGTAAACATTTTATCGGTTTTAAATTTTAATTCCTTTAACTCTGCCAACAGTTTTTCTTTGAAGCAAGTGTTACAGTTCTTGGTTTCCATATTTGATGAGTGTTGCAAATCTGTTTTAAGATATATCAATATTTTTTCATTTTTTTAAACAAGGGCACACGCGTGTGTGTGGGAAGCGGGGAGAAAAAGCGTGAGGGGAAGCGGGGCGAAGGGGAGCGACGGTGGGTGGGAAGGGGCCTCTGGGTCGGGGTAGGTGCCCTACAGGGCCTTTGGCGTTGGTGAGGAGGCCAGGGTGGTGACCGGGGTGACTTCAGTGCCCCTTGAGACCCTGAATGCTCTTTGGTGCAGAGACAGAGGTACACGTACCCGGTAGATGGTTTGGGGTTTGGGTTTGGGATTTTGTCATTTATTTAGGGTCAGGTAATATTTGGTGAGTTCAGACCCAAGGAAAACAGTGGTCCTGAACTCTCCAAATGCAGCTACTCCTTGGATAGGAAAAATAACATGCAAAATTTTTAGAATTTGTAACATTTTTTCGTTTACTTACATAAAATCAAACTTGAAAAAAGGCCTCTGGAAAATAGTTGCTAGCATTTGAATTCATTTATAGAAACTGAAAAATTATCTAACATTACTTAAAGAGAAATAGGACTATCCTGCCAAAAATTGACACATTACTTCCAAAAATCTAAACATGATAAAATATATGTACATGAAAAACTGTGCAATTTGGCAGTCTTGTATGCAGATGAGTATTTAAAGAATAAAACCTTATGGTAGTCCGTCGGTAAAAGCGAAAAATAAAAACAGATCAAATGTTTTTGCAAACTGTTTTAATTTTACAGGGTAATACACTTAAAGCAATATCTATGTACTTCTATGAAATTTTCTAATATTTTATCTAACCTTTGCTGACAAGAACTGCGTCTTGTCAACTCAACGGGATCTAAAACCCATCGACTGCAGGTACATGTAAATATGATATATACATGTAGGTAAATCTTTGCAAAGTTGTACAACTCGTTTTCAAGTAAGCATGGGTGTGAAAACAAATGTGCATTCATGAACAAGGCAGCCTAGGACTCGGAATGAAATTGCCGGACGTGAAAGGCCTTTTAGTTCAATGAAATTCATTTTTTACCCATCTCCAGGTGACTTTTACTAAATATTACATGAAGAAGACAAAGGTAAAATTCCAACGTGAGAGTTTCAGGGGGTAGTTTCACTCAGTTAGGAATCATTCATCCAAAAAGTATTGAATATGATGGGCCAGCCCGTTAATAGCTCGGCTGCATGAGGGTTTCGGAAGCTTGCTGCATGACCTTTTACCCTCAGGCTCTACTACGTCATTCAGCTGTCTTAACCATGTTAACTCGTCAGTCACAATTAGGCTAAGCCCTTATTATTTATGAATCGTGAGGATCATGACGATCATGAATTGATGATGATTAATCACTAATTTTCCGAATTTTTATCCTGAATTCTTCAAGTTCTTACCCATCATGCCCATCACCGTTACTTTCCGGCACTGTGTCTTCAGTTTTCTTGCCTTCGTCATCATCCTTGCAATGCTGCCGTGAAAAGTGAGTCGTGTGAGTCCATCTCGTGCTCTGCAGACAACTAAGCCAGGGCTCAACCAACAAGCAGCGGGTTTCAAGGCGCGGGTAAGGCGACAACGCGGCCCTCTGTAAAACACTGTGGCTTCCTGAAAGAACGTGTCGACTCGGAATGCCGTGGAAATTACGGCAGTTTACTGGAAGACAGCAATTGAAAACTGCTGCCCAACGAGATGTGAACCGTGCCATAGTTGTGCATCCATTAAAGCAGGCGATCTCCAAGATTTAACTCGCAAACTTCGTCATTTTTTATTGCAAAAATTTTATATCGAACGGTCAAAAACCCTAAAACCGTAAGATTCTCAGAGCGCCACCAAGTGATGCTCTTTAGTAATTTTAGTATGGTACCAAGAGCCCCCCCGTCCCTCATTTTCTGCAGATTCTGCAAACTGGGAACCGAACCCCTGGACGTACTGCTTCTGCCACGCGGCAAGAACACGATATGCGATCGGATGCCATGGGTTGTTGCATCAGCACCGGTTGAATGACACTGACTATGAGTGACAGATCGATCATGAACAGATGCTGAATGAGGCGTCATTAGTAAGGCCTTGAGTGTATGTTTCTCTTACGTTTAATCGTAACTTGCGAAGTCGACATCAATTTAGTTTAATTCGTTCAAAATCTCGTTTTTTAAGTGTGTGTAGGTTGTCATGGTTGTTGGTATGGTGGTAGGCCTAGCTAGGCCTTTCCCAAACAGTAAGGTTTATACAAACCTTGTAATGAACTTGTAATAGGCCTAAACCTTACACTTCTTTTCCTACCTCCACAGTTTACAATTCTGGAAGTAGGTTATGTTGTTAAATTTAATATCATACTAATTACCGTCAACATACCGTCAACACGCAATGGACCGTCAACACACAGTCAACACACATATACATGATGGGGCTGAGGCATCTTTGTTGTGTTCCCAGCAATTTAAAAATATGACATTACTCGACCAAAAAATTCAGAATATGTTGCTGTTGGCCACATGTACACTGTATTGCCAAGTTCACATTCTGAAATTTAAAAGTTAAGAATAAATATATGTTTTGTCTAGCGTCAATCATGATGATGGTATTGTCATCACGTCTTTTATTTTGCAAGTTAGTATGAAAACAGACTTGACGATAGGTGGTGGAATTGGGGACCTGGCGTTGCTGGTGACTATAGTGTAATTGATGTTAGACGTGCGTGGATATATGTTCTTGGAAAGTGTGCAAATTGAAAATTTTCCACAACTAGCGCAATTTTACTTGCACAATTTTTATTTAGTTTGTGCATATAATTTAATCTGCATGGATAGCGTTGAGCTCAATATTTGAACGTGCACAATTTTTGTGCCTCAAACTCTGGACGGTTCTTAAACGGAGTCATGATGGTTAGCGTTCTACCCGGTGGGGAATCTGGGATGGATGTCGTGTACTTAGACCAGTTCCCATTCCCTTACAAGCATTGATCTCCATTATAAAGAAGATAAATGCAAGGTTGTCTCGAGCTGTCTGAGCAACTATTAAGCAGTTGCCTTGAGTAAAGGCTAGCATTCCTAAACAAACGACATGTAGAAGTTTTCGGGGTCATTTCAAAATCCTTTACCCTGATTGTTATTTGTTTTGTCTGGGATCCAACTTGTACATGGGTATTGCAGATTTGTTTTTTCTACTTATTTGGCTCTATAAGGAAAAATCACTTTGCACATTGTCAAAGAGCCTGTCCAGAGACACAGTTTACCATAGTTCCAATTCCACTCTGTGTGACACATCAACACAGAAAATATTTAAGTGCTGTTGCTAATTCTTAACACTAGACTTGGTCTTGTAATGGACTCATACAAATCACTCATAATTCCTTTCCAGCACCAGGCTGTCAAATGTCATGGCCTGCAGACATACCGGTAATGGATGGTACCAGTATGGCATATTTTTAGACTGTATTTATCAAAATTTAATTTGGTTTGGAAAGATGAAGAGTCTTCTCTCTGAATTACATTTGAAAATAACCTAGTGAAATGCCAACATTATAAAGAAATATCTCGAAAAAAAATTGTGACTTTTTTCTTCTCTGACAAACTTTTGAAAATTTATTTGTTATTTTGAAATTGCTTCTAGTGTCGTTACTTGAAATATTGTGATAAAAATGATGCGTACATGCACATGTATACATTATGGTTCACTCACCCATTGTTTCATGCATAACATGCATTCATATAGCTTGTTTCTTTCCAACTCCATGAGAATGTTGAAAAGGACTTCTAGTCTGATCATGCTGATAGGGCCTAGTGGACCAAATTTATCATGTTTATTGCATGGGACTGATACATGTACTGTACATGCATTTGTTTGAGCACAGCCAAGGCCCAAGCATTTCAAAAGTCTTCCATTACGCATTCTCCTGTCTTGCATGTCTGCATGATTGACAAACACAAAGTACATGTACAGGGTAATTTAAGTGCATGTACCCTCACCTTAAAAAAATGCAAAGGGCTTTGTACCAGGTAACCAGCATACCTGTACATAATACAAACAGCAGCACCGCTCTGCAAGGGTCACTTGCTGAGAGTTGGTTCTTGGACTTCAACAAGAGAAAAAAATTGGCATGAACTTCTCGCAAAAAAAATGACACATTTGTGTTACAAATTCATTCTGAACTTTTAAATTTTAGACTGCGAACTGGGCGATCTATTGCCTAACTTTAATATTCTGAATGTCTCGGTTGAGCAATGCCATATTTTAATATTGCTGGCCGAAAAAAGTCTGGAAGGTTAACTCATGATTATTCCTTTCAGATCCGTTCTGCTTGTGTTGTGCCAGATGATATTAAAAAAGAAGGAAACCAAAAAAAGTTGTTTTTTTTTAAAAATAACATTTTTTTTTCAAGAATAACATTTTTTTTTCAAGAATACTCCATGCTTCTCCAAAATCACCTTGCACAGGACAGGTGCAGTTTCTTTTGGGAGTTTTTGCCATGCACAACAAATCAGACCATTGAAAGCTTTGCAAAAAACCAGATGGTTCATTTACATGTATTATTTCTTTTGTAAGGTTCAAGCCACAAAAATGCAAATCTCTGACTGATACATCGTACCAGTTATGACCTGTGATACCAGGCAGGTGTGTGCGAAAACTACAGGTGTGCCAGTCACATAAATTGCTGGTCATTTATCAGTATTGCATGTGAATTTGTACCCATCTGCAGTTTTCTCACATTTAGTGTTACATTTACATATCTTCCTGCTTCACTTAATTAAAATTACAGCTTTAGTTTAATTTTGCAGGTTTTTTCACCAGGAGGATCATATAAACCCAGATTTTCAGAAGCCTGCCGACAGAGTTAGTGGTGTGCTATGACAGTTTGGATACCATCAGCTTCTTATCTTACTAGTAGTTCCACTACCTAGACGAGATTGCAACAAAGAAGTTAAGAAGTCTATTCAGGTAATGAGTTTGGTTTAAGATTGTATGATGCTCATATTGTAGGGAAGAAAAGGAGTACAAGAATCTTACGGTTGTAATTATTCAATTGTCAAGTTGCTAGGTGACAGTTTTGAAATTTCCTCCTGCAATTCTGGGTGGAGAGTGGAACTCACTGCTTGGTCACACTGGTCCATTTTCTGAAACCTTGGTTGATTGTAAGCTTCAACTGAAGGCCTGGCTCCAGCTTTGTAAATCTTTAACAGTCTACACCTGAGAAAACAGCCTCCAAGTCGTATCTGTAAATGACACATCCAGGTCCTAAATTCCATCACGGTTTGATTTTAGGCAACTCCGTTCTTTATTATCAAGGGTAAGTCTGATAGTGAGTTACTTGTAGTTTGGAAAAGTCTCAAGACCTGAAGAGCAGTAGTTTTTTAAAGCCTGTTGACTGGTATTAAACATTTGTATTGGCAAGTCCTTTTTCAGACCTTTCCACAAGCTCTTTCAAGAGACCATCCGTAAGTGTATGTGGTGAGCAGTGACAAAGGAATGCTTTTGTCACAGTTTGAAAAGCTTGTGACTTGGCTGAAGCCTGCATGTACCTGCCAACTGTTCCAATTTAATAGGAACTACTCTGATTTTCAAGTTTTCAAAGGCCTGAAAATCAAATGTTCTGATTGTCCGATTTTGGGGGGAGGAGAAGAATGAATTATGAAGAAATTCTTGCAAATTACTGCACAATGTTTGGGAAGTTTGCAGACACAACATCATCACACAACATGCATTGCGTGCTCTGAAGGGTTTATCTTTGCTGGTTGTGCCCAAATCTCGTGGCTGTGGCTTCAAATCACACGTGGCTGTTCGACTGTATGGGAAGTGGGTTCAGTCACAACCATGGATTCTTGTGTAATTTCCAGCCTCAGCCAAGTACATGTAATACAGATGTGGCCCTTGTGAAGGAAGCACAGACACCAAAAGCATTGTGGGGAGCTGACTACCCTGATCAGAAAGTGGGAGGGCCACAGTACCCATTTAGTCAAAATTCAACAAGGTACACATGTAAGTGCAGGCTGACAGTACCCATTCAGTCAAAATGCAACAAGATACACGTGTAAGTGCAGGCCGACAGTACCTATTCAGTCAAAATTCAACAGGGTAAGTGCAGGCCGACAGTACCCATTCAGTCAAAATGCAACAGTGTAGGTGCAGGCCGACAGTGCCCATTCAGTCAAAATTCAACAGGGTACACATGTAAGTGCAGGATGACAGTACCCATTCAGTCAAAATGCAACAAGATACACATGTAAGTGCAGGCTGACAGTGCCCATTCAGTCAAAATTCAACAGGGTAAGTGCAGGCCGACAGTGCCCATTCAATCAAAATTCAACAGGGTACACATGTAAGTGCAGGCCGACAGTACCCATTCAGTCAAAATTCAACAAGGTACACATGTAAGTGCAGGCCGACAGTACCCATTCAGTCAAAATTCAACAGGGTAAGTGCAGGCCGACAGTCCCTTTTTAGACCAAATCCGACAAGTCCTTTTTTCACTGATTTCAGAAACGCTCATTATATATAAATAATATGCCAGTGATCCCAAAATGTCGAGGGGAGATACGGCTGTAAACAGGGTGCATCTTTACACGCAAGTCTCGAGAATAAGAATAATGAAATTGGAAAGTGTGATTCAAGACTACATCATTGTACATTGTAAATATATACAGTGTAGTTTAATTTTGTGAAAGAAAAATTGTTTCTGTTGTCAGTTCTTTCAGTCTGGAACTTTTAAGTTGGTTAAACTGGGGTCATCACTCTACAAAAAAAAAACCAAACAGAAACTTGCAGTTAAATGGTGACATGATGCAAGTGGAAGCTTGTCAATCCACTGTGGAAATTGAAGAAATAGCATTATGCATCAAAGAACTCAACCTTTGTTCTTGCCTTGTGTGGGCGTCAGCAACCCTGACTCAATGGGCTGTGTGCCCAGTCCTTTCAACCAACAAGGAGTGGCAAGGTCATGTACTGTACTAGTGTATGGGGAAACGAGGTTGGACATTAGGGACAAGAAAGTGGAAGTGAATAATGTGATGGTGCTATTGATATCTTTGTATCATTTATATTTGATTTCATCCGTAAAGCAGGCCCTGTTATTCTGCATTTTGTCATTTACTATGACTTTAAAGCATTTTGTTTTTCATCTTTTTGACATGCACGGTTCAAATAATAATGGAAAAGGGAAAATAAATGTGTTGCCACTTGTGCGTAAAGTCTGTCTACAGTATGACCAATCCGCCATGTTGTATTTGGAAACGTGTTTTGCATCGTGATGTGACCGAGGAACGTGATGCGATGTGAGCGTGAGCGTACATGTATGATCAAATTATGAATCAAGGAGACGCATGACCTAAAATCAGCAAGCAGAGTTCAGTAATTTCGGGGAGCAATTGGTATTTTGCTGATACTATCGGATGGTGTGTTTGAATTTGTAATAAATTCATACATGGACATCCATGTTTGCTTTCCCTGTGATCCTTGTGCAACTGTGTGCTGGTTTTCAGTCATGTTATATTTCACATCTGTAATTTCATTCAATGCAAATGTGTTCATTGTGGATAAACCTTGTATATGCCAAACATCGTTTGGCATGCACAAGGATTTATCCACAACGATCACAGGGCGAGGGTTCCCCTCATTTTCTCTGTTTTCTCAGAATGACTCAATCTACATTCAGAATTCGCATTTTGGCATGCACAGAAAAAAAGCCCTTATAAGCTTGTTATAGTTGAGCTCTGAAGACAAATGACACTGCATTCGATTTGTGTTCTTCCATGTTAATATGAACAGATAAAATCAGAGAAAAAGTGTTTTGCTCTTTAAAATAAAAGCTACGTGTACATGTATGTGTACATGTAGAATGTGAGCAAGGAAAAGTAAATTACTGGAGAGCTTTTTTTGCGGGGCAGTTGTGGACGGTGCAGGGGAAATGACAAATTCTATTTCAAGTTTCACTCACATACTCTCTTTTCAGGAATTGTTCAGAGTATGCACTTTTCAAGGGTCTAAAAATAACTGAAACCCAGGAGCTTTTGGGAGCACTGCTCCCTGGACCTCCGCCAGGGCGTTGCCTCTGCAACCCACTGGATGCCCTAAGGCAGGCCCTTGGAACCCACCCGTTTGGGGCTTGCACCAAGGTGCTCACGTTGCATGTGCACTTGGCATTCTGTTTTCTGACTTTCCAAAGTTGGCAAATTCTCTTAAGCCTTGATGTCTTGTGATGGACTTGCCATGGGCTTGCCGTAGACTTGCCGCGGACTTGCCATGGACTTGCCACGGACTTATGATAGACTGGAATACAACGCTGGTATTTGAATGACTCGGCTTGGTTCTGACAATCGGCATGATCAGTGGTAACATCTGTCCCAGTACACAAACAAAATTTGCGTCTCTTTCAGATCTCTTGGCCAGTTTTACAGCAACTGTGTCTTCAACACCATGTCTTCAATAGGGTTCCTCGGGGCTGGGAAAGTCGTGGAGACAATAGTGAGGGGTCTCCTGTTGGCAGGCAAGTCTCTGTTAATACATATATTTAGGTTTGTGTATTGGCACAGTGCCTGCATGTTAGAGGACGCTGTTTTGTTTACTCATAAAAATCGAAGTGAGGGGAAATCAGTGCACTTGCACTTTGAAGTCAGTCATGCTACATGTAGTCAAAAGTTGCACAAATGGTTTCAGTTTGTATGATGGATTTTCTTCTGAATGCACACAAAAATGTGAGCTTTTGAATGTAAATTAGAGCGCACCATTTGCCTTCCCCAAGGATCTACATGTACATGTAGGTGAAAATATTTCTGCTCATTGAAGTAGGTCATCAAAGTCAAAGTGTGCACAACATGGGTTGCAGCTTGCATGGCCAGTTTTCATATGAATGGGCACATAACATGGGTTGCAGCTTGCATAGCCAGTTTTCATCTGAATGGGCACATAATGACATCCGTAAAATTGTGTCAGATACCAGTTCACATACATGTACATGTAAGAAGGGGATGCAATGTACATGTAAGTGTGTTACATGTATACCGGAACGGCCAATTGGCTGTTGCATGAAAACCCCACATTTTGCCTTTCCCAGTGGTGTAAACATTAGTCCTTCCTAGATTTTTCAAAAGTCCATGATTTACTCCTTTTTCAGTAGAGGATTTGCAGAATTCAGGAAGGTTTTTACAAAATACTTCAGGAGCACAGGTTGAATCAGGCATGCAACTTTTCCTCAGATCAGCTGATCTCCTTGTGTGTTACTTCAAACTCATGCCACTGAAAAGCACAGTACGAAGTCTTGTCAAGATTGGAATTTCCTCTGTTTTTTGTTAAGGCCGAGTTTCGTGCCTGTTGAATGACAACACTTTTATCTTGTTTTATTGTAGAGGCTCTACCAGCATCTCAAATGGCTGCAAGTGCCCCAACAAATCGGAACCTTAAACTGATTGAGGTACTGATACTGTCAATTGCTTCAAAAGGGATTACTATCCAGGACAATGTGAACAGTGTTCTGGTAGTTGCAGGTTTAAAAATGTTGCTCAAGTCAATTGTTTGTTGATCTTTACGAAGTGAATACCTAGAGTATTTACCATTGACTGTATGTTCCATTGATCTTTGTAAGTATTTGACCTTAATAACCTACTTTTTAGGCAGGTAATTTTGTGCACGAGATAAAAAATCTATCCTGAGACTTTTCAAGTTTAAGCTTTCATTGACTTGTTTGGGCCCAATCATGCTTGGCACAAAACTACATTTAGAAGCAATTTTGGGAAAATTGATCACAGCTGAAATGTTATCAACTTTTTCAAATTCACTGCATTAATGTTTGCCATGGTGTTGCTAATGTTTAACCAAGTATAGACCAATATTTACATTATTTCAACCTTATCTCATTAATTTAGGAACTCGGTGTCATGGGGACCAACAGTAACAAAGAAATCATCACCAATCACCAGACAGTCTTCATCTCGGTCAAGCCCAACATGGTTGCCACGGTGTTGAAGGAGATTTCACCAGCTGTCACTCCCAACCACATGCTAGTCTCCCTCGCAGCCGGCATATCGATTGGCTTCATCGAAAGTGTAAGAGGAACCCCTCTGAAATGCCTTCACAAAACTGAAACTTGGTTTTTATTTTTCCTGAAGTACTCTTCAAACTCTGCCAAGGTTCGATTCGGGACTATTTGTCAATTACTAGGAAATTTTGCCTGTTGCCAAGAGTATCTTTTCTGCGTAGGTTTCCAGGATAAAAAGACCTGCTGTCAGTGTAAAAGTCACAGATCTCACCCAGCCTGGGTTGTAAATCCATGTATATTTTACGTTTTGTCCATCAGCCCATATTTCATATTTTTTGTTTGTGCTGATAAATCTGCCATCAGGAAACGAGCAATCCCAACCACCTTAATTCCTCCTTGAAGCTAAGGAGTAACCATTAATGTTTGGTAATACTGTGTTTCGCTGCCAGAAACTTCCAGTGGGAACCCGTGTCATCCGGGCGATGCCCAACACTCCGTGCGGAATCGGCCAAGGCGCCACTATGTATACATGCGGAAGTGCTGTCAAAGCGGAAGACAAAGCTCTAGTGGAGAAATATTTCAACAGCCTGGGCTACTGCATGGAAGGCGACGAAACCATGATTGACTCTGTCATGGCTGTCAGTGGTAGTGGACCAGCTTACGTAAGTCCAGGACTTTCGATAGTAAAACCATTGTCAATCCAAAACAACTCCTCAGGCCACTGCTCATCTCCTGTTTCCCTGTGGATTGGATGCCAGTCCATCCCGGGTTACTCCTCAGCTAATGCCAGTACCCATTTCTATTCATTGTTGGAGAGAGGCGATTTGGGTAAACTGGCTTGCCTTTGGACACAACATACATGTATGACCCACAGTTGCAGTCAAGCAATGCTGGAGCATTTGTGTATGCCCAGTGGATAAAAACCTCATTAGCTACACAAATACGTTTCAGATTGGCCAAACTTGTCATGCATACTCCATGCTAGGTAAGATAAGCATGAACCCTACGCATACCCAAGAGAGGTCATTCCTCGTTAGGTTTTCTGTCTAATTCGTATTAGAGCCCATGGATTATTTGACTTCACGATTCTTTGTGGTGTGTTTTCTTCAGGCTTACATAGCGATTGATGCATTAGCGGACGGTGGAGTGAAAATGGGTCTGCCACGAGATATAGCCGTCAAGTTAGCAGCCCAAACATTACTGGTAGGATGTTTTCATTTGGGGTTTTCTTGGTCAGTTTGATACTTTAAAATTAATATTTAGTCTTATTTCCGATACTCAAGTTACCGTAGGATCCCTTGAAAATACCATGCCCGTTGCATTATAGCAAGGGTTGACAAACCTGTAGATAGAGGACAAATAAAGGGTCAGGTTTTAGATGTCAGTGGAACCCACTTTACTTTGGGCTGAAAACTTGATCCATAGTCGGCCACCATGGTTGGAAGATGAGGGAGGTACTACTTCACCATAGTCACTTGCCTTTTGTTCTTTTTTCATTCCTCTAGCAATTGTGCAGAAAACTGCTGATACCGTATTTTGCATAATCTCAGTAAGAGACCAGTGATCCAGTCTAATTCTACTAAGATGTGATTTGCAAGCTCAAGGTTGAATTACTTTCCCAGACATAATTTATGAAGAATATGTATTAGATTTTGATGTAAAAGTCTAAAAGGGAACAATGTTTTCACAAGCTGGCATATGGTCTCCTAATTTTTTTTTTTTTTTTGAACTTTTCACTTTGGATGAAAATCTCAGGAAGTGAGTACATGTTTAGGTCAGTTTTCCAGCACATGGCTACAATATGGAATAGCTTGAGCACATACAGTAGCTGTCTATTTTGTAGAAAAGTTGATTTGGGGGAAAATTGGGCATGGGATGTTAATTTTACAGTGTGGTTAATCTAAGACTAAGGTGGCTTTTGCTGACCAGTTGCTGCCGGGCGGAATTTGAGTTTGCATGATGTAAAACCGGGAGATTTTCTAGATTTTCCATTTTCAAAATTCTTCAAAAAATCATAGCTGCATTTACTGGACTTTTACACCCACACGAATAACTGTCTGGTTACTACTCTAATCTGACAGACAACCTCTATTGATGCCCAAGTATTTCAGCAAGGCCTGCTGCCTTGTAAAAAGAGCCCAGACTGTGCAGTGTTATGTAACTTTCTTTTGTTCCCGAAACTGGCACAGTGCGCTTCTGGCGTCTTTTCATTGGGGGCCAGATTAGCATGGTGCGATATGTATTGCTCATCGCTGCAGCGCTTTTTCCCCGCTGGTAATCCGCTCGTGCTAAATGCCACAGTGGTACAATCTCTCAAAATAAGGACGGATTTCTTCCACTATTTACTACTGAAAAAATGTTGACAATTCCCAGCAGCTCTGTCTTTTGTTCTGAGTACGGTCTTTTGTTACAAGGCCAAGCTCTTTTGTCTGGTTTCGGTCTCCCCAGTTTTGTGTGTAAAGCCTACGTGCCCGAAACCAGGCTCCCCAGCAGCATATGGTTAAGTTACCTAAGTTTGAAGACAATCTCATCACAAGCCTAGCATGATATGCTAAACTTGCACCACAGATGTAGTTGATTTGAGCATGGCTATTTTAAAGCTTAGGGTAATTTCAGCTCACAGTGAGTTTGGTGTGGGTAATTTTGGCATTGGAAAGTGCTTTGGACAACCTTAGCAGGGTGAACTCAGCACGGGGGATTTTCAGTGCAAGAATGATACCCCTCTCATTAGAAAACCTCATTTTCCTGAGAAATCTCAGCATAAGTCATCAACCCAGGGTCATATCAGGAAAAAAAACTCATTTCTTTTGAGGAAACCGTCTATCTTAGGTAGTTTCCCATTAAGCTGTGAAGTTACAACGAATCTTTGTAGTTTTGAGAATGCTATCAATTCCTCAAATGTTTCTATGAAATTCTGATTCTGTGAGTTCTGAACCAAATGGTATATGGATTATTTTTAACTTCTGTACCCTTTCTAAATGATGGCACAAAAACCAGTTCTGACCTTGTGAACTCCAGTTGAAACAAAACAAAGCAACTTTTCAAAGAAAGCAGTACTCATTTAGTAATAAAATTTAGTAAGAGGGGCGAAAAGAGGATTGAAAAACTTCTCCTCACTTTTTCTTTTTCGTATTTCTATGGAATTAATGAAAGGGGTCAGCAAAACTCGTCCTGCAAGGCAGGAAACATCCATCCGAACTCAAGGACGACGTGTGCTCTCCCGGGGGTGCAACGATAGATGCCATCCACGAACTGGAGAGAGGGGGATTCCGCAAGTGCCTGATTGAGGCTGTGGAAGCGGCCTGCTTGCGAGCCAAGGAACTCAATGCCATGAATGCTCAAAATAAATAATGCTCACCCATTAGAACAAAAGAGGACAGCAGAGTAGCCTCAGGGTCCATAGACTTCTTGTACTTACTCAGGATTTTTTCCATACTTTCTCAAAAGGATTTTCCATATTTCATCAAGGATTTTCCCATATACAGTACATGTACATGTATTCCAAAGAATTTCCACAAGACACGTCCGAGACTTTTAACACATATATGGCTACTACAAAGTCTTTGCTCCTTCACTGTAATTGTTGTCTCATGTCTTTTATGTTAAACATGTCGTGTTCTTTGATCAAGGCCTTTTCTATTCCCCAAGTTTCTTTCCAAGACTTCTGTGGTTCCGTAAGATTTCCTTTGCTTTTGTTTGACCTTGACAATTGCTGGTTTGCTTCTTCACCATGCTTGTGGAAGTTTCCCTGTTTTCCCTTATGATGGCAGGCATGAAATTCGGAAGTGTAGAAAGATTTTGAAATTCAAAACAAGATTTTGTAGGTTTTGATTATTAATGTGTGCTTGGGAAATAAAACACAGGGAAATCAGCTGATTTTTGGAAAGAGCTGCATGCTTAATAAGAGCTTGTATTGTGGGAGTGATTTTGGGGGTATTCACAGTTTTCTGTTGGTGAAAACCTTTTCCTTACAAACTTCAAGAATATTTTTTGTGGCTAGTTTCGATATTATAGAGTACCAAAGTGAATACATCATGTGCACAAGTATGCACTTGTACATGGTGCCTTGTGGGGTACCGGAACAGTGGAAGGCACCCCACAAGGCACGTTTTGATCCTTGTGGGGTACTAAAGTGTTACCCCACAAGAATTTCATGAAATAGGTATTTCAAATTTACTCAAAAAAAGAGGGATTTTCAAGTGCCATTCATGTGTCGCAAATTAAAGTGTTTTATATAAGGGACATACGGTCAAAATGTCAACCCAGGAAACTGAATTTGGTTGAAATGGCAGTGATTTGAAATTTTTTTCGTGTTGTGTGGGAGTTTTGTACACGAGAACAAAAGAAATACCCCACAAGTATACATATGTAAGGTGGGTGTGTGTAAAAGGTATGAGCAGGTGAGCAGTGTATGAACCAACACGCGTATGTACTCCATTTGATGGTACTTCACTTCCTGGTTCAGATGACGTCATGCTTCGATTCACTATTAAACCAGAAATATAGGCTAGATGGCTTTACAAAAAGTCACTCATTTGATTTTTCATGTTTGAAATAGTTTTCTCATACGTGTCCTTGAAATTATTGTAAGTTGCCGATATTGCCAGTTATTCTAAGTATTTTACATGTATTCCTGGATGGTTTTGTGTAGAAAATCAAGACCATATTTTCAGAGGAAATATCACCAGAGATGACTGCAGCTTGGCTTTGGGTTTGTTTCTGTTTTGTCCTTGGTGACTGGGCATTATTTTCTGATGGTGTGCTTCTCTAGCTTGAATTTGGACATCATTGCGATCAGAAATTAAAAAAAGGTTTTCTTTTTCTACGAAGGCTATAGATCTAAACTGGTGGGTGACAAATCCAACAGTTTAATCACTATTCCTTGAAATTGGTAAATTCTTATGCTTTATTGAATTGAAATGGACTGTGATTTGGGGGATATTACAGTATATGTATAAAAGTGGCCCACTTGAGATGAAATTTTAACATGAAAAGACAAAATAAATTGGTATATTAACCTATGCATGTGTTGTTTTTTAATTTCTCTTTGACCAGTATCAATGCTTTTTAAAATCTTGTTTTATATTGGGGGGGGGTGATTTAATTATTTTTTTGTCTTTGTTCTCTTTATCCAATTTATTTCTGAAATTTAAAGCTTTAAAAAACGCCGTCTTGACTTTTTCATTTAAAGCTAATTATGGGACGGTTATTATTTATGGCAAATGAAACACAATGCTTTATTCATACTGTGCTAAATTTCAGCCCTTTAAATAAAGCACAAAGTCAGTGGAATGCAGTCTTGCGTGCTGATTTCTGACTTGGGGGAATGGCCATGCACCGGTGATAGAACATGCCGGGACAACTTTTCTTTTAGCTGTTTTTGCTTTTTTCCATTGATAACCTGCTCAACACCAATGCAACAATTATTTTTTTGCTGAAGATTTATTGTCCGTTTCTCTTTCAACACAGTAATCTTTTTCACTTCTTAAACACCAGAATTATTTTCATCTATGGGCAAGATATACTTTGTTCAATGCCTTTTGTCACTTCATTGGAGAACAGAACATCCAAAGAAAGAAACCAGAGATTAACAATTTATGAAACACCCTGGAAACCTGAATGCCAGGGGTTTTTCCAATACTCGACTGTCTCTGGCTTGGACTAAAATTTTGATTCCCTCTGACTTTGAAACTGGTAGCTCAGAACAAGTCATGCTTTGCGACCAGAAAAACAGTCTCTGCTATTGGCATGATGAAGTATTTTTGGCATGATGAAGTATTTTTGCCATTCAATTTGAATTATCAAAGGCCTACAAGCGGCTGCAATGTCAGAGGCAAAGTCGGACATGAAAAGCCGGTATTGGAGAACCCCTCTGAAGAATGTTCTCCTCTGTGTTTGTGTTGAGCTTTGTCATTAAGAATATAATCAGTGTATTATCACACATGATGCAAGCAAAATGATGCATTAGTCAGGAATTTCTTCAACAGATATCTCAACATCTTAATTTACATCACATTTTTCAGAATCTTGTCCAGTAACTTTTTGAAAAGAAGGTTATTTCAACACAGGGTTTTCACAGCACTGAAGGTGACACCGTATGTTGATCGTGGTCAATCACAGGCTCATTTTGCTGGGCAAATGCCTTATACGATTTGACTGACTTAGGAAAAAGCAGAGAAACTTTTTTTTAAAAAGAGGTAAAGTAAAATTAGGCACGTTTGGGTATGAAATCGGTTCTGATTTTCGGCAATAGGATTTTGTAGGACAATGTTGACCTTGCTGTACGAATTTTAAAGAACTTTTTGTTTCTTTCAATATTGGATTGGATATTGGATACATTCCCAAGTGGTTATTTTCAAATTTGACTATTTGAAATGTCCAAATTGAAGAAACCAGTCTTTCACTTTGAGATTACTGAATACTTTGATAACATCTCACTTTAAAAACTCTTACTGAACATTTCTACTGACAGCAACATCAAAGATTTTCAAAATTCTTGGAAGTAGTGGAAACACCCTCATGTTATTTTGGCCGTTTCTCCTTCCATTGCTTTGCCCAACCTGACTTGCTACAAGTACATCACATTTTGGATGCTCAAGAAACCCACGTCCAAAAAAGTGAGCGCCCTCATCTCTATCGGGGACGGACTTCACCATAAAACAAACTATTACATTTGCCAAACAAAGTGCATAATTTTGCCATGAGCTCATACAAAACCATGAACATGTGGATCACTGTTTTAACAAGGTCCTTGTGACTTTACAAATTACCTTGTATTATCTGTAATGAAAACAAAGAAACACAGAGTTTGGACCTGAAATTGTCCTTGTTATATGCGTGACATTGTGTTAACAGTGCTTTTCCCTATCTGTGTTCGACTGTATCAGTACAGTGCACATTTCTCACAGTATGCCCTTGAAAAGTGAACAGTTTTTAAGTCCTGTTTACGACCCTTCTTAAAAAAAATGCCTCTTACATACAACAGCTGCCATAGAACTCCCTAAACATTCTTCAAATTCTAACAAACGCCATCTTTCCTATGAGCCCCCTCAACTAAACTAAGTGCTAAGAATTTCCATTTTGGCCTTGAAAACTACGAAAATGTCGTACTGAAGAATTTGGCAAGCAGCCAACTAACTCGTGACTTTTTGGGGGACCAGTTGGCAACTTCCAACATTGTGTTTGTTTCTGCAATAGGTATGAAAAATGCTTTTTTGTATGTAAGGCATTTGCTAAAATCAGGAGGATAAACATCCAAATGCATGCAAATAAAATAAATTGTGAGCCTCCAAAGTCAGAGTAGTTTTAACAATGCTTGGTGAAATTCCATTCTACAATTTCCAATTAAATCAAATAAATTACTCCATTAATTCAACCAGATACCACTGCAAATAATCATATTGCTTCAAAAGCTCGGCGTGTTTCATCTAAATGATTCATCTTATTGTTTGCACATTTTATATAAAATCTGCAAAATATATATAAATGTACTCAGTTTACAAAAAGTGTGCAAAAGGCACTGTGTTTGGGGGGTTTTAATTTTTCAACACGGATTTCCTAGGAATGCACTTGAATGGATTTCTTATCAATTTACACATACATGAGGTCAACCATTCAATGCTACTGATCAAACAATGGTTTCAAAATTCTTCTAACAGAATTTGGAATTCACATGTTTCATTGAAAGTTGGTTAGGTAATTTACAGGGTTTCCATCAAAAATGGACAGAAATAATTTTATATGCACCTTTTTTTCCCTCAACCACAGGCAAGAACACAAGGATGGTTTTGGAACCAGACTTATTCTTGTCGCTGGGGAAAACTGCAAAGAAAGCACATATGATCTTGGCCCAATTTTGTGGCGCTGCTTACCGCAGAATTCCGTGCTTACAATCTCCATTCTGCACAGACCAGGCTTTTTTCTGTTACGGTAAGCGCCAATTTTTCAATTTCCGTGAAATTAGGCCCTGGAGATTCAATGGTGCCCTCCGCATGCCTTTTAAGTTAAAGAGTGCCCTCCCTCAGAGGCATGCCAGACAGCAAGCAGTAACTGAGAAGGTTCATAAAGCGAATCTGTTATCTTATTCCACGGAAAATCTTGACTTTGCCTTCCTTGTTCCACTTCTCCAGGATGGTCTCCTCGACCGAGTGGTTGTGCGGCGAGAACATGGACTTGTAGATGATGTTCCACAGCCCAGCGTCTGGTTCCCAGTAGTGGTCCCAGGCGCCATAGGATGAGGCTCCAAAACCAAATATGTTGACCTGGAGAGGATATCAAGAACAGATGAGCTGAAGTGAGCCCTCTTTGACGAGACAAAACAAACTCAACGAAGCATCTAGTTACGGGTTCCGTTATTCATCCGTACTAGAGTTGCTTGCTAAAAGCTGAGCAAGACATTTCAACGGTTCAGGACCAGCCTGCTGAGGACAGTCTTTGGAACATGGAACTTTCTCATTGGAACATTATGTTCTCGTTCTGGAACATGGAGCATTCCCACTAGAGCGCTGCATCACCGCAGTCTGAGCACAAAGCTCACTGTTCTCAGTGATGCGTGAAAATTAACATGGAATGCTAACGTTCCAGCATGTCCAGTGGGAATGGTCTGACGGAGCACCAACGTTCCCGACTTCTGAGACGTTCCCCAACATGGGTCATATCTACGTTATAGTTTCACATCTCACCGTGTAGAGCAGAGAACTAGACCTGATAAGTGGTATCATTTGACAAAGTCTGCCTTGGCGTTATATGGGCTTAACTCACAGCATAAAACATGAATCACCCACTACATACATACTGGCAATTTCCTTGCCAGAACGACTCTTGTACAAAACTGGTTAGACAGAAACTGAAGTTGGGGTCAGATTTGCCCGAGCTTGATAGGAAATTTGAAAACTACTCAGTACATGTAATTGTGAAAGTATGAGTTTTATCGTGTTTGGGGTCTCACCTGTCCTTTGTTAATACTCCAAAGATTTTTGTTAAAAACTACAACACAAAGTGTGAAGTAACAGAGCAACTGATTTCATGTTTGACTGACCTCGTCGCAGATGTGGAATGCGAATAGAATCATGAGAAACCCCGTTGAGGGCCACCGTTCTTCGTCCCCGATCCAGCTGAATTTGCTGTCATACATCAATGTAGGGTTGAACACCTGCACCTGAGATATTTCCAGCAAGAGTCTCTGAATTTGTCACTGTCAGAGACAATAGCATGCCCCGTGCCCTAAAGTCATGTCTTCATGCCTAAAGAACCTGGCAACTTTGAATGCTGGAGTTCATTGTTACTTGTATATTTGTCACAATTTCTAAACCCATGGTTTAACTTTGTTAGAGAGCTGTTAAGCCCACTGTAGCACGCTTAGAGGTTGAATAGCAAGGTGCGTGTATCTGCTGTAGCAAGCAGGTTATAGTCTCGAGTCCCACCCAACAAACCTAAGGATTTTTTCTCAGCAGTACTCAGAAAAATGCAAAGTTTGCTGAGGAACACAAACCATTACTGTCATTGTCAAAACCCTGCCGGACTTTTTTGCCTCTCACCCATTAATTTTCAAGGAACCTGTCTGATAAATAAACCGGAGGGCCAATAAAACATAGCACACCGAGAGTGCTTATATTCACACTGACCTTTGACCGGTCGACATCAATGAAGCGCGGCACTGGAGAGTAGGTCCTGGCAGGAAAGTAACACCAATAATTTTAAAACTGATATTCACACGTAAACGATAAAGCAAAAGGGCAGCTTTTACAACCATAGAACTCCTAGAAAAGCAGACAAGTTCATCATTTAGATAGCTAGTCAGAAAACTCTGATTTTTGTGGATGTTTTTTTCTTTTGCTCAGCATTAATTGTCAACTCTTTTGAACCCCTGACAACTGTCAATTCATGTTCACGTCAAAGACGTTGAAACCACCAAATATCAATTTCAAAATATGTTCCTCGCAGACAGATACATGTAATAACTCAGAAATGTAGTTCAGTTCACACACAAGACATGCCATAGCCACAACAGTCTAAATCTTCCGATTTCAACATGATTTTACATACATAGAGAGTTTTATGACATAGTGACAAATACCGACCAATTCAAGTGCCACACTGGGCATTACAGGAAAATGGTTGGGTTAATCATGCAAAACCATTCAAAATCCACCAGGAAGTTTATAAGGACTCCCTGGGATAGAGGAAGACAGACTCAGTCCCTACTGTTTTAGACAGGGCTTGATTTCTGTTGGAAGTATGAAACATTTTCCATCGGTTTACTGCACACGGGAATGTGGCAGGGGGGACAAAGAGGCTCCTTGTTGAAAACCTTCTTGCAGGAAACAAAAATGAACCAGTAATTAGGCTAACGGAGGAAAAACTGACCATGTAATTGTGCCATTTGTCAACGCACTGATCAACCAGTCAATATCCTTGGCTCCAAACGGCACCAGGACAAAATGGGCCCCCTTCTGCACTTCTGTGTAGGTGACGGGGTAGGCAATGCGGTGCGTCTCTCTGCTCCCTACGTCGTCTTCGTACCCCTGGATGGGGGCATAGTTGACCCTTTGACAAAAATACATGAGTCTTGAATACACCTCTTATGGAGTTATTTGGTCTGCCCAATTTGAAGACCTTAGTTGTGCTGATCATTCAAACGATGTTTTAAAGTTATGACTGACATCATTCATTCATCCCAGAGTGACAAGCTTTAATTTTAACCACTTCCTGCCTGGGAGCCCGGTTTCTGGCACCGTGTGTTTATACGCGTGGCCGGGGTCTCCGAAATCAGACAAAAGGAACTGGGCCTCGTAACAAAAGACCGTACACGAAAAAAACATCAGGCTGCTGGACATTACCGACATTTTTTCACTCTCAGTAGTGGAGATAATCCAGCCTTGTTTCGAAACAGTATACCCTGGTTTGGGGGATTTAGTGTGAGCAGATTATCACCGGGGACAAAAGTGCTCCACCACTGCAGCATTGAGCCACATAGCAAAGCTGCATGCTAATCTGGCCCCTAAGATGGAAAGCTTGCGGTAAGCACCGTGCAATATCTCTTTTTGAGTCTGTGTGGTTCTGATAAGAACCGGAGGGGCTCAACGTTTTGGACAGTGTGCTCTGTCCGTCGTAAGGAGACTGTCAGGAGACTCCTGACGACGGACAGAGCACACTGTCCGAATAGCTTGAAATCCCAATCTGGCCCCTATTGAAAAGAGGTCAGCAGCGCATTGTACCAGGTTCGTGAACAAAAGAAAGTTACATAACCCCGCACGATCTGGCCTCTTTTTACAAGGCTGCAGGCCTGGCTGAAATACTCGGGCGTCAACAGATTTTGTCTGTCAGACTAGAGTGGCCATCAGACAGTAATTCGTGTGGGTGTAAATGTCCATTTATTGAAATGATGAATTCTGAAAACTGAAAATCTTGAAAAAGTCCTGATTATATGCACTGCATTTTTCAAACCACCCGGCAGCAAGTGGTTAAAGATCTCAACTTGAAAAGAAGAAAATGAACAAGAGTAAACACAAGAAATGTACATCAAGTCACCTCAATTTATTTAAAGTCATTCATAAATATCCCACCTCACGTCAAGTCAAAAGCCACTTGCTGCCGGGTTTAATTTGAATTAGCGGGACATGTTCCATGGCGATTTTCAAGATTTTCCATTTTTAAAATTCTTCCAAAATTCAAAACTTCATTTACTAGATGTTTACACCCACACAAATGAATGTCCGACAAGCAACTTCCACTGACCCCCAAGTCTTTCAGCCAGGCCTGCCGCATAGTAAAGACAGCCCAGATTGTGCAGTGTTGCATAATTTCCTTTGTTCCTGAAATTGACCAAGTGCGTTGCTACATGTAAATGGCAGTGGCGTCTTTTCAAATGCGGCCAGATTAGCTAGCAGCAGTACTGTATTCCTCATCACTGGAACACTTTTGTCCCCACTGATAACCCACTGGCACTGAATGCCACAAACAGTGGAATATTGTTTCAAAACAATGACGGATTACCTCCACTAATGCCAACTGAAAAATGATGGCAAATCCCAGTACCTTGGTCTTTTGTTCAGAGTACGGTCTTTTGTTACAAGGCCCAGCTCTTTTGTCCAATTCCGGTCACCCGGGCTACGGTATGCGTACAAACCCAAGGTGCTTGGTTCCAGAAACCACGGAGACAAGTGTCGCACTGGTTGCCAGTCCAAAGATGTGTTCGGCGTATGGTATTTTGGCTAGCAACATGTTTTGGCTTTGCAAATAGTTCAGCACTTTTTCAGAGAAGGCTTTACCTGATAATCCGGTGGTGGGAATCAATGAGAGCGCCGTATCCCGAATGCCGCAGGTTGCCTGAGTTGCCGACCACTGCGCATCGTACACAACGGTCCAGGTTACGCTTGGGGTAAGGATCCACATCAGGGACAATTTGGAAAAGGGAGTTCAGTAGGGCTGGGATGTCACGGTCACCGTCTTCATGGATGGACTGGAGAGTAGAAAAAAGCGACAAAACAAACTGCAAAGTTGGGTTCTTGATACATCTTTGTTGCTTGATTAAATAGCACTATTTCATATATGAATTGGGAAAGGGGGAGAGTTTCTCAACTTTTGCAGTCTGCTTTCAATTCCAAAAGATCCCAACCATTTGGAGAGATCTAAGGTCCTGTAGCCACTTCAGCCACTTCAGTCAATTAATTAATTGATTTTCAGATATTACATGTACATGTAGGCACCCCACTGCTCCCCACTGCAGATGCAACACAGTAAACCATTCCAAAAAGTTCAATTTTACTTCTTGGTATTTTTCTTGCATATTGATCTCCACTTTTCTGTACAACGTAGACAACACCGTTTAAAATTAAAGGTGTACAGCATCAATAATTGAAAGAGGCAGGCATCCCAGATGTGATGTCCTACATCCTTTTAGTGGAGGATGGCCACTTGCAGCCAATATCATTGATGTGGCTGGTCCCATTGAATTATTCCACTGTCCAACCCTGCAATGGCTGGCAAACCACAGATTCTAAGACTGTTTGGCATTGGGAATACTTGATCTGTTAGATCTTATTGCAGTCTGCAGGCACATACATGCACATGTATCTTTGAAACCAAAATATCTGTGCCAAAAATACCAGGAGGGTTAGGGGCCAAAGCAAGGCTTGTTCTCACTTCCTAGTTATCACTTCCAAAGTGAAGTTCTATCCCAAACTATGGTCACATAATTTTCACCTTGTATCCTTTAATCAAAAATACCCAAGCACTAATCAAACTCACCAGCCACCACTCACGAACTTCCGGTCTCAACTCCCTATTTCGCCTTGTCCACAACGCCGGTATGCTCTCCTTGTAACGCCTGTCAAACCAGGATGAGGAGCCTTGTTGCCAGGCCCTCTTGCAAGTCTTAACACCCTCGACTCCGCCCACAATATCACCCTCTTCCTTGACCGCTTTGAGCGGCCGCCTCAGCTGCTCTTGGACAAGATTCACGTTCCTTCTCTTTGCATTCAAGCCGTGAATAGTGTTACTTAGAATGATGCTTATTTTCCGCCGATTCATATAAGTGATCAGCACAAGGACCACAAGGGCTAAAATGACCAGTGCTCTGATTCTCTGACGATTCACTCTGGAAAAAGACATACATTGTGTACACCTAGAGATCGCCATAGTCTGAAAGCTAGTGACCTTCGGTAGAATCATGCAAAATGTCTGCAGAGTTGAAGATGCACTACCGTGTCAGACACTGAAACCCAACAATGACCCATGACATGAGGGTCACACTTGACATCACATATCTGCAACCAAACAAGTCAAAATCAACAAGATGTGAAATAATACATGGGCAAAAAGAAGAAAGCAAAGGCTGCAATTCTAGGTTGGGATTAAACATTTGGGTGACACAAGCAGGTGAAACTGTCTGACACATTGGGATAATGTGCACCCAGTTTCTGGATGTGACCTACATGTAGGCCCCTAGGCTAAGACTTACATGTAGTCCTTTCTTCAAGAACTCTAAATTACCACTCCGTGTGACTTAGAGGCGGTGTTACTTTCATGGGATCGTAACGTTAGGCCTGTGTTTTTAATCCAGTTTTTGCAGTGGAGTCTTACTGAAGATCCAGTAGTGTAAACTCCACTTTTTCAACCAGATTTTCCCATGGGAGCAATCGTGAGGTACTTAAAGCTCTTGAAAATGAATGTTGGTCAAGACGTCCCCGGGTCAAGTCGTCCCCGGGTCAAATCATTCCCAGGTCACCTCGTCCCCTAGTCAAGTCGTTCCCCACATAAATAACAAATAAATAATTAAATTACAATTTTACTATGGAAATTTATTTTGGGGGGATAATTTTTTTTTCTTTACTAGATATTAGTCTTCAAGTTTTTACTGCGGCAATTTATTTTTTTGGGGGGGGTAATTTATTTATTTTCATTTTAAATTATCAAATTTTTACTGCGACAACTTATTTTCTGCGGGGATAATTTATTTTATTTTTTACTTATCAAGTTTTTACTGCAGTAATTTATGTTGGGGGTGATTTATTATGACTAATGGAAGATTTGATACATGTATTTAAAGATATTCAAATTGCTTTGACAATTCAAGGAATAGGCCAAAGTACTGTTACATTGGCACACACTAGGAATTGCCTTTTTAATAAATATACATGTACATGTATGTGGCATGTCTTGGTCAACGCAGATTTCAAAAGCCACCAGCTAGCTGCGTAGAACAAATGAAAATTGTGAGAACATGTATGAGTCTCTGTCTTGTTTTTCTTTCTCTTCTAATTCTTTGTATGGTTGATGTACATGTACCTAAAAAGAAAATTACAATACATGCACAGACAACACTTGTAAGAATTAGTGGGGGACGACTTGACCCAGGGACGATTTGACCCGGGGACGACTTGACCAGGGTTCCAATTTTGGAGAACTTGACTCGAGGACGACTTGACCTGGGACGAATTGGCCTGTTTCCCTTGAAAATGCTCGCATGGGAGTTTCAGACCCCACAAAAGTAACAACATCTCAAACTCACACTTAGTAATGACTTAGAGTTCTCAAAGTGCTTAGCCATAGCAAACAAATAGTACGCCCTAGCATTACTTTTCATGACTTCTGAAGATAATTTTTCAAGTAATAACATGGTCATGGAGCACAGAATGAATGAAAAACTCATCAACCATAAAACACTTGGAACATTACATGTACATACATGTACATGTATGATGTAGGCCTTGGCCAAGCGAGCACATCTTCTGACATTGTCAGAAAAGTCTGGACATGCAGGAACAAACAAGACAAAACTCTGAAAAAGTGCATCAAATCGGGATTGTCATCATCATAATTACCAGCAATGTAGTCCAGCCTCACTCCAGTCTGCCTTACTGTACGTCGGACCCCAGAGTTCTGGGGGTAATGCATACAAGGAAATGTGTAGACCTACTGCATGGGCCTCGGCCTACATGTACATGTACATAATAATTTAAAAAAGCACAGGTCATGCAAATTGCAGCTCCTACCGTTTGGATAACCATGGGATTTTCGATTAGCTCTACTGAGTGGAGCGTTAGTAGTATAGTATTCCTCTTTTTCGATTTTTCCCAGCCAAAACCGACAAAGCTAGGCCTAGTAATAGTAATAACCTGATAACGCTCCACTCAGTAGAGCTACCATGGGATAACCAACGCCAACACAGAAGTACCTCATACTCACGATGTGTAAGTTGCCAGAATGAATCCAGCTGAACTGGAGATCCTTATCGAATTAAAACATAAGCATAAATGATAATTTATTTGAATGTGAGCCCTGGATATCGGATATGGACGTGCTGGCTGAGTACGCCAAGGTTCACGGGTGCAGTGACAGACGACATGACTCATGCTTCGCGTGCGCAATGCATTATGGGTCAATTGAGTCGTCAGTTGTCTCCGCTGCAGGCGTCATCTTTGTCTCCCTACCATATGGCGTTGACATCAACATCCCACTGTGCAGGCCCATAATGATCCAACTTATTACACTACTCAAATTTTGGGTTGATAGTATGCATTTTGATCTTCTGGTAGCGAATTTTGACTCATTTCTCATCGTGGAACTCAGAAGTAATGTGACTGAAATGAACTGGCGCGCCAGAACTAGAGTTTTGGAGAACTTCTCTACTTTTCTGACGGGGTGAAACTGTCATTGTAATTATGTAGGTGATGCACGCGTCCATGAGATCTCGTGTTGTGTTATCATTAGTCAGCAGTGCAAAGTACAGTAGGTTGAGCAAAATCTGGGTCAACTCGGATGGGGGTCAGCCTGCATCTGGGTTAACCAAAGGCAGATCCAGTAGGGCCATTCTATATATTTGGAGTCCAGTTTTCCCATCGGCGTATGATTTTTTTTTGTTAAGAACTCAGTCTTTAATTTCCAAGACTGAATAAGTACTGCAAATTGCCCGCGAAACAAATAGTTTGAAATCAATCTCATTGATACCCTTCACACGTTGGAGCCCAAGTTTATAGAATGATCCAGTATTAAGTTGTTCTTTTTTTGGGGGGGGTCAATATGTCCTTACTGATCCAAAGCTCAGGGGTATAGAGGGATTCCAATACGACGCTTTTAGCATCGATCTGCGCACTTCCGCGTTTGAAAACGAGGCTGTATGTGTCAGCTTCAATTCTTGATACGATCAGACGAATGAAAGTAAGGAGTTAAGACACAAAATACATAAAGGTATGTTAAATTCAGACTTTTCAGGCTGCAAATTTTGTTGAAGAGTCTTTCAGAATGACTCGACACGTGAAATCAAAAGAAAAACAATGGCAATTTAGCGCGAACTAACGTACCTGCGATGGCCGTGTATCTTGTGCAGTGGGCGTGGTTTAAACTGAAGTGGTATCACACTTACTTACGAACCGGACACTGCATGTACCGCGCGCGCGACGACGCCGAAGTTCAAGACAGAGAGCCCCGATTTTGATGCCGATATGCGCGGACGGCGCTAATGTGAAATCCATCTATAGACCTTCCTTGCTTGATGGCGCTTGTCTTCCTGCTCATCACACTCACACTTTGTCACAGGCTACTTAATAAGGCACTCTTTTTATATTCTAAGGTTCTTGCTTTCAGTTTGGGGAGGGTCCAAACAAAATTCCTCGAAAAGAAAAACTCCGTGCTGCTACCATATAGATGACTGAATAAGCCAGGCAACAAAAGTGCGTTGTGTTTACTGGTCAGTTGTTTTTATATTGAGCATCATGATGTCATGAGATTGCGCCATGTTGGTTCCCACCATGTCTAGTGAAGGAACGCCCTCGCAGCCCATATAATGAGTCGAGGTTGATTACAACATTTTACGCGGGGCGTATTCACAGTGAAGTTCTCCATCCGTTATACCGCTTCGCTTTGGCCATGTATGTCAAGTGTGTCTTTGTTCAGAGAAATATTTCGATTGCTGGAGTCAGTGTCAAGACACCGTATGGTGTTCGTGTGTGCAGTGTACAATGTGTATAGTGAGTTTGTATACACATTCAAATCGTGGACCTATAACATTTGGGAAAAATAGGGTCCTCGGTTGCCGAAGAGTCCACGGTTGGAAAACGTGTACAAAATATATAGGAGGTCTTCCGAAAAAGTTGAGCATGGACAAAAGAGGAACAACTGGGAGTCCACGATTGAAGCCGTTTACACACTTGTGTGCGTGTGGTTCGGCAAAAGTGTGACAGCCCGTTGAAAATATCAAGTGGCACAGACTTCATGGTCTTTTTCGCTCAGATTCTCAAAGTGCTTTTCATTTTTGTATTCAGGAAACCCGCAACAACTTTGTGATTTAGGAGGGTTTATGATGGGCGAGAAAAATAATCAAAACTTTTTTCGGCGCGCCGAACTAAGCACAGCAGAATAAAACAACTTTACAGGGCTCCAGTCCAAGCGTGTAATTAATAAACAACCTTGTGATTCAGGGTACCACGCACTACTTTAAAGTTAGTCTTGTGCATTTGCAAAAAAAACAGCACCACTTCCAAATCAATGCGTTGTCGCCGTCACAGGCTTCAACACTGACTTATAACCGCTATTGGGCATAATGATTGAACTAAATTGGAAAATACTCCCCCTTAGGAAAAACAGTCTACGGTAAAAAAAAATTAAATGTGTAGCAAGCGATTACTTTTCATTTGGCTAAAACTTTGAAATCTTTATGTAACACTTATTTAGGCAGGAACAAAAAATATACAGAAGGTACTTTGCGCACAGCAAGGTGTTTATGACGGTTGGATAAACAAGTAATCCAGGAAAAGGATATTAAAGCAGGATACTCGAGTAATTATCATTCAGAAGATGAGCCGGCCGGCATGAAAACCTAAAACTGTGCATGTGCTTGGGTCACGTATTCGAGAGTCCTCTCTTGTCTCTTAATCCAAGCTGCCCAACAAAGCTCGGTTACGGCGCAAACAACTCTGGGATGCCATTCGCTAATGATTCTCGCTGTAGCCAATCCTGGGTCAGCCACCTCACGATACCCTGGGCTCCAATCCAAGTCTTGGCTGCTGTACCTGGGCTTTCTAATGTAACTGAGAGGGGGGGTGGCACACTCTGGGGAAACTTTCAAAACAGCAAAAATAAGAAAAACTCTAACTAAACCGAGGATCTTTGAGGGAAAGGTCGTAGGAAACTGGATTAATATGGACTCAAACACCAATATTTGATTTTAAAAAGGACACAAAACAATTTATTAATTAATGAAAAAGAACCCCATCCTCAAAAAAATGCATTAACCAAAATGACTAAAGGACCAAAAACCTATACAGTGTGTCAAAATAGATTTAATGAGGATAGTTTGGCTTTCGATCACTGACTCATAGAAGCAGACAGAAACCTGACGCAGGCAGAAACGCCCACTCCAGTGAGGAGGGAGAAATACATGAGCAGTGATAGTGTCTCTGCTGGTTTGCTCTTCAAACTAAGCGGTCAGATCATGTGGTCAAATTATATGGGTAGAAGCAAGGGCCAAAGTAAATAAACAGGGGGATACACTAATAGAAAAATACAGGGGGACTCTAAACAAAAACTGTATTTTTAGAGGGGAACTACTCCCATGAAATGACGCTTACAAAAAGTATAACAATTTTTTTAGCTCAGCCACACTAGTTCAACCAAGGATCACCATTTTATGATGTGCACCATCTCTCCGTCAAGCTCAGTAGGTGATGGTAAACTGAGATAACTCAGAAAAATCGGAGGTAAATCTGAGAGTCAACAGTAACTTCAATATGTAGATCTGATATCTGGAAAACTTGATTGGTTGTCATGGAACAAATGATGAATAACAAGAGTGGATGATATTGAATTGGGAGTTTTCGGAACACTCTCAGCAAAGTTGCGTTCATGTAATTGATGGATGAAGCTTTGCTCAGTCACACGAGGGCGCTATTTGTTCAATCACCATAACACTGAGAGAAAAAAGTAGGGCTACGCTTTATTTTAAAAACCAGTTAGAGCGACAAACGGATCGAAGCCAGGATTCGAAACACCTGCGAAATTTGTGTGTGGTGCTCCGATCGACGTTTCGCACAGTCATGTTGTGAGCTCATGCTGGATGATACTAATTTCTGTCGATCTCATGAGCTTGGGACAGAAGAGTCTTTGGAAGTTTTTATTTTGTGCTCAGGAAATCCCTCTTAGACCAGAAAGTAAATAATTTTAGAGGATTATCTAAAGAGAAAGTAAACATATCTGTGAAACGCCTTACGTCACCATTGGTACGTAAAAAGTACGGTTTTGGTGGTCATAACCAGGAATTAGCCCAGTCTTTGGAATCGTTTGAACTGAAAATCGGGTACAAGGTTACCAGTGTACGTCACTTACCCTATTAAAGTCATTGCCGAAATTCACCCCATGAAACAACCAAGTAACTGATTATGACGGCCAAATCCCTACCCCCCATTTCTTGGCATTCTGCATCGAGCCCCGTGGGTTGAAGCTCCTCTTAAAATTTTGGCCGCAAAAATTAAACAAAAAGGAAAACATGTGTCTGTCAACCAGTTTTTGTGTTAAAGCTGTACAGACACCGGCTCACCAACCACTCTCCCTCATGCTACGAATCCCCATATGGGCAAAAGTTTTGATAGAAGTCAAAGCTACATTACTCCCTGCACATTTGCCCTTAAACAAGAACAACGCCTGAGATAGAGACTAACGGTTGAGAATTCCATCTTCTTGATTTTCTCATCGTGGTGATTTCACTAATATGTCGCAATCATATTTATCATTAATACAATTCACAAACGAAGGCAATTTATACGTAGACGCTGCCGGACCAGATCTTCTCACTATCACCCCTGAACAACACGGGGACAAGGAGACAGCTATGGAGGATACGTCATTGGGGAAATCGCATGGTTCTGTGCATATTCAGGCAAACATATGAGTGCGAGATGCGAATGCACTGAGTTCAGTGTACAGTCCATTAGACAGTACCGGTACTCCCTTTTGTTCTGAATGTTCCCCAAACAACCAAGCCATTTACATAATGGCTGTGGCTATAGGAGTAACGTGAGAGTTTATAAGGGAACAATAGCAGCCGCTACTCACTGGCCTCAATAAGTGCCACGTATATTTCTAGCCAATAGCAGTAACATTCAGAGTCTCATTTTGTCAGAATTAGTGACTTCATGCCGTTGTCAGGGCCAGCCACGCCTTACGATGAGGTCATTTCAAATTTGGAATAATTCCATACTGTTTAGGATATTGAAGAAAGAGGAATGTAGAAGGCCATTTATAAATGTCATCTAGAAGGTATGAGCTTAAATACTATCTACCTCAAACACATTGCTCACTGAATACACTTGGCATATTGCACAAAGTAACCTTGAACAGATCTAAAAGAGTCGCATTTGAAGCGACCAAATTGAACTTCAACTTGCAAAAGAAACTACTTCAGACAAGCTTTCTCGAATTGCATAACTTGGGTGGAGCTCTGCACCTGCCGTCTGCAGGTGCCTGCGTAGGGTCCTCCTCTGGTTGAAGGTCTTTCTGCAGTGGGGGGACAGTTTGACTGTCACCCAAACCCCTTGTTTCCCGTCCACCTTTTAATAAATTATTGGCCCCCAATAACACATCCCGTAGACAAAAGAAAAGTCCATGTACTATCGACTTGATATTTAGGGAACGCAACAATACTTTCAGGCATATAATTTAGAACTAGCTATATACAATTTGACGATACACACTCCGTCATACAATAAAATTTGCGCCAGATGACCGGATGGAGAATTCATCCGAAATCTTACTTTCATTTTCTTCTATGGACAATCATGTTAGCGCTTTGAGCCTTCAAATTGAAAAAGGAAATAACAGTGTGTCTGATATGATATGATATAGTTCCAAGTTAAGATGAGAGGAAAAAGCACGACAGTTAATTTACATAATCATAGAACAGAAAAAGGGGAACACACATAAAATCAAAGAGATATCTTCAAAGTATTGTTAAATATTCTTGTGTATCATAAATGGAAAGTTACGGATCAAATGCACTGTTCATTCAGGCTAATCAAAAGTTGGAGGCGATACTTACACTGAACCTTCATCACGGATGCTCATGCAAGAATCCTTGAAATGGACAGCGATTAATAAAGACTGAACACAGTCAAGTAATTTGTAATTTGCTTATTGCACTTTAGTGATTTGCAATTTGCTGTATATTTATAATATATATATATTTATAAATATAAAATTTATGTTTGTTCCTACTAAGATCATTAAGAGTTTTTCTCATCCTTTTTTTCACATTTTACTCAAATGTCATTCTTTATTTTCATAGTTATTTAAATAGAAAAAAGACGAAATAGACGATTAGCATTTTTTGAAAAACATAGTGCACGCAATTATGCTTGCCTTGCGTATTTCACGAAATTGATTGCCCAAACTCTTACCGCGGATCATCCGCACGAATTTGTACATACTGTGCATGTTTTTTCCAAACTGAGTGCCTACTCTTCAAAACAAAACTGGGCAATTGCATGCTCATGAAGTAGAATTGAATGGCCATTGTTGCTCTTTGAATGGCGCTCTAGACCGGTAATCTATTTCTTGCTAACTTTGAGTGAATATATGGTGTATGCAAATGTTACGTTTACGAATTCGGTCAGGAAAATTATTATACCTATCTGTAAAAACTCGAATTTAAGAAGTCTTCAATGATGTCACCAACAGGGCACTACGAAAATAGTCATAAAATATCTAATAGTCACATAATTTAAGGCAAATTTTGAATTATATCGTGGAGCAAGTAATACTGTTTTCATATATATTAGAGATTATTTGTATATGGAATATTTAATTATTTGAATACATGCATGTGCTGATTTGGCAAACTTGCATCTTTTTAAATAGAAATGTACTACTTTACACATAAATTCAACCCAGACATTATGCCAAGCATGCAAATTAAATAACGCTAGCTAATTTCTGGCTCATTGAACCAACAAATTTGAATGGTCGCTTGCTCCTCGACAATCAACAGTCTCAGCCCTCTCTCTTACAACTGCGTTCCATTCAGTCCTATTCGTTCAGGCACTGGGCTCCCAGATACCGGGCTCTCTGATGTCACCACGGACGAGGACTTGGTCATGTTGGTTCCCAGGCTGCCGCCGACCTTCCCCGTAGAGATGGTTCCGCTGCGGCTGCGGCTGCTGCTGCTGGTACCCGCACCGCGTTTCCCTCCAATCTTCCGCCGCCACATGGCCCAGACACGCCGGTTGCAGACGAAGGCAACGAACACGAAGCAGCCGTGGAAGGCGTTAAGAATAATGGCCACGTAATAGATAGCGGTCTCCCTCGTGAAAGCAGCAATGAAGAACCAGATCCAGGTCAGTCCCATAAGAACAGACACCTTCGGGGAAATAAGATGAGAATACCTGTGAAAATACTATTGACAGCAGTCTGACGCGCTTAAATCAAGGACATGGACTGGATATTAACGAACATCCTAATTTCAATTCCTGTGCGTGTTTAATATTTTTTTCAGTCAACTTCACTCTAACTGTCCTGATGAGGCAGTTATGGGTCTGTCCTTTGCAAAATAAAATTGACGCCGGAGCGTCGTTTTGGCATCATAAAGGCACCAGACTGCAACATTTCTTCTTGAGATCATTAGGCCTACTTTTAGTTTGCTTTAAAGGAGAATCGGTGTTTACCCAATGGATGCCGTTTGGTTTAACTTGTGGGTGACTACCATTACAAAAAAGGATGAAAAATATAATTTATCTGGATAATGATAATTACGCACACGAACAATTCATATTCCTTAACTATACCGGAATCATCTACAGACAACTTTTACAAGAGGGAAATTGTCAAACATCCAAGTTACGTCCTGTGTTTGGCATCGTAGATTGGAATTTTTTTTCGAATTAGTGTCTGGAATCAGAACACAAAGAATCAGCACATGTGTAGATTTTATTGTTTGTTAATCAAACCTTCAAGTAGATAAAGAACTCATCGCTCGCCCGCTGCATTGCGGATTTATCCTTCTCGATGAAACTTGTGATTTTCTTGGACTCTCGCAACCCCACGATTGTCTTGACAAAGAGGGCAGCATTGATTAGCAAGGACGCCAACACCGGCAGGCCGAAGGCTAGGAGGTTAGCCATCTCGGGGCGGATCCAGCAGACCCCGCCCAGGCCGTAGTTGAATTCGATGCCGCCCAGGGAGGAGGTGGAGGAGTAGACAAAGTGGAGTGGGAGGCAGACGGCGATGATGACGGCCGGCATGCCCCAGGCGAAGGCGCACATCCACAGGAGGGCGTGGCCGCTCTTCTCGACCAACCTCGGCCCCGTTGTCATAGAGAATGTACGGCTGACGTCAAAACTGTCAAAGAAAAAATTGTTATTAGCACTGAATTCTTGCAGTTAACCCCTTTACTCTTTCATACATCTCTACGCAAATGCAAAAAGCCGCTCTTTTAAGGCTATCTCCTTAGGTTGGAGTTCACTTTATAGTGTCTTCAGTAGGCCTATGCTTTCTTTCTTCGTTTGTTGCAAGCGGTTAATCATCTACGATGGGGTTAGGATGAAGTGTACCTTCTCTGTGTTTTGTAACAGCCTTATTACTGAGCTGGAACCGACAGGCTAGGAGTCCCAGGGTGTATCCCATCCGTTTACAATACTTTACAATATGACTGGAAGAAATTGTTGGCTGTGCTCTGGGATTAAAGCATCATTATTGAAGTCACTTAAATAAATGACTGGCAGCTAGTTTTTATATTTTGCTTTTAGGACTTTTACTTGTGAGTTACTTAATTACCCTAGGGCTGTCATCCAGAAGAAGCAGGCCATCCAGATATAATGGCAGATCACAGCCATAAAGGTGCAGGCTCCATGTGACTCACGAATCCCAGACGAGCCCCCGACCAACAGCAAGATCTCCCCGGCGAAGAGCGCCACCACGAAGTGCATGGTCGCGCAGCCGGGTACTGTGCGCAGATTGGAGAACGCGCAGTAGGTTATGAAGGTCAGTACGAGCGCTAGCGAAGACAGCGTGGTGCCCACCACGTTGAGGATGTATTGAGGGAGAGAGTAGTCGAACCATAGGTCTTGGAAATTATCCTTACAGACCTGGGCGCTGTCGTCGGTGAGAATCAAGTAGTCAGTCGACTCGTAATGCCTTCCTTCAACGTTGAACCTCATCGCACCATCTTCATCGATGCGGTACTCCGACGGCCTCAGTGTGATGTAGTGACACAGCAGATCCTTTGTGGCGTTGCAAATAATGAGCTCTCGGTAGACTTCCCAGACGTTTGGAGAGCGACTCTCCAAGGAGTACTCTACGCGGAGAATTAGGCTGTCGGCCCGGTACAACACCAGTTCGTCGTCGTGGTGAATATACTTGACGCCCCCGAAAACGTAAAGGGTCACTTCGTTGGGATCGAAGGTCTGCTCCGTGCACCTATCGAGGGTATCTTCCCCGGAACAGATCTCTGTCAGTTTCATCTGGAGGAGCTCAATTGACGGGGTGTTGTTAACAAGGGCCAATTCCATCGCTGTCATTTCATCACTGAGGTTGTTAAACTGTTCCCACACTGTGCTGATGTTGGACGTGTCAAAAGATAACTCCCATAGGAAGCCATCGAAGCCTTGTTGAGACCTAGGCGCCGGTTGTTCACCTTCGCTGGTCTGGAGTTTGTAGTCCAAGTTTGCGATCGTAGTCTGGTAGCGGTCAAGGAACATGGATTCTTCAAACAGCGAGACAAAGACTTGCAGCCAAGAATTGTCGGATGAAGCAGTTTTCTCTACCGAAACTAGGACCTTGGCTTGTACCACGGGTAAGGCTTTGTCACAGTACAAGGCACGCACTTCACCAGCTGGAATGCATTTTTGTGCATTGAACGAGAAGTTAAACCCGTGTGGGCATTCCAGGTACAGCGCAACCGAATCGATGGCGTCGTCTGCGAGTGGCAGAAAGTCGAACGGAATGGAGATCGGCGTAGAAGCACTTCCCGGGATGGTGTTCGGCTTGTAGCAGAATTTCGACGTTTTGTGACCGTGGCATACGCAACAGTGCGGGTTTTTGTACCACCTTACGTCACACTGAATCAATGCCATGTAGCTCTTACACAGATCAGCAGCCCATGCTTCCGTGGCGTTCATTTCCAGCTCGTCCGGACAGTCTTCGACCAGATCTGGCTTGCAGACTCTCGCTTGTTTGAATGGTGCGCCAGCATCATCGGTAGGGCACGAGGGGTCGAATCTGTAGGCGAACTTTACGCAGTCCTGATCCACAAGCACAGGCGGCAGCCCAGGTGAAATGAGATGAAGTTCCGTACAATGAATTTTGGACAGATTCCATGGCAGCATGTCCTGGAGTTTGACCCCTTGGCAGAATGCGCAGTACACATTCTTGAAATGCCTCCACTCATTGTCCAACCGGCCGGTCACCGGCACAGAATGGATCATGTGGTCGGTGTTATTCAGTGTCAAGTTGCCGATCAGAGTCCCCTGTTCCGAGATGCACTTGGACTCGATCTCTTTGTTTCTGTAACCTGGCGGACAGCCGGCCTCGAGCCAATGGCCTCCGTATTCGGCCCTTACGGGGACGCCTCCCCTTTCGAGCACATTGGTGATCCAAGTCCGGACACACTCTTCTCGAGCGCGTCGTGCCGGCGGAACCCCGGCTCCGGTGACCGGATGGCCGGTCGGGAAGGGAGGTCCGGTTCGATAGCAGACATTACGGGGCGAGTCGCGGCCGCAGTCTCCGTAGTCATCACAGCCCTCGTCACACCAACAGTGTTGGATGCCCCTGAGGTTGACGCACTCCTCTTGACACGTCCGCTCGTCAGGACACGTCGTCGGTTGGGTGCTGTTGACTCCACACACAGCCTTCCTACCAAGCCCGATCGGGAAGGCCTCAGGTACACCAGCTGGGGGCTGAACTGAATAACGAGAAAACAAATTATACGGAAACGTATACATCAGAATTTTATGGAAGTATCCCAAAATTTCCCATGAAAGGCAATGCCGTTGTGTATATACAAGAGCCCATCACAGGTTCTATTAATCACATTGTACATTTATGCCAATACGATATGAGTATAAGTAAGTGACAGAAGGTTGCAGTTCTTGATATGCCGAACAAGTATTCACTTCGTATTTCTTGTTGACAAATTCAACAAGAAATAGGCAAAGGAAAATGCTGTAATCTATTGTGAAAATGACGCTCTGTTGACTATAAATCTTCATGGAAATACAGGGTCTTGAATTTTGCCGTGCCTTATTTGTTCACAAACATTGCATTAATTCGCGGCTCATTTTATGCCAGCGCATGTAATTATCTTTGTAGTAAAATTTACGAGCACTCAAAGGCTGTCGGAACTGCAAGATTGCTGTCCACAGACGTACCTCCACTGATCATTTACTGGCCAGTAACTGTCTCCCTAGAGTAGTTTCCCCCTCTGGAAGAAATAATGATTCTTCCAGAGAGAAAAGGAACTTCGGAAAGTTTATTGTTTAGACAGCTGCGTCTAGTTGACCCGACAAGTTTATCCTGTCTGCTGCGCCGGTTGTCAACACTGAGTTTTCTATCGAGATTAATCGAATGTTCTTCCCAAACCGACAAATGCACAGAAATAATCTGTGCCCTAATTTTTTTGCACCTATAAATCAATGAATCCAACATTTCAGATGACATTCCTGATCAAACATTCGCAGGAACATCGCAAAATGCGTATTTTTTCATTGTCCATCATCATTTTTCGTCAGTTGAATTTTGAAAGAGCTCATCACACTGTGAGTTTAAATTCTACATGAATTTTATATTCAACTTGCATTTGAAATTCCTGTAGAATTTTATGAGATGTCATGGCGCATTCTGCGCATGCTACATAAGACCCAATCCATTCTGGCCACCTCAATATGACAGAAAGGCCATGCCTAATTGACTTGGAGAGCGCTTCAAGCTTCGTACCATTCTTATAAACGAACGTGTTATTTCAAGCCGCGGCCAAGCAGTGTCAGTCGGGCTGTAACGTGAACCCGCCTTGACAACGTCAGCGCTGCCCATCAGCTCCGAGCGAACAAAAGAGGGCGTTTTTGTTAACGAAATTGGTTGTCCTTTTGGTACGGGTACCAACCATTGATCTCCGTCCTCAGTATATGCGCGTTTGACGTGGAGCAGGCTGAGTACGAGCAACGATTGGGGGTGCTTTTCAGCTCAGGGGGATAAAATCGAAAACCATCGCCAGAATACAACCCGTTGCTCCAATAAGTAGACAACGGGTCACCGTTGCTACAACCATTCCTTAAACCTTAAGCAGCTCTAGCACTAGTGATTGTAGCTCTTTTTGGCCCTGTTACCGGATTTCGAGCGTGATCATCAGTCTCGAACTCTCCGCCAGAGTGATTTTCAGTTGGAAATTTGTGGTCAGCCCTCGTTTTTATGGTTTGGTTACATTGAATAGGCAGCATTTTCTCAATGGTCAGTGTGGAAGGTGCATTAAGTGATTATTTCTGCTTGAATTTTCAGCTTAAGGCATTTAGGGAAAATTAATACATTCCCGGACATAACCCAAATTAAGTCATGTTTGCAGAAGGGTCTTAAACGTCCAATTTCTATATCAGTCATTTCAGTTATATGACAACGCAAACCCGATGGGCTTTATAATGACTGACAGAAACTTTCACGAAGATATCCGCATCGGCGCGTGCCACAACAAAACAAGGCTTTTTCCATGTTTACACTGGTCTTAGCATACAAACCAAGGCAAACAAAGCACAGACCAAGACTTGTGAAATCCAACCCAAAACGCACGCAGGCTTTTAAGAAACTCGGCTTCATATCCTTTTCGAGACCAAGCACAAATTTACTTATTCTTGGGAGCGGCGTGGAGAAAAACAGAACTTTAATGGTTATGAATGACTGGGCGTTAACTTCTTGAAACAGTCCACGAACAACGACCACACAAAAAATACAGTCTGAGCTTGATTCTTTTCAACCGTTACAATATTTACCGAGAGCAAATTCAAACTTTCCGTTTCCACTTGGCTGTTGAAACAAAACGCAAGCATGCACTCGCTCGGGATATCTGACGGACTCTCTGCGCAAGACAAAATACGCCACTAGAGCAAGAGCCTGTTATATTCGAGTCGCGATTCCAGCCGTTTAAAACCTCTCGTTTTGAAAGCAAAGATCCAGCGAGGCACGAACAAGTGGATAGACCAACAGTTTATCGGTTCGGCTCGCTCTTTACGGCCGTCCACTCTCAAGCACTTCCGGCCCTTTTTGTCACAGATTTTATCGTTTTCATTTTTTTTTCTCCTCCTCGAAGTGATGTGAAGAGGTTGCACGATCGTGTCTGCAATATTTACATCCTCCAAAAACAACGGTTCGTCGAAACTGTGAAAATCGCCTTGACGGTCTTTTTTGTTTTAGATCCATCTCAGAGTAATTTTTAAAGATGCACAAAGTGAGAACGTTAAGAAATGGTCCAACTGAACACATTTACATAATGCACGGGGCTAAGGGGCCGTTTAACTTGAGTGTAAATCCCGGGGGGATGGGGGGTATTTAATGTTTTAGGTGGGGCTGGGCTAATGAATCACCCCTCCACTTTTTCGTTGTGAGAAAAACATTAAACCGAATCGTGAAGAATTTTTCGGACTTCCCAACATCCAAAATATTTTCAATAGCACTCAAAAGGGAGAATTTTTTAAAACCAGGAATGTAATAATGTTAACTGTACGTTTTGGATCATGAACATCTCCCCCTATTATGGTGTCATATGGTGTCAGCCCAGAGTCGCCCTCCTCCCCGCTTTTCAAATTTCCATGGCCGGTTAAGTAATGCCACAATTTCCCATTCCCCAATGCCCGCCACAAATTTACGCCACTGCTTTTTATTATCAAAAGGAAGTGAACTTAGGAAACCTGCAAAACACTATTAAAGTTTAAAGAATTGGAATATTTATTCAGATATACAGTAGGCTACAAAGAAATAGTTGAAGGTCCCCTTCCCCGATTAACCGGACGTTGAACTATGGAATGGTGGAAAAACTGAGAAACAAAAACCACAATAAAATAACACGAAAAAACCAACCGTCACCATCCCCCCCCCAAAAAAACTGCAAGATATAGATTTCGTTTTCAACAGCATGTTGTCACCAATATTTGTATGCAGCGAGAGTATTCAGGTATTCCAACTTAGGCCAAGACTTCTTCCCGGCTTGAGTGTACAGACTGAGCGTCCCCATTCGTCTTGTATTATTAAAACTCGCTTCGAATAGTCTTTGGCATCGACTTCGCGCAAAACACGCGTGCAAGACAAGTGTAAAATGAGTGTTCCCAATTATCAAAATGTGGTTGAGTCGGCTGCTAAAATATTGCAGAACTGGGCATTCTCTAGTCATTAAAACACCGACCATACCATTTATACTTGAAAATACCCCACTCGCAGTAAAGCTGAGTCAACACCCACGACTCAAACGAGCTTCATTAGCTAAGATCTCTGATCCCATCAAGCGCCATCTGGAATCAGTGAGACACTATCCTTTTTCTGTATTATAACCAAAAGTTAGGCTTTCATCATCTGATGGCAGTTGTCTCCGTTTACCGATAGTCACAGATTAAAACAAACTGCACGAGCACCTTATCGGTCTATATTGAGCTCAGCTGATCTATTCAGGACTAGTATTAATTAGAGAGGATGTGTTTATACTTTGTCACCAAAGATCTGCATAGATAGGAAGTGACAGCGCCGTGCGTACGTTCACGTGGAACAGATGCTGTACGTACAAAGCGCGCGATCCCAAGCAACTCAACTGTACGATATGGCGTATTAGACGGGATGGATATCCGCCTTAAACAGAAGCACTCTCTCATCAGTTGAAAAGAGCCATGCTGGTATACCATGGTAGGGAGTGTTCGCTTTGTTGGTAATGACGCCTATGCAACGCATGCGTCAGTCGTTCGTAAACGAGCGAAATGGAGTTCCTACCAAAGGAGCCTCGGTTATATGAGAATTGCACCCTTTTTTTTGGTCCCGCTCGGGGTTCATAGGTGTAGGGGATGGGGCAAGTGGGTCATCGAAGCAACTGGCCAATTCTTAGGCCCAAAAAATGAAAAGGTTTTGAAATTGACCAGATGCGTTCAAACAATAATATATATTTTTTCAGAGATTAAGATGGACATATTGATAAATTGAGGCCCGTGTGAGAAATATAAATAAACTCGAAATCATGATTTAGGACAATAAAAATGCCCAAACCAAACAACCTCATACTTAGCTTAGCACTCCAATAACAGAAATTACATGACTGGAGGACAGATATAGGAATTTTCTTCTTTTTTTATTGGATTCTGGTGCTTCTGAAATGGTTACAATTGCCAATTTTAGTGTTTTATCATCAATTTACTCATTCCAACATTCATTTCATACTCTTTTGGTGACAAGTTTTAAGGTTTTATGATGTGGTCCTCTTGCCCTGGGTGTGGGGCTAGTGGTCCACTTTTGGATGAATTTTGAATGAGTTAATTCATGTTTTATTAATGTGTAAGTGATTGATATCCGCTGTTTGCAATAAACAAACAAATGTTTGGGTCATGTGTTAAGAGTAGTTTTATCCTTTTCCTGGATTATTGAATATGATTAGAATCAAGAATGCGCTGAAGCGATCGAGTCACTCAAACGCATCTTGGTTTCTACACTGATCAAGCGAGATTGCAGTGGCGTATCGGGGGGGGCAGGGTTTCAACTTGCAACCGATTAGTTTTTTTCCTACTCACCTCTGAAATATTCTCAGTTGGGAAAAACAATTTTAAAATAGACACCAAAATCCGTCAAGGCGAGCCCCTCCCCTTGACGGATTTATTGGCTATATAGGCTTTATTTAAACAGGTTGTATTTTGTCTCCCCCGTTATCATGTTGAATGAGCCAAAAAGTGCAAGTTGCTTTCGAATTCCCCCCTCCCCCACACACACATACCAAAAGCTGGATACGCCACTGTGACAGTGGGTTTGCTATTTGGCAAAGTGCCCAATAAGAGTACACAGAGGTTTTGTATTAAGGCCGTGTACAACTGCTGAGACCATTAAGGGCGAAACCAACGCTCTTCCCATAGTATGAAGCGAACCGTATTGGACAATTTGACCACGTGGTACAGTCTTTCGGGCCGGTGCGTACTTTACATGCTCAACTTTTTCAGAAGCTGGAGTACAAGCTGGAGTAGACATTTTACAGCGCTACGTGATGCATAGACGTAGTTTTAGTATGGCAATAAAAATACTCTCAGGTTCAACTGGTCTCGAGTTTCTTTTCTCTCCTTGCTTTCTGAAATGAATCTTCCAAAGGTTTCATGGCTAAAAGAAAGAAATGTGTCCGAGAAATTGGCATATTGATAGGTTTTTCAACACGTTTTCTCTTTAATCTATATCCAGTCGCCCCTTCAATTTACCAATCTCAACTGTGTCCATCGTTTGAATCGAGAAAGATAAGTATCGCTGTCATGTGACGTGACAGAGCACGCGCCAGGCTCCTTCAGCAATTTATTCGGATGATTGCATGGAGATTTTAATTTGAGATTTTGGTATTCCGAGAAGCTGTCTTGGGCACGTTTGCAGCGTACTATCACCCTTCAATCGCTTGCACGGTGCCGAGAAGAAATCACAGCTGACGGGTAATCAGACGCCTAGGAAGAATTGTTTGCTTACTATAGACAACTTGCATCAGCGGTTCATTAGCTTGTTTTGCGTCATTTTGGGGGTCGGTAGATTCAACAGAGATTTTGACGACGGTGTGTTGCCAAGTTTTTGAATTTCGGGTAGTCTGTTGAACAAACTAGTTGTTATTCTTGTGAAAATACCATTTAAAGTTACCTTTTAAGTCTACAAGTGCCGCAGCTACTCAAACCTGTTGTGTTGCATTGATGTTATGTGTATTAGGTGTTAAATTAATCAGTGGCGTGAATTGTGCCGGGAGCTGTGGGGACGGGGAATATTGTGACGAGCTGACTTGCCTTGACTTGGAAATTTGAAAAGGAGGAGGGTGCAGACACCATCTCATAACACTAGAGGGCGATGTTCATAATACATGATTTGTTACACTCCTGCAGAACCTTAAAATTACACAGAACCTTGTGTACTCTGAATACGTATAAATTGTTGGGAAGTCCAGACAATTCCTCACAGTCTGCCTTAATTTAACGAAGCCCCCGGTCAAAACCTAGGGTTTAAATTCCCCCATTCTCTGGTATTTACGCCCATGATTATAATAAATTCACTATCCATGGATGGCATAAAAGTGTAGTTTGCACCTAAGTTGGTGTAATGTGGTTGTTTTGCTGTTGTTTCACAAGCGTACGTTCAGTTGCTGTCCTTGTGATGCCCAGAGTTGCTGTGTTTTCTTTTTTTTTATTAGTAGTAGTATTTTTTAGATTTTGTCTATCAGTATGTTTTTAAACAGTTTTTATTTTTGTTGTTGCAGTCCTCTTTGTCATTGTCGCTGTTGTTTGTTTGTTTGTTTGTTTGTTTGTTGGGGTGTTTGTTTGTTTGTTTGTTTGTTTGTTTGCCTTACTGTGTGATATCTTGGACTGAATGCATCGTTGTAATACTGTCTCAAAGTTTCAGCCTGCAGTTCACCCAAATCGTTCTCAGCCTGAGGACAATCCAAGCACAAGGCCAAAAGGATCAGTAAACATCACCAACTGATCTGTAACAATCAGGGAGTGACCGACGGACATTTCGTCAACATTTCCTCCGGTCAATCAGTCGCGACGACCACCACCCCCTGCGTCAAGGGAAGGCAAGGGGCAAACCGTGGCGTTACACTAGCACTCCATCTGCATGTCCGCCAAACCACCTGCAATCCGCTAAGTGAGTCCCGGGGAGCATTGTGTTTAAATCTTTGCTCGCAAAAACTTCGGGCCGAGGATTGTCAAAGAGAAGAAATATGCTTGATACGACCGCCGCGGTGATGTCTATAATGTCTTAAGAGTCAGTATTCTGCCTGAAGCATATTTCTAGAGGTTAAATAAAAAAAAACCGAAATCTTGTGAATACATCTCTGGTATACGGTTTGGTAAGAGCTCACAAATACTTCAAACGGGTGTGATTCTTGTAATGACTCAGGCTCTTGATTAAATGCGACTACGAAATGATAAAAATAGTCTCAACTGAGTTGAACAGCTGGCTATCTTCCCACCTCTTGAGCTCGTCTGGCCGGAAACATCAGTGGTTATTCACAATATTTTATGGTGAAATTTACTGTTCCGATGCGGGAAGTGTGGTTTAAAGAATTTGACGTATCCATCTGTGTCACATTATTCACAATGGTAATAAATCAGGCATTTAACTACGCGGAATGCGATAAAACAAAAGTAATGTGATTGGTAATGTAAAGACCAGGTAGATTTTCAACATTCCATTCGGGTAATTCCATTTTTCCAAGGAACAGAAACAAGAAACAGAATGTTAATGTTTAACGTTCAAAAAGATGTGTCTTGCAACCTGTCCATCCACTCAGTTTAAAGAATGGCATCCCTTATGCGTGTTTTTCTATAATATACATATATATAATTTTAAGTCTTATTATAGCAAGTTTCGGATTTTTTTTCTTTTTATCAAAAGTACTCTCAAAATAAATTGATTCCAGCAAATCTGGGTTAATCTGTCAATTCAATGGAACGTTTCCATTTACTTTACATTTCCTTTTTACAATGGCGTCTTATTCATCTTTATTCCCAACTCGTTTAGGATCTTCGTGTTTTTAATTCTCACCCTTTTTAATGTCCCAATCATAAAAACACTCCCGTTTTGAGCTGCCAAATGGTAGCATAATTACAGCGTAGGCAATTTTTTCCAAACGGACCAAAATGGTGAAGCATTAACTGCAACAAAAATCCCGGCGGACCTACAGCCGCCTGCTGGACAGGCTCGTTTACAGCACCGCGGTTCGGTTCGGAGTACTTGGTCAAAGTCTCAGAAATGTACTTTTCTGATAATAGATTGTCCCTTTGATCGTTTTTCGGCATCGCGTAGAATGCATGACCGGAAATCGGCGTTTGTTCCCGTTCAAATCACGGAAGATATCGTGCCGTTTGGTTACTTTGAGGCCGATATTGGTTTAATTTGCACCCTTTGGAAAAGTAATAGTCACTTTAGAATTTTCTTGTAATTTATATTTAGTGGTGTTAACTATAAAAGGTGTCCATTTCACGCTTACCGTCAGGTAACCGTGACGTCAAGGGCTACATGCCATAGCATGCTGAACCTATAGCCTAACCAAGACGAATCGGTCCGAAATATCAGCACATTTTTTCTAATATCAAGATAATACACTTTTTCCTGCACCGAACATCCATGAGCTTGTTCAGGCACACACTGTACAGTTTTGCACGTCATGAATCTGTATGTAGGGTACCCGAACAATGCTCGACGTGTAAAATGCAAAAATTGGTCGATGGAAGGCAGTGTGAACTACCTACGACAAAATACATTGGCTTGGTTGATTGACTCTTGCAGTTTTAAATGTACCTGGAGTATGTTTCTTTCATGGTGTAGTCCTATCCGTACAGCACGCGCGTTGTCAACTTAATTCATATGTACGTTTGCGTTAGATTGCTGGTTTAAACGAGAAAGTTAGGTCTAATTCTGCGAAAAACTGGTGTAAAATTTAACTGCTTCAATATTCGTAATGATATGACACCCCTGACCGTTGTTATTTCATATGGATACCAAGGAGGGGGGGTTAAGATGAGAACCGGTTTAGTGCCAAAGCTACAGTGTAGAAGGGGTTCGTTTGACGGGGCGTGCTTGTCCACATCACGACTTCACTTTAAGAGAAGCTCGTTTCGAATATTCAACCAATTTAACGCGCCGAGGCCTGTCAGTGACAAGTCGGCAACATGGCAACGAACCAAAGTCATTGGCATCGTATCAACTGAAGATGACAGCGAGATGGCGAAATAGGCGGCATGATGGAGCGAAAACGAAGAAGTGTACGTGTGTGTGTGGGGGGGGTTCTGTCACACAATGTCTCAGTGCTTGGACGATTGAAACCGCGCAGCAATTAGTGTACGTTAAAGAAATTCCAGCCCCTTTTTTGAAAAAAAAATCAGGAATCCTTACCCAGGCAATGTCGGTCTTGATGCATAAAAAAGACAACACGCCGACACGCATTGTGGAATATGAAACTCAAATGGCCGAAACAACGCCACCATAATGTTGGATTTAGTTTTACTAAATATGCTTAAATGCTAAGTTTCAAAGGGCTCGAAGTTGGGGCTCAAATCCCCTGTGACATAATTAAAGTAAATCTCGGCCCGTTTTACAAAACATAGTTTAAATTGGTTGCCTAATTGCATAAAGCTTTTTATATGTCAGGATAGAGATTGTGTACAGCAAGCATTTTTTCCAGTAAGAGCTTTAAATTTGTTCCAGAGGGATACAAGGGTGGACCTATTGTGCTAGCCTCCGTTATAATTTTTAATTGTAATCATTACTTTAATTTTGGCTTGAGATGCAAGGAAAGAGACCGGGTTAGACAGTATTTAGAAAACTATTTTCAACAAACTAGTTACCATACAGTCTTTATACTCACTCCATAAAGCGCAGTTGTCATCCGGCTCAGGAACGAAGTTGTCAGTCAAAAGTACGTCCATGTTGAGGAGTACCAAAAGCAACCTGATGGCAACAGGTGCAGTTGTTGCCATGCTGACGGTGGCTCGCGCATCAAAACTTACCGATAAGAAAGTTCAAGGCGTCGTAGTGGTGAATGAAACGCAGAAGACGACTGTGCGTCTTATAAATGCTGCTCACCCCGAAGGCCAACCACGTGCACGTAACTCATAAGCGCATTGCGCAGGAGTGAGATGTGACGTCATTCACAACCTAAGGCCGTTTACTGGCTACGGCTAGGCCTACATCCACTCACGACATCAACATTGTGTCCATGTCCCTTCAGCAAGCGAAGTACTCCTGGGGCACTTTTGAAACAGTTCGAATTCACTTCCGTTCAGACGGTTGCACTTAAGAACCCCTACTGACTCCCCTGGCGTGCTGCGTTTAAAAATGCCGCTACCGGGCGCCCGGGTCCAAATTTTATAGCACTGCGGAGCAGCTAGCAGAAAGTCGTGCTTACTAAATGCAGAAAGTTTTGTTCTATTTCGTGGTGGTGTTTGACGTGGTTTGTGCTTACGGTTATGTGCACACTGAAATCCATGTTTCGTCACCAATGAGTTTTCCCTTTAGGCACACAGGCCTTTTGATGCTTACTTACCGTCTTCATGAAATACATGGAGCCTCATGGGCTTTGGCCTATCTGTAACCGCCCGGGCTTCTAGGGCTGGGGCTAGGTTTATTGTTTTCACGTTTCCACATTATTTCCCGGCAATGGAATTGGGACCACCGAGACCTAACTCCAGACAACGATTCTCGCCACCTGTCTCTTCTTTGCCGGTGAGGGGGTGGTACAAGTCGGGGAAACCTGGCAAATATAGGCCACGTGGAGGCGCACTCTATTATTGCCACTGATTGTGTAATGTACAACTTTTTGCGGGTCGGGTGGAATGTGTGTCTGGTATACGCCGGCCGGCTGTATCGTCACAATGTTTGCGGACTTCTTCAAGGCCACATGCGGATCTCAGGGTACGGTGCATAAATGTAAGGCTCATCACTGCTCATAGTCATCAGCGTACGTACATGTAAGCTTGTAATTTACGTGAAGAACATTGTAATAATTGGCCCTCACTAATTAGGCCCACAATTCGTCAGCAGGCCTATATCATATGAGCTGTACTGAGTGGAGCGTTACAATACTTTATTTATTCGGCTAGGTCTACTCCTGTTGTGCGATTTTGGATGTGATCGGTGATAGTAAAGTGACAACTGTCGTTACGGTTCTCAAAATTCCAAAGACTCACCAAAATACCTTTTTCACCACCTAGGCCTACTGGCTGAGTTAAATGACAAAGGCAAATTTTTGGGGGCTTTAGTGATATTTTTGACTTCAAAATCTGTCAAAATCGGACCAGTTTGGCTGCACACACACACACAACACTTTTCAACACCTCCTCCCATTCAAATACGCATGCCTACATTTTGCTGGCACAATAACTCTATGGGCAAACATGGTCCTCCCAGACGCATGCATGTCTGGCCTAAACTTGGTCTGGGCGTGATGTTTAGGAGTGTTACCATCAACTGTTTCCTTGTCAATATGTCTTTTGCCCCAACTACATATGGGCCGCTCCTGCGGTTTTGCTAGAGGACCATGTTCCTCGATAGAGTTATTGCAGTAGCAAAATCTCGGCACGCGTATTTGAATGGGAGGAAGCGTCGAGAAGTTTACGTGTCGTGCGTGTGTGGAGCGAGAATGGTCCAATTTTGACAGATTTTGAAGTCGAAAATATCTCTAAAGCTCCCAAAACTTGCCTTTGGCATTTAAGAAAGCGAGTAGGCCTAGGTGGTGAAAAGGGTATTTTGGTGAGACTTTGGAATGTAAACTTTTGCATCTGATATTTCTTTAAGCAAATGACTTTCAGAGTTTGTTTTTTTACAGATTGTTTATTTTATTAATTATTTATTAATTTATTAATTTCTTTTCATTTCTTCTTTACCCTGGGAAAACCTCTCAGTAAATACTGTTTCCCATCGGTGCCCAGCATCGGATCATGCTTAATGTACATGCAACACATTACGAACTCAAATGAATGTGGTGTAATGGGTTTTTAAACTTTGTGGCTATTACATGTAGATCGTGTCATTGTTTTGTTATTGTTGATAGCTCTCTGTGCAGCTGCAAAAGTCAAGTCAAAAGTCACACAAGTTCTAATTTTTAATTCACTGGAATTCTGACATATACATCTTTGAACCAATTTCTCTAAATTAAAAAAATTTTCTCGGAAAACAAGCTTGTCACAAATAGTTTTTGCCCGTGGTTACTTTTTAAGCATGAAGAGGTTTTGCCGCAATCCGGCATTGGTTTAACTACACCTGTAATCCATAACTAGGGAAAGTGGTGTTGTGACTTTTGTTGATCCTGTAAGTCCATATTCGAAGCATAACTTTCGATAATAATATTGTTATGTCCCAAACACACATTTCACTGCAATTTGAGGATTTTTGCAGCAGAAATCTGACTGAATAATTTTCACGATCCAGAAATAGGAAACTACTGTAATAGAATATGTTTTTTTCCTTCAATGCATTTACCCCTTCATGTCCATCAACCCTCACCATCTATTCTTTATCAATTAGTTTTAGTGTCCCATGCCCATGAATATCCATTGCTGGGTTCTCACTGCCACAATGACCAAAATGGTGTTCTAGCTGGTACCATTTTAGTGCCAAATTTTTGGATTACCGAGCATAGGGAGCACAGTGAGTGGAGCTCACGCTGCCCAAAGCTGGGTTTTTAGGGGAATCCCAGAAGGGATTTCCCCCTACATTATCGTGAAGGCATGCTTAAAATAATTCTTTTTCAATTAGCGGCTGTTTATGAAGAAAATGAGAAATATATTTCTTAGGTCTTTACCTTCTTGTTTAAAATTGCAAAATAGTGCAAAACTGCAACTTTGTAAGCTTTGAAATAAGATCAAATTGATACATTTTCAGCAATATTTCAGTTAATATTTTGGAAAATCCGTGCTGGGCAGCACAGCCAATTTGAACCCAAGAGCCAGGCGAAAATTTACAGTACCGGGTGGTGCCACCTGGCACCGCCCACCGTGGCTAGAACACTGGGCATGCTGGGCCAAAACCTTGCAAAGGTGGCCAAAGAAACTTTTACTTCGAAATGGCCTGACTTTTTCAGAGACAAATATTTAGACTGTTAAAAAAACTAGTTGCGTGCATAATACACACCCCCAATCTCCATATAATAGATTTGTACAAATCATACATTTATCCTTCATGTAAATACTGTAGAAATGAATATCTACTGTACGTTGGCTTTATTGTCTCATATTTGTTGTGTTCTACATGTATTGTAACTCCAAGAAACTTTCAAGGAATTTGTCGATATTCCTAACATTAATCATGAATAAAATGGTTCAGGCCAAATTACAGGTACAGTAGTTGGCCATAATTCTTGGGAAATTAGACCTCAGAAAGCAGGCATTTGGGGGGATCGTTTCAGATATTGACGAAAGAATTGGTCAACTGAGTGACTGAAGTTTGCAATAATAAGTGCATTATAAATTCAGAACACGTTGCCCAAAAAGGATGTCAAGTAGGGTAGTTTTCATGTACTGAAAAAGTTTACTACGGAATGTGTACAATGCACATTGCACATAATGTAGCCTGCATTTAAGCAGTTTCATTACATGGGCTCTTGAAAACATTAATGGAAGTTTATTTATCTAACTACAGTATGTGTGTGTGCATAAGGTCATGTCAAGTGTTGTTGACATATTATCTGATCCTAATCTCGTTTCTGTTGACCTTGGCATTGGAAGGTATTCACTACTATTCAGGTCAAGATTCCATACTTTGAGTAGGAACTGAGTCAAGGTGCATGATATTGTAGTAGGAATACCAGTACATTGAAGCAGGATTTAGCCCATACTAGAATGTCAAGCAGTGATAAGAATTATTATAGATTGCCATGTTGATTTGGGATTATAGTAAGCCTGAAGTCTGTCTCTAATGGCTTTTAAAAATCTCTGTCACAAATGGTAGTTGCCCTTCCCAGACAGGATTTGGAATTTTGTCTGTTGGCATGAAATGCACTGTACATCTTACAATGTTTTTTCATTGAATAACTCATTCACAGAAAAATGGATGGATGTCAGACTAGTGAAGAGGGAATCCCATCCCCAACATGCATTATTCATGCTCCAGAAATCCACACTGACAAATCAGAAGCTGATATTCTTGAGGCTCAGCCCAAATCATCTGTCAGTCAAGTTGGAAACCATCTGGCAGAGGTCGCTGTTCAAGTTGCTTCTCCCACTTCATCTATAAATAAAGATGCTAATGAGGACGGGCCAGAGAGTTCAGCTCTGCCCACAGGCAATAGTGAGGAGTCCACAAAGTTTACACTTTACCAGAAAATGACGTTTGTGAGCATAACGATAGCAACGATGGCTGACGTAGCAGCTTTTTCAATCATGACACCATTCTTTCCAATCGAGGTAAAGAAGTTTATCTTTTTTCCAAAAACTAGTTTTGGTTTGTACAAGTACATGTAGATGTTTGACCTTGGCGTTTTTTATTACCGGTACCAGATTTATCGAATGCTGTTTGTCTTGATTTCTTCTCAGGCAGAATCACGAGGTCTTTCATCTGTAACAGTTGGATTTACCTTCAGCATTTTCTCACTTGCAAGTTTTGTGTTTTCTCCTATCTTCGGTAAAATTGTAAGTTCGTTTTTGCAAGTTTTGTGACTGTTTTCCAGAGTTGCTGACTCGAGTCATGTGACTTTGACTCGAGTCAGACCCGAGCCACTTTTTTGACTTGTGACTTGACTTGGACTTGCAAAACTTGAATTGTGAATTGACTAGGACTTGCCGAAAATTACTAGTTACCAATCTAAGTCAGACGCTACTCAACCGGCCCCTTATATTTTTAATTAAGGTTTTCAGTTTATGCCTTACATACATAAAAGTGGACTTCGGCTCGTAGGGCTTGTACTGTACATGTATTTCACCTAGCTGCAGCTGTAGATCAGGGCAGCATGCATATGCTGCTACGTTGTGTTTCGTTGACACGTGACTAGGATAGACAATGCCCTCAATGTGTCAAATTAAACAGAGGCCCAACATACGACAGATATGTGATAAACAGCAAGAATAGTAATTACAACACAAGTAAAAAAGGAGAATTACAGAGGCACTGTCAAAACAATTGGAGAAAAGGTGTTCAGCTGTCCAAAATTCATAACTCGTAACTTTGTAAGTTGACACCTGGTTGTTCTTGCTTATTACAGCTGGACGAAATAATGTGCAAGCTTGACTTGTACTTGGACAAAGGGACTTGTGACTTGACTTGTGTTTAGACCGAATGACTTGTGACTTGACTTGACTTGACTTGCCCTGTGACCAAATGACTTGTGACTTGACTTGTGTTCAGACCAAATGACTTGTGACTTGACTTGTGTTTAGACCAAATGACTTGTGGCTTGACTTGACTTGCCCTGTGACAAAATGACTTGTGACTGGACCTAATGATTGGGACTTGACTTGGACATGCAAAATATGACTTGCTGCCACCTCTGCTGTTTTAACAAGACATGATTCCTATCTCAAGCAAAATGTGAGCAAACTAATGTAAACAGTTAAGAATGATACACTGGTGTACATTCAGACAGACAGAGAACAGTGTGAAAGTGTAATCAGCTCTTTGGAGCTTACTCTGTTCTAGCCTTTATTGACCTAGATTGTCAAAACAACAGTGCGTGACTGTGTATTTACAGATCTGATTGTGCGATACAATTTTCATCTCCAAGCACACAATAAACAGTGCTTTCGTTGCAGAGGTATGCATCAGGACATTGCAGAATTTGTGTAATGTAGTCATTTACAGTGTGTACGAAACAGACATCTAAGCATTAACCACTTGCCGCCGGGGTTGCCGGTACCGGACATGTATTCTTTATATGCGTGGCCGGGTCTCTGAAATCGGACAAAGGGAACAGGGCCTTGTAACAAAAGACTGTTCTCATAACAAAAGACCAGGCTGCTGGGAATTACCAACATTTTTTCACTCTCAGTAGTGGAGATAATCCAGCCTTGTTTTGAAACAGTATACCATGGTTTGGGGAATTTAGCGTGAGCAGATTACCACCGGGGACAAAAGTGCTCCACCACCGCAGCGATTAGCCACACAGTACAGCTGCACATTAATCTGGTCCCTATTGAAAAGAGGTCAGCAGTGTACTACGCCAGGTTCGTGAACAAACGAAAATTACGTAACACTGCAAAATCTGGACTCTTTTTACAAGACAGCAGGCCTGGCTGAAATACTCCAGCGTCAATAGATGTTGTCTGTCAGATTAGAGTAGAAACTAGACAGTCCTTCGTGTGGGTGTAATTGTTCGGTAAATGAAGATGTGAATTTTTAAAGAATTTTGAAAACGGAAAAAAAAATATATCCCGTCTCAGCATCATCAACATTCATAACTGCCCCTGGCACGAAGTGGTTAAAGATGTTGTTCTTGATCAGCAATCTTGGTTGAGCACCCGACACACTATTCTGTTGGTTCTTGGTTCAAATCCTACTCAAGGCCACTGTCTTGTTTCTCTTTCAGTTACCAGTTGTGGGAGCACGCTTCATGTTCTTAGCAGGTTCCTTCGTCTCAGCAGGATGCTGCATTCTCTTTGGGTAATTTCATCTTCCCTAACTGCGTTGCAGAATTTGTAACATGCTTTAAAAATGATGGTCAAAATTGTGATATTTAAAATCCCGGCAAAATAATGTGAGGAGAAAGAATGAACAGGCATCTGGAGATACATGCTTGTAACCTGTCTTTGTTGATAATGTTAGCTCGTGCCCTGCAAAGCACGCATGACTGTATTTGTACACTGCAAGTGACCCATATTGGTATCATTTTGTTTAGAACCAAAACTAGTTTGGAATAAATGTTGTCTGACACAAGGCATAATGTCACAGAATTTTGTCCTGCAAGATATTAGGGTCTGATTTCCCCACCCGTTTTCCATTTTTAACTTTCAGTTTTATATTTTATTTCTCTGTATTTTTTCCATTTGATGTGCAAAGGTTTATTGATGAAATGCCAACGCAAACAACATTCACTGTTTTCTGTATGGTCTTACGGGTGGTGACAGGCATCGGCGCATCTGCTAGTATGACGGCATCGGCGGCCATCATTGCGTATGCTTTCCCCAACAATGTCGGCTTGGCCTCGGTAAGGGGTGATCAGAAGACGCTCATCACTAGAGGGCGCTGTGGGGTTAAGCCCGCTCTGAAGAGAGCACCCTGCAGCCTTCAGGCAGGATCTGGAAGTTTGTTTGGTTTGATAGTTTCACATAAACCGTTCTTGAGGAATGGACATCATTTCTAGTTGTAAGCTACAGGTTCCAGCTTGAAACAGCATGTTGTGAGGCAGCCATTAGCAAGCTGCACAGCCACTTCCCATAGACCCATGTGTGACTGTCAGCCACAGCCAGTTGATTCAGACTCAGTCTTAATGTTTCCTTTTTCATCGTGTTTACATTATTGGAGTGGGGTTTTGCCCATGGTGGAATGTCAAGCAGTGGTGGGACATGTTATAGATTAAATTTATATTTTAGAGATATTTATATATGCACAGTTTACATTATGAGGTGAATTTTATTTCAGAGTGTGAATGAAATGGTGGCAGGAGTGGGATCCATGATAGGGCCAGCTATTGGAGGACTCCTCTACTCCGTAAGTATAATAATGGCACAGAAGGAAGGTCAAGAGTTAAATAGTAAAGGTTAAAATGTCAAGTGCCGCTGGGCCAATGCAAGGAACAGTGATGAAAAGTCACTCTGTCACATGTCACATGGGATTGGACTCACAACCCTTGTTTTAGTACTTGAATCCATGACTTGTGAGCTTGCCCAGATTTATTTTAGTTAGAAATTCAGTCACAAATTAGGATTAAATACTTCAAGTACCAATTTCAGGTAGTAACTTAAGGCACTATAATTGAAGGAGTAAATTTTAATTGCAGATATATATTCTTTGTATAAGTAACAACTTTTGGTACCAATTTAATGCTTAGATGTTTGTACTACGTGTAGGTACTGACTTTTTGTATCATTGCTTTTGTTTTCCTCAGGCTGGTGGTTTCAAACTTCCATTTATAGTACTTGGAGCAGTGGACCTATGTTTTATTCCCATCAATTACTTTTTGATGCCTGAGCATGGTAAGATTCATGGCGTCATGCGCAGATTTTTTGTGCAGTTTGAATTACAATTTTCGTGCATTGAAACGGACACATAGGAGACCTCAAAACCATTGACATATATTTCCCCACCCCTGTATCCTTTCCCTCAACCACCTCTGACCTATGCTGAATGTTGTCTGCAAGCTCACAAGTCAGACAGGTTTGGAATGTTGGCAACAGTGTCGGTTGTCAAAAGGCTGCCAACACCACACTGGTAGTAACTTGATGCCTTTATTTGATTGGTCAGCAGTAGGTTACAGTCGATCACCAAAGCCTCTGCTTCACCTTTCTGTCCCTCTTTTGTCAGGCACCAAGAACGAGAAAATGGGATCGTTGTTCCAGTTGCTCCGAATTCCCGCCATCTGGGTGACGATGACTTGTGTCCTTCAGGGATCCATTGCAATGGGGTTTCTAGACCCAACACTCTCTCCTCACCTTAAGGAGGTTGGTGTCTGTTTTAAGGAAGGAAAGTAGGAATTTGGTACCAGTTGTTTGATAGCACTCATGCTTTGTAACAGCTGTCTGGTGTGCGTGCATAATGATTTTTGTAGAATTGCAGAAGGTAGGCCCAGCCCAGCCCATTCTAATTTGCTTGGGGCTTGGTGCCTTTGGAAACTTGAAATGGTAGTGTAAGTTGTTTGCACGCTTTAGATGGTCTGTACTTGCTGGCCTGATCAGCAGGAGTGATAAAATGGTTGTGCCTTGAGCACCCGGATGGGAGACTATGTATTATGAATATACATAAATACGCAACATGTGTATTAAGTTCCAAGAGATTGCACTTCATTGTCTGAGCAGTGGACAGTTGTGGTAGATTCATGGAGATCAACTCTCAGCAGAATTTTTCTCTATCTCGTTAACAGCTGAAGCTGAATATTGACGAGATCGGCTTCGTGTTCCTCGGGTTTTCAGCCCTGTATGCCATCTCTGCTGTCATCTTTGGTTACCTTGCAGATAAAACGGTAATTCAAGCATTCATGCACTCACATATGGTCCATATTATAGATCAATTTTGTCTAACTTTATTCAGTATAAGATTTTATATTTGGGGAGTGTGGCCTCTTGTTCAGGGTGTTATGACTTGTTATCAGAGAGTTAGTCACCTGCTGTTTATGTTTGTGTCCTTAGGCAGGCCACTCTACTCCAACGTGCATTTCTCTATGGAGGAAAAAGTGGTGGACTGGCATCCTGTTCAGGGAATCCAAATATTCCAAGTCATTCCATACCAAGAAAACTTGACTTAAATGAATACTGTCTCAGTTTAACATTAGTGGTTCGAGAGAGGTACCACTCCTTGTTTTTTCACACTTTTCTTTCTTTTTTTTTGTGTTGCACAATTGAACCGTACATGACATCTGCAAACTTAAATTTCTGCCCCTGATTTCTTGTTTAGAGTGTATTCTTTTCTCTCTTATTTCTGCCATTCCCCCCCCCCTTTTCTCGCAGAAAGCTACACGAATCATCATGGTGTTGGGGTCATACGGAGGTTGTATTTCGTTTCTCTTGCTTGGGCCATCTCCGTACCTCAACCTTCCCTTGTAAGTGTTGCAGATACATGTAGGTGACCATTTTGGTTTTCAGTGCCTTGTGAAAAGAGCCCAGATTTTGCAGTACCTGGGTACCAGGGAAGGTTGGGTCAAGTTTAACAACAGCGTTGAAGGGCGAATTGGGGCAACAACTATTTGTCAACCACCAGTCCAGGTTGCCCAGTACCCACGATTTATTTTGTTCATAGGTTACCAAGGGAAATTGACCAGTAATCCACATATTGCCGCCGTTCCAATTTGCCCAAAGTTTTGCTGGTAAACAGGCTTATGTATTAATAGCCATTGTAAACCGTTAACCACTTCACACCGGGGGCATTTATGAATGTTGATGATGCTGGGACGGGATAATTTTCTTTTTTTTTAAGGTTTCAAAGTTCTTTAAAAATTCATATCTTCATTTACTGGACACTTACACCCACATGAAGGACTGTCTTGTCTCTACTCTAATTTGACAGACATCTATTGACGCCAGAGTATTTCAGCCAGGCCTGCTGCCATGTAAAAAGAGCCCACATTTTGCAGTGTTACGTAATTTTCTTTTGTTCACAAACCTGGCACAGTGCACTGCTAATCTCTTTTCAATAAGGACCAGATTAGCGTTCAGCCGTGCTGTGTGGCTCATCGCTAGGGTGGTGCAGTGCTTTTGTCCCCGGTGGTAATCCGCTTGCGCTAAATCCCCCAAACCGTGGTGTACTGTTTCAAAACAAGGCTCGACTATCTCCACTGTTCAGAGTGAAAAAATGTTGGTAATGCCCAGCAGCCTGGTCTTTTGTTATGAGAACAGTCTTTTGTTACAAGGCCCAGTTCCCTTTTCCGATTTCGGAGACCCCGGCCACGCATATAAAGAATACAATTCTGGTATTGGCAACCCGGCGGCAAGTGGTTAAGGAGATTTATAGTTTTTGATGTTGAAGTAAAGTTTCACAAAAAAGCCCATTAATGGAAATTCCTGTGGTCAGGAATTCAAATGGGAGATTGCGTACTAAAAAGTTCCATCTTACTTGTTACTTCCTACAGCACTACACCTATTGTACTGTCATCTCTAGTGATTGGGTGCTCAACAATTGCCATGATCGTCATGCCATCTTTCTTAGACATGCTGAACTCTGCAAAGTGAGTACTCGCGAGAGTGGATCTAAAATTTGGTTGGAGGTTCGAACCCTCCCACTCTTGAGGAATGGGATGGACCAACCATTTTGCTGATGGCGTGAATGTGTCGTGGTGTCTGTGTTGGAGAATGTGACTGTGAGAGCCCTTCATAATGGGTTAGTGCACCTGACTGTCAGTCAGGCGTACAGGTTTGAATCCTGTCACTGGAGGGAATCTAGTTCTTTTATCATGTTTATTAACATCCACTGATTGTTGCTCTGTTTTAAGGTGTCATTTTCATTTGGGTCAGATGTCTTTTGGATCAGATGTCTAATCGACAAGTTTGTTATAGGTTCAAATCCCATCCCTGTATGGAATGAAGGTATCGGCACATTGATCATATCAGAATGTCCTCAATGCATTAACCAGACTCAACTTGGAGTTGCTTTCTAGGAACGTGTAGCCTTCAGTAGGAATTTTTTTGGCTTAAATCCCACTACTGTAGCCTGTCAGGAATCCAGCTCCGGATGGAAAGATGCTGGACCTTCAGTAGGAAGGGTGTGGTTCGAGTCTTTTTTTTGTTTTGAATGAAGCTATGGTTTTAGAGATCATTTTTTTGTTTACTAACTGATACGCCATGGCATGCACATTTCAGTTGAAGAATTTGTTACAGTGTAAGGTCATGTGCCGACCCCCAAAGCCAAAAATTTTGGTTCTCAGTGCTCATGTTTTGTTAATGCTCTTCTAAATGCTAAATCCTAGACTTATTTTAGTGGGTACCATTGTTGTATCCGAGACCTTGATGTCTGAGACCAAGATCGAGACCAACTCCTTCAAGACCGAGACCAAGGCACTTAAGACCGAGATTAAGACCTGAACTGCCGAGACCAAGGCAGTCGAGACTGAGACCAAGACTCAGACCCACTCCTTCAAGACCAAGACTTCAAGACTGAGACTTTCGCAGGTCGTGAGCAAGACCAAGACCTGGACTTCCGAGAACAAGACTGAGACCGAGGCCAAACGTTAACAATTTTCCTGGATACTATTTTGTGCAAAAGTAAACAAGGACAAGCAACATAATATGATAAAATTGTACTGAACATATAAATTAACGTATGCAGCACACCATCAAAACATAAATAGATTCCATATTTCTTCATGATTTTCACACTTTTTACTCTCCCTCTGGGAAATACAATGTAGTTGTGATTAGCTGCAGACTTTTGTTATATCAATACCATTAAGAGGCATATGGTTTAATACAGACAGTTCACAATAGTGCGCCTCCAAGAGTTTGCAATGTGACCCTTTCCAAATGCACATTGGGTCGACAGATTTCATGCATCGTGATTGGCCAATGCGTTGCAAACTCATGGAGGCGCACTACTGTGAAATGCCCGTATTTTAACCATGAACTCCCAAGCCTATTTAATTTCAACTGAGACATGTGGCATATTTAAACGTTTCATGCAAACCTATTGGTCATGATGTGTAAAATACCAGAAGATCCTTACGTTAATGCTGAATGTCTGAGCTTACCAGGGATACTTGAATGATCACTAGACTGGTTAGAAAGGTCAGTTACCCACTGATATGAAAACTAGACTCGAGGGCGGTCATGAGTGGTAGCTGGGTGCACACTTTTTTGTGGTCTCAACAAGTCTCAAGAGGGAGCCCTGAGACTTTGACATCGGAGACAGAGACCAAGACCGAGACCAGCACTTTTGAAACCGAGACCAACTGTCCTGAGACCAAGACTTTGAAAGGATGAGACCAAGATCGAGATCAAGACTGAGACCACAATAAAAGATCTCAACACGGTCTTGAGACCTACAACACTGGTGGGTACGGTGTTAAATTACAGCCACATTCTTGTAGGGGCAAATTCTTTCAAGCATGATATAAAAAAGTTGTTGATTTGCCTTTTTTCCAATAGATGGTATGGTATTCCTAATGATTTGGGATTGAACGGTATGATATCTGGCCTATGGACAGGAGTATTTTCTCTCGGGTAAGTGTCAAAGTTTTGACTTTGGGTCCTTCCTGGGTCCAATTTTAACCTCATCCTTCGATTTAAGCTTTAAAATCTGTTTGGAATTAGTTTTTCATCAGTTGTGCATTAGACAGATCTTCATGCTTGCACTGGTATGCATACTGTTGAGTAAATTTCATCAGAATGTGCAAAATGCCCAATAATTCTTACATCTCACAACTCATTATTTTAGGTCTGGCCACAGTAGAATGCCAGAAAGGCCACTCAGAATTTTTGTGTTTCCTCTTTTTTTTGTGGACTGTCACAGCTCAATGCTGGGGCCTATCATAGGAGGCTCACTCAAACAGGGTTTTGGGTTCGGCAAAGCCACGACATTATTAGCTGGAAGCTGTATTTTTACCATGCTGGTCTTGTGTTTCTTCGGAGTGTGGGAATATCGCTGTGGCAAGGGGTGAGTGGCCCTGAATCTTTGCAACCAGTTCTTTGTGTCTTTGTGATGTACATGAGTACACCCTCTGTATTTCCATTGTCACTACATTTAAATAACAAAAACTGCCCTGCACAATGGTGCACCATGGAAGTTCTCCATAAACCATGTGTCACGTGTCCCCTCAAAGACCATTCAGTTGATCATTCAATTATTGAAAACAGACTTTCCTTTGCAGAATTGTGCAATGTAGAGATATCACCAATTAAAAAGAGATAATTAGCAGTTAAAACAAGGTTGTTTGGAAGAGTTATAGTTTCTGCTGTTTCTAACATACAACCTTGCAAGACACCGTTTGAGTAATCTTTAGAAACTTTTATGAGATATACACGTAGGCTTGCGGGTACACCATGGAATTAATCTCTCCTTTTTTCTTTTAGTTTAAAGACAGCATTCATAATTTACCAAAAAGACAGAAATTCAGAAATCACCTTATAGGTGGTTTTAATTTACATCTTTTTCCATGGGACACTGTGACTTGGTATAAATTTATGGTATTTTTTATCAATACTGCTCAAACTATCAACACTGATTCAATCACCAATTCTGCTGCAAGAGAAAGTGCAGTTACCTACTTTAACAGAAATCAGTCCCTTTCTGATATCTTACGTTAACATTGTCTTGCATCTAGGAAGCGTATTCCATCTTCAAGAAGAATTTCTTTACACAGCTCTACAGATGAGGAACGGAGCCCCCTTTTAGATGGTATCAACACCTAAATGACTATTTCTTATGCAAGATTAATATCAAGTACAACTAGCCATATTTGACAATTGGAATGAAGTTTGAAAGTCAAAACCTTTCCAGTTCTTTCGTTAATATTTTCATCCAGTAATTTGAATTCATTTCTGCGACAAAATAAGTCAGAACGTTGCTACTTCAAAGAATAGCTTCACATTAGAAGTCAGGATATTATAAATTTAAAACACAATTGCTACTGGAACACAGAATAAACACAGTGCGCCTGTAGATGCACTGCATTATTCTGTGTTTCACAAGCACGAGCGTGATATTACAAATCTATTCTTAAGCAAACTTGAGGCATAGTAAAGATATTATAGGAGCCTATGAGCACAAACGTGCCACCTTGAATTGAAAGTAAATTTTGCAGTTGTTTGTTTTGCTTTTCGGGTAAAATTAGCGCAGTGCTCTGAGTGAGAAAAGCACATTACACGGGGTTTGCTATGAACCCTGCAGTACAGTTACATGTATATCTCACGCTGTTTGTCGCCATGGATCGACCAATCAGAATTGAGAATTCAAGTTTGCTCGAAGGTAAGTAGCTTTGTTAATGTTGTAGTTGAGTTTCTCACAGTTCCCTGCAAGTCTGTTACAAGTCATCCCGTCACAAGCTATTTCACCTGTGAACAGTATTAAAAGCGTTTCTTCTGTGAAGTTCTGTCATTGTTTTCCCTGTCACTTATGACTGGTCATCATGAAAGGATTCGTGAGTGTCCCTTGAATACAACACAGGCTGTGTTGGTGGGGCGCTTGTGAAGTGGCCTCTGAGGTCACAGGTTGGAATCTCATTCTAATCTTCATTCAAATAAAAGTAACCTTCCAAGTTGGCCCTTTCTGTATTTTGCTTTTTATGAAGTATAATATTTATACAGGGTCATTCTTTTATTGTCTACGATTTTGTACGACAAAGTTGGGTAACTTATTTCAGATATACAGCCAACCAAATATATTTATTACAAAAATCCTACTTCAAAAAATATGATTTATATCAAATGTTAGAGTTGTTTGCTTTAGTGTAAATTCTGCATACATTTTATTGCCAATGACAATCTTACCTCAGGATATTTATATGAAGTAAAGAGATGTTCATGGTAATGACTTAAAAAGAAAAAAAAACCTTTTAGTAGATAATATCGATATTATTATTACATGCAATCGAAATAAGGAAACATCGTGTGTCTGTAGCTAATGGAGAATTTGATTCATTGTGTGATGCGTTATGTGTACAATGTATGAATATTTGAATTTGATGAGAAATGTGTCTGTATTCTCATGATCTAATTTAAATTGGAAAAAGCTGAAACCAAAATTTAATTATTTGCCGAATGTTTCTTCAGTAATTACATGTACGTTAATAAAATTCATAATGCTGCTCGTATTTTCTTAGCTGTGTACATTCACTAAATTTGCCAGTGGTAATCCTATGGGTCTACATGAATAAAAGTGCTTCGAATTTGGACCCCAGATGTGTATTCTTATGGGACTTTTATGTTTCTTTGTTCAAGAGTTATTATAATTCTCATAGCTTAGACACACGTTATTATATTATTATTCACGTAATAGCAAACGTACTTTCTGATTTTTCTGATTCTCACTGTTTCATGCGAGCTTAAAATCGCGTGTCTTGTTGATGGCCAAGCTCAAATCGAATTGCGAACATTTTTGATACTTTATATACTCGTGCCCGAAATACCAACATACAGGAAACAGAAGTAATGTAGTACCAAGTATAAATATTGTGTAAAAATGGCATTCTTCTCTGGGTGTTGAAGCTAGAATACCATTTATTTGTACCACTAGCATCTTTGTGCTCATCGACTGTAGAAACCATGCTTTTAACACGTTGGATTACTCGGCCACCTAACCACTGGGAGGGAATCTCTAAGACGATGGCATCAGCATACATTCATCTTTTGGAGGCATAGTTGGTCGAGGAGGAAGATCTGGTCTCCTTGTGGAATTTTGTCCTTGTGGGGGTTGACTGTGATCGTTAGCGTCTCCAGATTCAAACCTAGGAGAATGATGCCAAGGCTGTACCTCCAATGTCTCCATTGCCATGCTGACATACAACAGTGCGTCGGGATGATGTTTCTATTTCCAAGTCCGAAGATGTATTCGCAATATTATTGGTCTGAATACAACTTGAACGAAGAGGAGGCAAAAGAGGTTTTATACTACGTGTACTCTTCTTGGATCCTGCCTCTTGGATTCTCGGGTCTTGTCCAAAGGGTGGTTGCCCCTTAACCCTGATGCCACTTAGGCGTGCCTTCAGCTTTGCAGCTTTGGCCTTGGTGTTGTTACATTCGTCCAAGTCAATGGAGCCATCTTGCAACTCCCTGGATGTGTTCTTGGTTTCGGCTTCCTCGTCCTTGGAGTAATTTTGGGAGGAAAAAGCAAGGCGTTTGATCCAAATGTTACTAAGTATTGCTTTCAGTCTTCCGGCTCGTTTGGGCCAACCCTTGCCGACATACTCTCTGTCCTTGCTCGGAAAGGTCTTGGACGTTGGACCGGAACTCATCTCTATCGACTCACTGGCTGGGACGCCGGTGCTCACGCTAGATGCCGTGGCCGAGGAAGACTTGCTTGCCTTTAACCTCGCCCAGCTGGTCTTGGTCCAGACGGACGAACCACTAGGGTTAAACTTCTTGAGCCACATCTTCTTGACTTAGCCACTGAAAGTGAAGGAGAGGAAGATGAAGAGCCCCTGAAGAGAGTTGAGGAGAATGAAAAGGTACGACAAAGCCGTGACTTGGGGGGTGGGAGCACTCGACGCGAAACTAAACACCCAAGTGAAGCCCATCAGACTTGCAATCTGAAATGTGAACACCAGATCAGTAACAATTGTCAATAAGGCCTACATCTATGATCAACTAAGTATAAAGCCCAAAGCCCCTTTCTCTGGAATAACATTATGGTCCTCGGGGTTAGAAATTTGAAGTACGTTAAGCTTGGTCTGTTTCAAATTTGCGACTTCATCAGCAAGTCGTATGAATAAACAAACTGTATAAACATCAAACCACTGCAAGCACCTTAGTAAACCGGTTACCGAAGTGATAGAAATTAGGAGGATCTCAACACATCCCATGGATTTTGGGATGGTAGACATGCCCCCTTCAGCAGTTTTTGTTTTCAGCAAAAAGATGACTTCACCAGGTCTCCTGGCCATTGCAGACCCATGGAATTTTCAGACGTTCAATGACGCCACTCATAGATTTTAAATGAATCTTGTTACCAGTGTTAGGATAAATTGAACTGGAAATGAAAATAAAAGCCATCTTACCCTGATATATCATCAGCTCCTACCGTGTTCGCTTCAGATTTTTCTCTCGACTATTATGGAACTGTTTCTCTGATTTACGACGAGAGCGTCGGATGGCCCAGACGGTTCGCACAAACAGCAGAATGTTGATTACCAGGAACGTTGCCACCGGAACGCCAAATGCTACGAGGTTGATCATACCCGACGTGATTCAAAAAGCACGATCAGTACTGTAAATCACGCCGATCTCAGTGCAAGAGCAGAAGTGGATGAACAGGCACGGGATCGTAACCGTCAACAGGACTCCCAACGCGTAGGCAATACCAAGTAGGTTAGTCTTGCTTCAGAACAACTGGCTTGAAGAGGACGCTGGCTGGTTCCCTACGAAGGTGTGCCAAAGCAAGAACGCCAGTACGTTGGTCCACGTCCAAAGAAAATGTCCGCTCACCGCTACAGCTGTTCATGCTTTTTTATTAGCAGCTGCATACCCACTTAGGCTGCAATGAGCGACACCACCATACCCATGATTGCCTTTCTGGTAGGGCGGTGTAGGCTCGGGAACGCTACATATGTAATGAGAGTGAGGCTTCCTGTGAAAACAGAAATGCTCAGTCCCACTGTAGTTAGAATTGCTTGGGCGTAGTTGAAGTTGAAAGACGGGGTGGACGTGTCCTGGTTAGCAGGGATGAGCAAACTTTGATTTGTCCGTCATCGGTTCGGACAAATTTGTCTGAGAAAAGTATCTGTCCGGTCTCATCGAAGATCAAGCTTCCATTTGGGTGATTCTTTGATCCATCCATGTCCTTAACAGGTGAGAACTAAGACTCGTCCAGTTCCACAGAAGGACAAGACAATCCGATGGCATTCTCTCTGCAAACGCCAATCTCAGTGCTGCTTCGATTCAGCTGAGATCCCGTCTTCTGAAAATGAATCCTCCGGCTGTAGCTTAAGAAGTGGAACCAAGACTCGGCTTCTTCGTTGAAGACCAAAATGGTTCAGTTGTTGGTGCTGGTTTGCGTGTTAGTACATCAGTTATGTATGAAACAAGAGCAGACATATTCACAACAATATTCGAATTTTTAAACACAATTATATGAGTTTGTATCAACCTATCGGTAGAGATAATTGTGTGCGCCGACATAATGACGGGAAGATTGTTGCCGTCTAATAAACGAGACGTTTCCGTTGGACACACAATTTAGTTTTCCTCGCCCTCGTCAGGCGCCTGACATATGGAATAGAATATGGGGTTTCGGAATAACGACCCAGGGGCCATAACTATAGCCGTGAAGCTCTGACACGCCTCCTCGAACTCTTTGTTTGCAGTGTGGTTGGAACCACAGTCACTCACAACTGAAAGTGAGACCGCTAACCGCAATTGCGGGCAGCGCAAAGAAATGCGTGCAGTTGTTCCAAACCATAGTCTGAAACGCTGCCTTGCTTACGTTTCCTTGCCTTTCAAGAACTGACTACGGGCAGGTGGCATTCACTGTCCATGGAATGAGATCACTGGTTGGACGACCATGACACAGGGCACAGTAGGCATTCCTAAAAGTTATCCCCTGGCTATCTGTGACGGGAATATGTGTTGCTGGGTTCTCGTCAGTCAGCGTCTCACACTTTTGACGAACTAACTCGTTGTTGTGCAAGGCTGAGACGTCATCCGGAAAGTGACTCAGCAGCCAGAAATTGCCAATGTCTGGGTTGGCAGATGACCCTTCAATCATTAGGGAAAGACAATCAAGGTGTGAGACGTTCATACGATTTAAACTGCTTGGAGGTTTCTCCCCGGTGCATGTTGTGGCGAAGTCCAGGCAACAGTCGTAAAAAAAAACGCATGCCCAGTCGCACTGACCGGCGCTGTTCCGAATCCAGTTAGTGCCACAGCCCATGCCTGTGCAAAGATGTGCGTCGGTGCATAGTTTCACAGAGATATTCGGGGGGATTTGAACCGTCTCTGCAAACGTTACATAAACGCCAAATGTTTTGACGGTACTACATAACTTAATCAACAGTGACAAAAACTGAAAGGACACCACGTTTTTGTATGTGAATAGCAATATGGATCATGAAGAATTCAGTTTTCGTTTTAAAATTTGTCATCGAAAATCCAACTCTTAAAATGACGTGGGTGATCTGTTTATAATTATGAAAAAACCTGCTCGTTCGTTGGGAATTAATATCCGCGTATGTCATAAGTTTGCAAAACCACCCTTCAACTGAACGAAAGTGCCCTATGAATAGAAAGCGAGACAGTGTAAGGCTTAACAACGAAAAGGCAAAAGTCTCAAGTCTAATTTTACCAGAGATCTACATTGTACTGTAAATTTAGTCGGAGGCTGTGCGAGCCGTGACACAACGTCACTCGAAAAAGCGCCATATTTCTATTGTCACTTAAGCCTATTCTGTCTTTATTAGTATCAGTGTAAATGACCAAATCATTCGGCGTGAAAGTCAAGATTTCGTGGCATTTATTTTGCCACACAATTATTACAACCAGTCATCCAACTTACCAGTTGGTCCAGAAGGTATTTGGCCGTTGACCGAGAAAAACTTCAGGCATAATAATAAGATGTACTGGGTAACCAGAGTCGCCATGTTGGCTCTCTTGTCTATGTCCCAAGTTTAAATGATTTGGCTGATCTCTCCCGCTCATTCGCAGGTTTGGGAAATTGCATGGCTCCCTTGTTGTTATTGTGTCAATACTCCAAAAATACCTCACACTAAAAAGGGAAAAATAAAAAAGCAAAAACCAACAGTAACACCGTCGGTCTTCACTAGGCCGTTAGTATGATTCTTCGCGGGTTGTGTGCGGAATCCATTGTAAATGTGCCATTTCGTTAATTAGCTACAGCACGGTTCTTTATGACACTTGCAGTTCAATTTTATGGATTGTCGTGCCATTTTGCCGGTCTTGTGTTATCTGCAATTTCCCGATTCTTTACGAGTGTTCGTCTATAACGCTGTCAGTGCATGAAAACCTACTTGGTCATTATTTTATAGAGACTTACTGAGACCTATCAATAATGCTTATGAAAGTTTGCGACTTGTTTCCTACTTCCAACAAGCGTATCAGTATGTCTCACAGCCTCTGTATTGCTGTCCGATGTCGTTAAGGGCAGTTCAGCTTTAGCTACATAAGTAACGCAATACTACCCGCATCTTTAATCCAATCAAAGAGTTCATTATCGTCTAAATTTATTGTGTGCTAAAACATCTACTCGACTTTCGACTGTAGGCAACAAGCAGCAAAGGCAAGGCATAATTTATATTTGGTTCGTTCAGTCTTGTTCGTTTAGGCCTCATCAGATGGAGTAATTTTCGTCCCAAAATATGAAAGGCCTAAGATGTTCGATTTTGTTGGTGGTTTGTGTGATTGTGGAAGCCGCGCGTATGGACCCGGACCAATTGATAAGATACTTTGGTACCAACTCAGCAGCAGAAGGTTGGTAAATATGGTTAACATCCACAAACGTATTTGCTCTAATTCAGGGGCGTATCCAGCTTTTGGTTGCGGGGTAAGGGGTGGCACATTCAAAAGCGAATGCGGCTTCGGGCTTATTTAACATGGTGTTGGGAAAGTCTTACATTCTCGACATCCTTGTTTTTCTATCAAGATGCTGTTTTCTGAGGATTTTGGTGCCATTGTTTGATAAATAAAACATTATTATTAATATTTGATTACGAAATATCCATGGGGGTGGGGGCAAGTTACCCCCTGCCCCCGGATAAGCCACTGCTGTAATTGCAAGTATAATATCATGGAAAGGTTTACACATAGGTTGAGTGTTCCGTCACTAATAATATAGCATAGCATTCCCTGTAAAGGGAGAAGGATACGTATTGTATCTTCTCCTGTTCATTTTACCCTGCGTCGTAGGTAGGGTGGTTCTGTTGTTGGCTTTACAGAATGTTTCCACTATTGTAATCAGAAATTTCTTTATAGTAAAACAGGTGTTGCTGGGTTGTTGGTTATTGTTCTGTTTTTACAGTAGGCATGGCTCTTGCAAAGGTAGATCCAAATTCTTCTTCTCCAGCGAAATGACATAAATCGAATATAATGTGAGGATTAATTTTTAAAACACCGATCAGTTAAATGCTTATTTGACACCTAATGTTTGTCGGACATATGTATTTTGTGTGGCTAACAGTGACCATTTGTTCTCTTTCAAGCCGTTATGCGTCTAGCCAAAAGCAAACTTTTCATTTTTCTTTCACTTTCATCACTAGCCCCGGAATTTGAGATAATTTACCCAGTGATTTCGGCCAACAATTACAGAACAATGGCCGCCACTAGAGGCGTAATTGCTACCGAGAAAATGACCATTACGGTCCAGGCGTTCGGAGAGACCTTTCAGATGATGGTAAGGACCGTGAAAAGTCCCGGCGATAATGTTGAATCAAGTTGGAAGCAATAGCGCTCTTAAGACTATGAATGTGGTCGTCATCTAATTTCTTGTTGAGAAACATGGATTTCCTTAAAAACCTTGCATCCCAGTGCCGCCCTTGTAATGTTGTTTTCAATAAATAAAGACCTTTTTATGATTAACAAGGGCTATCAATAATTCCGTTGACTTATAAATAAAGGTTCTAAGCAGAAATTTTGCACTATTATAACAAATGACACTTTTTATCGCTAGACGATTTCTACTACCAAACTTTGTCGAAAACAGTTGCCCTTTATTTGTTTGTTTGTTTGTTTGTTTTTTGTTTGTTTGTTTGTTTGTTTTTTATTTAACTCAGTCACCACATATACATAACAATAAGGATAAGGTTGATTTTCCTTGCTCTTGCCTTTACATGAAATTGGAGCAGTTAGGAAAATTCAAACGCCAGCATTGATCGGTTTCGTTGTTGAGTTAAACTTGAAGAATGATATAAATCTTGTGTTTTTTTGTGATTAGGTTCACCAGGATTCTTCCTTCATAGCTGACGGGTTGGAGGTGGTGTATGTCGGGACTTGTAGCAAATCCCTACCGGAACGAAAGGCCGTCCGCAGGGACTGTTACTACCGAGGAAAGCTGGTGGGCGACGAGTGGTCCCTGGTGTCAGTCAGTGCCTGCAGCGGCATTGTAAGTCATTATGTTCTCGTCAATGTAGCTGATGTCATCTTTTTTTCATAATCGGTACGGTTATGTTAGATTTTTAGACACTAATTACCGGAACTTGGCGGTTTTGGTCTTAAAGTCGAATTCTGGAATATCAGTGTCATTAGTAAAATGCCACTGTCATCTCAACCGATTGCACTGTTTCTTGTAAATTGAGAAATACTAGATGGAAACTTTCCGTTGGTTCTGTCACAAATTAGTGAACAGTGTTTATTGATGATCATTCCGCAAATTAGTGTTGAGGTAAGGTCACATACATTTAACGATTTGTATCTTTAGACTGTCTTCATTCGAAGAGGGTCGGAAACATTCCACATTGTGCCTCTAGACGAGAAAGATGCAGTGGAAATGAGCCTCTTGGATAGTCACTCGGGGGCGCCCCACATCATTTACAAGGGTGCTACCTGGGAGGATTGGATTGGCTCATGTGACTTCGTCGACGAAGATGGAACTGGTTAGTAAAGTAATAGCCAGAAATGGTTAAAAGGAAACCTCCTTTCGACATTGGCGTTAACATAACACAAGGAATGAGTGCGAGCAAGTTTCTCGAGGTCGTTGGCTTCATTTGGTTATTGGCAGGTTAAAATGTGATACTCCTTATGAAGCAACATCACTTCATCCAAATTCTGATGGTAATTGCAGATTACCAGGCAGACTTGACGATACATCCACCTGATTTCGAAGGACTGTCCCAGAGGTACATCGAGACGATGGTTGTTGGTGATGGCGCTCTCTATGAAATACGAGGTGCTAACACGGCGAACAGCCTCTTGGCGTTGATGAACTCGGTATACGAACAGTCCTTTCCTTAAATGTATAGTGACAGATGTTTTATGGCATATATCTCCGATGCTTTTACAAATGGAATGCTAAACAAATATTTTGAACGTTTATTTCATGTCGCTAGCGATATTAGCCCCCCTTAGATCGGAAATTATTTGTAAACTAGAAAATTCCTTTGCCTCAGGAACTAGTTTGCAATCTTTCAATATCTTGGAGAACCGGCAATGACTGTCAACTTTGAATGAAACGGGATGTTTGTTTAGGCGTACTATTGCGACGAAATAGACTCTTCAATGGTATTTTTTTTTTATTTTGTTTTGCATCTTTTACAGGTGTCTCATGTGCTAGCTCTGCCAAGTCTAATCGGAGATAAGCTTCAACTCGTGGTGGTGGACATGAGAGTGTACACAAACAACACTGTGTGTATTGCTTCGTCTTTAAATTTGTTCCCTACGATTTCGTAACCAAAGGAACCAGGAGTGAGTCGCAATACAATGCGCCCTCAAGAGGTTTCAATGATATGGGTCACTCACTTTTTTACGGTCAGCATTTTGCATTTGTCATTGGTTCGTCATTCTCTACGTTAGATGTCACACAAAACAAGTGCAAAGCCGAGCTTCAGAACTTTATCAATTTATAATTCTTTTTTAAACCGACCACAAATGTTCAAGGTGCTGGGTCCCCGTTGAGGTCAAGTGGGATTAGGCCTACCATAATGGCACCCGGGTGTCGAACGTTTTCCCACAATGCGCTGCAAAAACTGACTATTCCGCATTACCCACTTTATGGCAGGCTGTGCGAATCTCAGAGATATTTTACACCTTCAACATCCCTTAACGCTTTCTAAACAAGGTCACTGCCTCATACAATATAACAATATAAAGTCCAATAAGGTACTAACGTAATGTGCTGCAGCACTGCATCCAGTTCGAATGTTTTCTATTGCTACAACACAGGGTGACTTGGTCACGGACGAGCACGCATATTGGACGCTGTTCAATTTTTGCAAATGGCAGAACAAGACCAACCCAGCAATGGAGCAGAATCCTCGACATTTCGACATTGCAACTCTTCTAACTGGGTCAGTTTGGTGCCTTTATTAGGTTGTAACTACATTCAGAAGTCTTTTTACCGCATTATAAGGTAATTAGTATGAATCGCAAAAAGCCCATGGACACTTAAATTTCCCCAAAGAAATCCTTTTTAGACAAGTGACGGACTTTCTTCCTATCGGAAACTCAATCCACGTTTCATTATAATCATTTATCAAAATATTCAGTTTTTGTGCTTTACATAGCTTCAACATTTATGGTAGCCATGGCGATGGGACTAAGGGCATCGCCCTGACTGGTGGCGCATGTCAAAGGACAAAGCAGTGCTCATTGGTTGAGTTCTTAGAGCAGAACGCCATCTATGCCACCGCTCATGAAATAGGACACAGGTAGGTCTGGCTACAGATGAATGGTATTAAAGCTATACTGGACATTTGTGACCGCACCAGACGAAAGCAATTTGCCCTCGAGTTGTTACGATCCTGATTGGGACATTCTGCACACGTGACCCGGCTCCTGCAGCGAACGAAAGGAGGCAAACACTTGTCGTGGAGACAAGATTAATACGGCCTCCGAATTGCTTAGATTTTGCTCTTCATCTTGTGGAGATAATTGGTCAACTCAGAGTCACGAACTGGAATATTGTCAATCTGAAATCCTTTTATTTTGGACGCCCATCAATCTCACGTCAACCCGTTCATGGCAGCGTGTTAATCGTTTCTTTCTTCCAGTCTCGGCATGCACCACGATGGTCACCATGGTAACACGTGCCCCGAGGCAGGCTTTCTGATGTGTCCTTACATGCAAGACAACGAAGCAGAGCTGGGGTGGTCAATCTGTAGCAGGAACTACCTACTCAATTTCTTGGAGTATGTATTAACATTTTGTTGAAACCTCCTACAAGAAAGTGTCTATCTCTGCCCTGCCCCTATACACCAACCCATGGGAAAACTTACTGCACACTTTATATGGCCCTGTCAGTTTTCATCTGTTTCAAAAACCTGAAAATTATGCATCCATCTTTCAGTATTTTCCCACTTTAAGAACTTTAAAAGCAATCTTTATTCTTACGGCACAAGACAGGCCAAGTAATAACAGTCTATGACTAGATAATCTCCTTTCAAATTTACCAAGTCTATTAAAGGTTTCATTTTTCCAACACTCTCATTTGCAGCACGAAAGGGAGCTGTCTGGAGGACAAGCCAGGAATTAATCTGCTTCCAGAAATCGAAAAATAAATAGGAGTTAGGTTTAGTGTACTCATCTGTTGCAGAAAACCGGTAAAGGCCATCGAATTAATAGAGCTGCTCACTCCTAACTCCATGTTTTCTCCCAGGATAACCTTCTGCGTCACTCGTCATATAAAATCCACTCAATCTGATTAAGATGGTAAATGATCCATTTGCTAATAAAATGTTCGTTTATTCACAAATAAAGTGTATTTAAGCTATGTTAAGAGCGTGCAGCAGAGCAATCTTTTACCCAAGACAAAAGTACCAAGGTACTCATTTTTAGTACAACAAGGTCTGCACCGAGACATCATATTTCCGAACGCGTATTTCGAGTTGTCAGCGACACCAAATGTCCATATGTCATTCAGTTACAACAGCTTGTTTGTCACCACTAGACTTCGCCCGTCACCCAGCACCCGAACAGGGTGTTGGTAAGGGCAGATGGCCTTGCACAGATTTTAGCGAAGGAAATACGTCACACGGGGTGGCAGCTAACGACCCGCAGAGCATTGTGGGTATATTTCTGTCAGGCGCGCGCTCGCGTTACACAAGTGGCGGTTATACATTCGACGTTTTTTCTTCAGCATTGCTGAAAACATTCTCATTACACTTCATTCGTTCAATCAGAATTGATCAAGATAACCAAGGATTTGAAATACACTATCGGTAATACCTAGTAAGAAGATAAATTACCACACTGTGATTGTACCACGGCCGAACCACTGGCGAACCCAAAAATTCAAATAAAGCTTTGCTAACAGGAAGTGATGACCTCGCAGTCACAGGTCGTGCACAATATAGCCGATCACAGTTCAAAGCCATCAGCCCAGCAGGAAGACAAATAACGAAGATGACTTCATTGAAAAGGTCAAAACGTCCACAGAAAAGCTAACTAAAAGAGGTTACAATCTATCAGAAATTGAGAAAGCGACAAGAAAAGTCTGGCATGCAGACAGAGCCCAAAATAATTCACGAAACGAAGGATGGGAAACAGACGAAACAAGCCCGATTAGTCTTCACACGTACATACCCAGCCATACCCAGCCATCAACCACCTTGACGTACACCGAGCACTCAACAGAAATTGGCATCTAATTCAAAACAACCCTACATTTCTGGAAACATTTCCAAACCCCCAATTACTACCTTCAAAAGAGCACGAAACATAAAAGAGAAACTGGTGAACGCCAAATACAATTACAACAAGCCGAACTCCCTCAACACACTCCCCAAAGACTCCGGGTTCTTCGAGGAACCGCAGAAGCCAGACAAAACTTTACAAATATTACTCACCGTCCTGGAAGAACAGAAGAAAACCACATAAAACCGTTAGCTGTTATATACTAAAGACTTAAACTTCCGAACTACACACAATCGGACAACAAATTAACGCATTAAAATCCAGCAAGTCAGCCCCCGGTTCGTCTGAACTACTGTGCAACTGAAGAGCGCCCCACTTGCTATGCACGAAAACATGGTCTTGCTATAAAAGAGGGTTCGCAAAATAACCCTCACTCACACCCCTCAAAAAAAAAACATATTATAGATATTTGTAAAAAGTCCAGCTCCACATCTTATGTCCACTTATAACCAAACCACAAAAAGGACATAAAAAGGGAGAGAAGGCAGACTTGTAACAGCAAGCCCAAACAAGTCAACCATGGAGGAATGTGACTAGATGGAAGAGTGTCATCATTTCTCAAAAACGCCCGAACGGGCGCTGGGTGACGAGCGAACACTGGACTTCAAAAGCTTCACTGTTTATAAGTAAGAATTCACTCCTGTTTATCACATCGTATTTCGTGAATAAGTGATAGTCCAACATGTAACGCATCTTGGTATGACACAATGACATAAAGAAACAACTGCTTGAGTTTGAAGAATCTTGGTTTAATCTTGCATCTCTGTTGAATTTGTTTGTTTTTTTTGTTCAATGTCGAAGTTCGAAATGGGGTCTACCCATGCATGCCTGCATAACGTAAGCACCCCTTGTGATTTATAGCATCTAAAAGCTGCCGTAGTTAAAATGAATTAGATCTCGAATTGGGTAAGGATTAAATTTGTGTAAAAGCTAAAGTTCCGCAATCTTTGATGACCACTGGGAATCCAATTAGAAGAATTCAACAACCTAGTTTGAAGACATCAACCGCTTTTGCTAATCTTTTGAGCTGTCCCCTAGAGAATTGCTGTCCATGTTTGGTTCCCGCCGCCTGTGCAACAAAGATATGTTTGAGACTAGAAAGTGGAATATATACAGGAGTCCAGACTAAAGCCATTAAACTGTTGTTGTTTTAGTTAGATTTACCCTAGAACTTGGACTAATTAAGCTTCCAGGTAGCCAATAATGACTCATTATGTCAAGCTTTTACGAAGTGTTAGGTTTTTTATAAACGCTGGCTGGGTGGTCCGCAGATCAACCTCTGCTGAGACCATACTTTCGAGAACTGTACAAAGTGAGATTTGAGGATAAGCCGAGCCAGCCCTGCGAAATGGTAAAGTAATCAGCGCAGAAAACATTGAGCATGACGTCATGCGCCGTTTGACACGCACACAATGATTATTGCTCGAGACCGCTTTAACACTATCACCGTATCTAAGCTTCCAGTATGCAATGTAGAGGCCTACGCATATACTCGTAAGGCCTATAGGCTGTACGCTGTGCTACTGCCGCGACAAACGCGTATAAAGCATTGTTTTACAAGTTCGGCACTTCACCAGCACGACGTTTTTAGCGCCAATTCGGCTCGATGAATTACATTCGGCACGGCAAGCTCTAGGGTATGCAGCGCTGTCGGTGTTCTGAACGACAGTGGCATGGTGCGATTCTCCTCAATTAAAACTTCGACGTTCAGCGGAGCTGCCACGCTATTGCTGTGCTATCCGCTACAAGAGAGGGCGCTATTTTGTTCACAACAAAGGCTCCTTTGTTGGAAATTGCCCTCTGCTGGTTGTACAAACGACTATGAAATGCTTGCGCAATGGACACTGAAAAATGAATACTGAGCTTGGCTGCCTCCAACCGATGGGATGCTTCTGCTCAAGGCGGATAGCTACACTCATGTAAAGCACGCTGTATAGCCCAGGCCTAACTAAAACTTCAAACATTTTTACCAAAGCCCACTTACCCTCTTACACCGTGACATCGATACTCCCAGACTCCAAAAGATCCCTAACGACCAAGGCAACGAAACAACACCTAGCAATGGTTATCGGCAAATAGCAAAACCCATAGTATTCCGCATTGGCGCCACCTGCCAACGGTCCTGCCACTGTTCTGGGGAGAGACAAATGAATTCTTTGGAATGTATTTCCTGCATGAAATCCTGTACCTGGTGCTCTTTGTGTATTAGTCTTTATGTTGATCTTAGAATGAATGAGAGTTAGGGAAACATTGATAAATCGGAAGTGTAGATGACACTTTAACTCAAACCTGATGTGGAAAATCCCTGGACAAACAACAGGCCAAGCCCTGTTCAAGTTTACTTTTAATTCTCTGATGAGTCAACAGAATATACTTTGCAAAAGTTTGCGCAAAATGCAATGAGTTTTGGTTCATTGAAAGCATAATCTACAGAAAAAAAACGTCGGTACTTGTTTTGCTGACACGCAGTCGGTTATAGCCGCTGATGGAGGGCTTCCGAAGAACTGCTGACCTGTACTTTGTTCTGTTGTCGTATGGAGCAATGACGGAAATGGGCATCTTTTGTTTTGTTTCTTTTTAGACCGTGCTTGAAAGGGTTTTGGCCAGGTTCCAGGGCGGGGAATGAGCCCCGAGCTGGACCGAGAGAGGGCGCAATTTTCTCAGCAACGCAGACTCCTTTGGCAGGAACTGCACTTCGCTCGTTCACAAACCACTATGAAATGCACTCGTTATGGTCACCTCGCCTCCATCAAAATGAGGATTCTCGACCAACATGGCCTCTCTTCACCCAATGAGGGGGTGCTTCTGCTCAAGGAGGACAGTGTAACATTGTTATACTTTTTTGTTACGTATACCTGTAGGGCCAGTGCTTGTTCTTTGTTGAATAAGTTGTTAGTTCAGTGAACGGAACGAAAGGTTGTTGTATAATCTTATTGAATAAGAGTTTTGCTTGTTTTGAGTTGGAAATCGTGTTATGACAGTGTCCCCTTTCAAGCATTGCGGGAACTGGATAAGAAGAACCCAAATAGGTAAACGAAACATAACAGTGTACAACATATCAGCGACGGGAATTCGGTAACATCAGATGGTGGAAGCAGTTGTTCGAACCAATCGCAGCTGTAATTTACATCTGACATGCAAGTATAAAAGTGTAGCATGCGTGCGCCCGCGTGAGACGCCAGCGGCTGGACCACGTGGACTTAAATTAGAGGAAAATGTAAATTTCCACGTGCACGTACTGGATTATGACCTCAGTCGTGCACAAGTATAAAAGTTCCTCATCAGCAAAGAGAGAGGCGCGGACATCTTCGTTTACCGACATTTACACTCGTTGCCTAAGCGAAGACAAGTGGTGTAAAGCCGAGGGGAGGTTCTTAAATTGGCGGACTGCACCTGGCCTCTTACTGTTACAGGCGGGCACGTGGTTTCATTAACGACGATTTACAATGCAAATTTTCACCAAGCGGTAGTCTGGTTCCCTGACCACATTCACTAACGACTCTGGATAAAATCTTAGGTCAGGTATCACCCACGGAAATAAAATAGATCATGACGCAACAAGAAACCCTTGGTGGATGTTTAGATGTGTATGCAGGCTGTTAACGTTGGCGGTCACTTTGAAACATCCAATTAATGAAAAAAAATGTGTGGGAATGGAGCAACATCGCGTTGCACGTGGGCAACAAACAAGCGAAAAAACATAGGCCTATCTCATTATGCGTATAGACAAAGCCGGGAATACCCGAACATCAACGATGCTTTCAGATTGTGGACAAGACAAGTTTGGAACATTTCGGATATTTTCGGAAACTGGAGGGATTTTTCCAGTTTTGGTCACGTGGAGACTGAGTGATACCGGATTCTTGAGTCAATGAGAACAGTCGGAATCATCGCTACTCCATTAACTTTTGCCATTGTTTGTTTACCTGAGTTCAAGATTTGAAAGCGTTTATGAGTATCGGTGTTAATTAATCAAGTGAGACAACAAATGCTCTGATCATTCAACAGTTATCTCAAATTGTTGACTGAAAATTGCTCAAATGCAAATCGCGTCAACTTTAAAAATCTGCGGCAACCACTTGTGACTCTTTGTATTGTAAATCGCCCACTTTGACTGCGCAGACTGCGTGTTCAGTCATGCGTGACAGGAGGGATACCATCAAGGTATCATTAGAAAGAATACTGCTTCTCTTTTTTGGAGATCCTTATACATTATATTAATATCTCATAGTTTGGGCATATTAACCCCTTTCCTCATGGTTTGGTTTTCTCTGGGACACCCTGTATATGTACATTTTTCCATGTTGGTATCCTTTACAGAAACACACAATAAGTCAATGATATTAACATATTACAGGAAAACTCACTATTGGGATGTAAGGCAACGCCTGCATTAGAATAAAATTTTCATTAATCTACAAATGTGATGGATTGCAATGGCTGTAAAATTGCTGTGATTCCATATTGGAAATCTAAAAGGCCACAGTTTAAATTATGTCGGAGTTTACGTCTCAGGATGAAAGCGTCAATGTTATATTGGTTTGTATACAAAAAAATTGTGCTTTCTGTAGATTTTACTGAACTTAGTTTTATCTCTTTGCTAATTCTATGTTGATATGTGCATAGCAATAATCAAGTATTAATTCCTCTATCGGAAATATTTTCATGAGGTATAAATTCTAGGTTTACAATTTGAACAGAAACACCTATGCTCCTAGCCATGTATTCCCCAGATGACTCCACAGCAACAGTGTCCTCAGTTGTCCGAAAAAGCATGGACAATTTCATATTTTAAAAAAATCCCTTTTCGATACATTTGACCAATTAGGAATGAGAAAAGAATTCTCGTATATTGAACACTTTAAAAGTTGGTAGGTCGTGGCGCTACCGTTCTGTTCATATTCTGAAGGGGTTCTGTTGGTGACATGCTTCATGTTCTCAGCCACAGTGTAGCAAAGTGTAATAAATAGCATGAATATTGGAAAAAATTATTCATGAATGGTCTAAGGACCGCAGTTTCATTATGCCAGGCGTTATACGTAGGCCTACTACAGAGCATTTGTCCGATTTCGTTATCGGAACAGCTCGTGAATGTATGTACAGCAAGTATTTACTTTATAGAAAATGCAGTATGGTTGTCGTAAAATTGTTGTATCTTGGGGAAAAAATTAAGTGGATAGCTTACCTATCATCAGACCGTGCTGCTGTTTCACAAATGTGTTTCCAAATGGCTAAGTGGATATTCTCAGCCGTAAAAACAAGCAAAGCTTCACATTGGTTCCCGACGCGATTCCTCCGTTGGAATGTGAAAGGGGACCATTTTCAACCACTCGACCGATAATCGAAAGATGAAATTCTCTGGATTTCAGGGGGGAGCCTTTAGGGAGGCAAGTAAAGGGCACTATTTCGTAACTATTTGTCCTCCTGTGCCTCCAACGCTGAACATCTGCTGTTTAAAACTTTGACGATTTTCCGACTGTCACAATGCATGCTTGTCTTACAATGGTAGCCAGGCATAATTATGCAGGTGTCTTTTCTTCTTCTTTCGGCGGTTTTATACATACAAATTTCTTATAATTATGTCAGCGGCGTTGCCAATTTCATAACGGTTATGGGGGTGAATGGGAGAGATGGGTATTGCAGGGAGGGGAGGCACAAAGGTTTCAGTATTTTCTTCATACTACAATTGTTTTCTTATTTTCCGAGTTTCCAGCGAGGCCGAATTATTATGGAGCCTTTCCTCTCCCAAGGGTATGGAAATCATTAGTCTGGTTCCCTGTCCAATGATTCTCCGACAACTCTTGATAAAAAAAAATCTTAGGTCAGGCATCACCCATGGATCTTAATAGATAGGACGCAAGGGTTAGGGGTCACGAGTTGAGAGCCCGGGTGTTTTCTATTTCATAGTGGTGCGCCATGTATGTGTGGGCATTTGCCAGTCGTCGTCAGGTCCTGATTCTTCCTAGATTCACTTCTAAGGAGATTCTAAGGAGACCTTCGATTTCAGTGTTTGAGTCAAATACTGTAGGATCATTAGCTGCCATTAGGATACAGAAAGTTACGTTCAACAGCTAGCATACCTACCTGGCCGGGAATGACCGAACATTAGCGGTACCGTTCAAATATGCCGAATATCCGACTTTGGAATATTTCGGCTATATCCGGTAAACTGGAGGAATTCCTCCAGTCTTGGTCACGTTGACATTGGGTGATACCGGACCCTCGATTCGTAGAGTAGTCAGAATCATCAGGTCTAGTGTTCAGACTAGGAAATCATCAACAACTCGCTGGAACAAATCCTCGAATTTTACCATTTCCTTAATGGTTTATGTGTTTGATCTTGATAAGTGATTCCCCCCCCACAAAAACGCCACCACTACATCAAAAAGGGCGTTACTCCCCGAAAAATATCCTGGTGACGCCCATATGGTTTTCGTTCTCTTTCAGCTTCTGAGGCCCCCAGAAAGTTTGTCTCTGGTCAGACTTGTGTTCCAGCATTAATGCGGCGACGCGGCTTCCCCCATCAAGGTTGGGTTGTGCTCACAATTGCAGACACACTTTGTCACGTCAAGGGCTTGACCGGCTTTATTATGGTTATAAGGCTAGCTGACTAAAAACCAAAAACAAAATCAACTTCATATCCATTGTCTGCTATCGTTGTTCAACATCGATATCGTTGGGATCTTTCGTCCTGAGTAAAAGATCGAGCTACCCGCAAAAATGAGGCAGACTAGTGCGACAACAGAGAGCGCTGTTGCAGCTAAAGCCTAAAGCTATTTTTTCCTCTAAGATCGAGAGAAGACTGATTTATGGAGAACCGCAAATTGGCGGACTCGACCACTTCAAAAAAATAACTCTGCAGGTTTTTTTTCTAATGCGAGTTCATGAAAGCTGTTGCTTTTGAAGACATTATAAAATGGCTGTCACTTAGGCATTTTAAAACCAATTTTAGATTTTTTAATCATTCATTTTGACTAAATTTACGCCAAATTAATTGATAGAATTACTAACCATGGGTTATAGAAATGTAAAGGTAAGGCTACCAAAAATGGTTCTGAAATCATTTCTTCAGTGATCCCCAGCCTGTTCTCAGTTAACTATCCAAACCTAAAAAATTGTCGACGGTCCCCAAATATAGGGAAAGGTGGTTCCCATTTTGTTGCAGATATACTGTGAGATTTTCATATAATTGCAGGTTCCAAAAGGTTTTTTTTGCTAATTTCAGTGTAGGTTTTCATTACACAAATGACCATGACATAATAATAGAATTTCGCCAGTGAGCTAACGGTAGCTCTCAACTCTCACAAGGCAGAAATACTTACTGGAGCAGAATGGATAATCTTATGCGTCAATTGTCCTTCAAAATCAACCGAGTTTGATTAAGATGGTAAAAGCGTCTACCAAAATAAAATATTAGTTTGTACACATAAAGTGTAATGAAACGTTGTTGAGCGAGTGTAACGGCGAAATCTGTTAACCAAAACACAGGTATCGACAAGCTTATTTTTAGTTTAACAAAATGTGCAATGAGACATGATTTTTCACATCTGCATAGTCTGAACGCACATTTGACATTGTGAGCGCCACCGAGCGTTCGTAAAGGCATTCAAGTACAGTAGCCTGTTTATCAAATCGTACAGCGTGAATAAGTGATACACCTTGGTATATCATGATGACATACAGGTAAAATCAGTTTGAAGGATGGTTAACCTTGAATCTCTTAATTTTTCGTTTCAGTGTTGGTATTCATTCAAAATATGTTTACCCAAACATGCCTACATATTTTAAATTTAGAACATGTGGTCGGTTGCTATAGTTAAAGGTAAAAGCAAAAGTTCCGTAAGCTTTGATAACCACTGGGAATCTAATCAAAACTATTTGACGACCTAGTTTGAAGAAAGCAACCTTGCTTGTTGATCTTTTGAGCTGTCTCTTGGAGAACTGCTCTCCTTGTTTGGTTCCCGCCGCCTGTCAAACAAAGAGAAGCTTGGAACCAGAATAGTAGTATATATACAGGAGTCCAGACCACTGTGATTAAATTGCAGTTATATCAGATTTACCTCTGCCAGAACTTTACAGGAATAAGCATCCAAGTAGCCATAGTGACCCAAATAGGTCCATCAATATTTTAGTAAGTCTTAGCTGCTTCTGACGACCTCTGAAACTTAGACCATATACTTTTGGTGGATGAGTCACGCCAGCCTGGCGAAACGGCAAAGTAATCAACGCAGATAAACCAAACAAGACTGTTTTACGCTTTTGTGCGTTCCAAGCCTCCCTTGGAATATTTTTCAGAATCTGGCAAGGTACATTTTGTGTGTGTAATTAATCATGAATTTGAATTTTTTATCAGAGTAGACATGTACAAATTTGTCATAAATTTCATTTCATTGCTTTATTTGTACTCTGTACATTCAAGAATGAAGAGTTAACCTAGTTTTCATATTTAGTATGGCCAGGCCCTGTGAATGAAGTCTACCATGGCACTCTTTTCAGACTCTTGAGATGGAAATAGCATCGCACTGTATCGAAGTTTTCCCGCATGTGGATGCGCAATGGCTTACGTACGTGCTCGTGATTGAACTTTAGATACTTTTTCCGAGTATTGATTTATTTAAAATCCTACTGATAACCCTACTTACCCTCTTCCACATCGATACTCCCAGACTCCAAAAAGACTACTGACGACCAAAGCAAGGAAACAACACCCAGCGATGGTTATCGACAAATAGCCAAACCCATAGTATTCCACAACGGCACCACCTACCAACGGCCCAGCCACTGTTCTGAGGAGAGACAAATGAAAGCTTTCGAATGTACTGCCTGCATGCAAGAAAGCAAAATGTCAGTACGACACTCAGCGAATCAGTGGTCTGAGCTTTACACCGACCATTGGCTTTATGCTTTAGTAAAAACACTTTTAACACACTTTGCTGTTAGACGCACAAACTCAATAAGTCTTGACCCACAATACAGAATTCGTGATAGGGGCGTCGTTGCAGCTACCAGCAGTACAATGGTAGGTATTTCACCATGCCAAAAGTTTGTGAACAAACCAACGCTAACGGAAGACTGACATGATCTTTGACGTTTTCGCCGAATATTTTCAATAATTTCAGTGCACCACATTCGATTACTGCCCGCGGGTTATACTAATGATTAGTAGGAACAAACTCTTGATGATGTTCGCATCCATAAGTGAGCACCGAGGAAAGCGTGAATTATTGCTCATTATTTCTCACAGTTCTCTGCTGAGCTGAATAGATGGCGATTTAGAACAACCAGACTGGACGGCATTGTATCAAAGAAAGGTTCCTATTCCTTTTACAACTTATCTTATGCTTGTGAGTTTTAATTAAAAAGATTATTTTGGAGGCTGGCTTTGTATTATTTATTCAGTGTTAGTATGGCAAAATAAGTTGTGTGGGGACTGTTTGGTACCTTTTATGCGCTCCTTTAACCTTAACCCCCAAGGTTGTATGTAAAATAGTATTGAAATTGGAGGTTTTGGGACTGTTAAGGTTAAAAGATTGGTCAAAAGATGATGATTTGCTGTAGTAGGTTTGACTTATGTGTAGTGTTTATCTTTAAATGCCATTTTTTGGCAATTCATTTGGCCACAGAAGTATCAGAGTTGCTGCTCAGTCAACTCGCGTCCAATCTTTTAAAGGAGAGAGATCACATGGAGTTTGACTGCAGATGAACAATAAAAGAGCAAAATGAGCAATGAAAAGAGCAAAATGAGCAATGGAATAGAGCAAATGGATAATGAAAAGAGTAAATCATAAATCACGAGAAAGAAAATACATATACATGTCTTTTATATATTAAACGATTTCATTTGTTTTGTTTTGGTTTTTTTTGTCATTTAAAGATCATCCTTCCATGGGTCGCAATGAATGTTATTTCTGCAGTCAAACCCTATACTTGTCACCAGTGTGACAAATGCTTTGGATGGAAGTCTATTCTAGAGAGACACATAGAAAATATTCGCGCTGAATAGGAATCAGATATGAATAAAGTTGACGATGATTGGGAATCTGTTGAGGAAGTTGATGAAAAAACCTCGGGTGAAAATAGTTCAGAATTGGAAGACAATGTCACCTACCCAAATTAGTTGGTTGAAGCCAGAGAAACAAATACGGAGTTGGGGGATAAACAACATGACAAGTACGTCAACAGAAAGACCCTCTGGGCAGTCAAACAAGACTTTTTCGACAACCATAAGGAATATCTTTCAAAGATTCTACATTCGACGGATAACGAAACTCACCAGGACATAGTGGATGATCTCGAAGAAAAACTTGATAAAGGCATTAAAGTCAACAAAACTGTAAATAGAATTATGCCTAAGCATTCTGATAAATTTGACGGACTGTCTCAACTAAATGACAAAGACGAAAATGACTAAAAGACAATAATAACGAGAGACGTGTGGTTCCAAAGAGAAATTAGTTCATGTAGTACCCTGACATTAAATTTAACAAACTTCTGGTAATCTCTCTTGTAGTAATTCTTAAATAAGTATGATAATTGTAAAAAAAAATCAATTATGAAAAACGAGAAATTAAAACAATACTTAAACCAACAGGTGAAGTCTACTGAATTTGTTTTGTGTTCTTACTGACCAGTATGACTATTCAGTGAAAATTCTCAGGTTGGATACCCGAAACGTCTGCACATTATTCCATAGCACGAAGGGTAAATTTATCCCTTTGCTAAAAGTGTTAAAATCCGAACTGACGTCATATGCCGCCCACGAGAATTTCTATTTTTTATATAATGATGTACCTGGTTTACATTTACTCCACAGTAAAGATCAACGGTAACGCTCCGCTCCGTTTGAAGGGTAAACGGGCGTAAAACGCTAGTTCAAAAGATAACAAATTCAGCAAGAGCCAAAACCATATACATGTACAGGGTAATGGGACGTAAAATACTAGGTCAAGGATAAAGGAATTCAGCCGGGGGCAGCCGGGCCTTCTTCCTGAATTAATCAGGTTATCTCCGTAACCACAGTAAGCCAAATGCAAGACTGTTAGTATATGCCCGCCCTCCCTCGTTTAGTGTCCGAGGATTAGGTCAGACCTAATCTCACACTAACCACTACAGTATACAGCGCCACGAACAGCCCTTTGTCCGAAAGATTATTCCCCATTACCCGGCGCCGAGTACAGCGCTTTGTCCGAAGGATTATCCCCCATTAAGGCCTCCTTTATCGCACCTTATAAGGTCAACTGCATTTCGTCAGGGAAATTGAACAATGCTTTGCTTGTACCAGGATATTATTACACCTTATCATTACACTTACCCTCGGGCAGTAATTGCATGTGGTGCACTAAAATTATTGAATATTTTCGATTAAACTATTAAAGAGTCTGGCAGTCTTCCGTAGGTTAGCTTTGATTAGTTTGGAAACTTTCGGCAGGGTAAAATGGCCGCCACACAACCTCCATGGCTTCAACCAATCAGCAGCGTTGCTAGTGCAGATTTTGTTACATACTACCGTGATTGGACGACACTAACTACTGTAGGCCACGTGAAAAAGCAGGCGCAACCGGTTCATTTCGTACCTAATGCTGTGCCTGCACTGGACATTTTTCGAAGGGTTTTACCAAGCCTATGGTACAATGAAAAAAATGGTCATTTGTGTAATCTCTAGTACTCTTCACGCTGAAAAATGATTCAGGTTGATAAAGTAACAAGATTTAATGAAAGCTGTAATGGTCAAAAATACTCGTGTAGGAGGTGTAGACGACACTGTAACTCAAAGCAGTTGTGAAAAATCCCAGGACAACGGGACAATCTCTTTTCAATTTAATTTTTAATTCTACGATAAATCAATAGGAAGTGCAATAATATAAAGTACTTTATAATACTTTTAAAGCACACAGTACGGTGAGTTTCAGTTCATAAATTAATTGTCTAAGGAAAACACTATACTGCATGTAAACAACACTTTGTTTAGGATGCAAGCATTCGGCCTTCAAGCCAGTTTGTACTTACCGAATGTAAGCTCCACCGGAAAGCAGGGCAAACGTCATTTGTACATAAAAACGAATCGCTTCACCGCGCGTCCTTAGCGGGTGCCCTTCTGTGACAATTGTGTAGTAAGTGCGCGATTCAGCTAGAGCTTCAATTTTTATCAAATCTTTCCAAGATTTGGTTAAGTCTTTCAGTAGATGAAATTCTTCTGAGGACCGTGGCCCGATTGACATATTTTTTGCACCAGCGTATAACACGAATGGCTGGAACATGCAAATTTCCATTGCAGGCGAAAACGCTGATTGCCCACGTGTGCAAGCTGAATTGTGGCCTTCGTCCGTGCACCAGTAAATTAATCTAATCATCTGCAAAGCGAAAGGCTTAAACAACTGCGCGAAGATCGTATGCATTTGTATGTTTTCTGGCAGTAATCGGGCATATTGACCGCCGCGTGCTCACGTGGATTATTAATAACCAGGAGTTCACATTCGCTCTTCGCCCAGCGCCCGAACAGGGCACCAGGAAGGGCTAATGACTTTGCACAGATTTTATTGAAGGATGTCACTTGGGGTCATAGCTAACGATCGATGCGCAGAGCATTGCGTGTAAATGTTTTCCAGGCGCGCGAGTTTGCTTAATGCGTTACACAAGCGGCGGTTATCAATTCGATATTTAGTATTTTTCCTCCTCATTGCTAAAATATTCTCACCACACCAGGAAGTGATAACCTTGTGGTCCCAGGTCGTGTACAATGTGGCCAATCACAGTGCAAAGCCACCAGTCCTTCCCATCCCCAGCGCCCTGTTTGGGCGCTTGACGACGAGCGAAGGGTTCACAAGGCAATGCACCCCCAAGAGGTTGCCACAGTGAATCTGTGCACCGGTGCCTTAGAGGCTGCAAGAGTTCGGTGCGCTTGTTCTCGTGTGTTTGTGAACAGCTTGATTCGTTGTTTGTTGGTCGACTGCTCGAACTCCAGGAACGTAAAACCTGTTATCGGTTGTACATAGGGACGAGTAACACTGGCAGTGTCCATGTACGTTCTTCGAGGGTCCTGGGCTGAAAACTTTTTTATTTAAAAACGAATATGAGTGTCGGTGTAAAGGAAAATTATCAATGATAATTTTACAAAACTTTCCATTGACTCCCGCTTTTGGGGCAATTTTGCTATTTTTTGTAGCTGTTCAAAAATCAAAACCCTAAGAGTTCTTCCGAGTGTTCCTGTAAAAGCCTGATCAGGAGGTGGTGTGTGATCCTGTTCCGAGATTCCAAGAACAGTGTTCTTGGTTCATGTTCCCGCCGTTAGAGAGCCAGAACAACCAAACAAACAAAGTTACCTCAAGTTGTCGACTGATAATTGCGGAAATGCAAATAGCGCCAAGTCAAAAATCTGTGGCCAGTCTGTGGCAACCACTTGGTGGCGTACTGTAATGAAAATCTCCCGCACTGACTGCTCATATTCTGTTGTCCATAGTAGCATCTTGTGTTGTTCACGCGCAGTTGCATGTTGATAAGCAGCAGCAAAAGCAACCCAAACAGGTGAAGCTTCATCAGCAGAAGCGAGTCGCTGCTGCCACCACCAGTAGTGTAACAAGCTTACCCGACAGCGTAGGCGCTGTTCCAAAGTCCGGATAGCAAAGACGTCAAGCCAAGTCCACTAGGAATGCCATACCACCTTTGAAGGATAAAAGGTATGTTAAGTGATCACATTGACAATGGATCTAGTTTATATGGCATGTCGGCAAAATTTGCTGTAAACCCTTTGTTGATAAGAAAACACTTGTTTTTAATAGTATTAGGTAGGCTTATTGCCAGAGTGAAAATTAATAGGCCTACTACGTAACAACCTTCACATAGGGAAAATTTTAGAAGGGGACATCGGGGAAAGCCCAGGAAAGATTCAAAAGTTATTCAAGTTCATAGTGTCTAAATTCCAGTGGTATGTCAACTTACTCTGCTGAGCTGAGCATGTCAATAAACGACGGAGCAGCCAGCAGGGAAAGCATTGCAGCACTCAGTACTATCAGCACGCCAGCAAGCACCTTGATGCTGTAGAATGAAACACAGTTAGTACGATTGTTGAAGGAAATCATTCTAAATTTCATTTGATCCTCGACAGCGTGTCCCGATCAAGCTCATCAGACCCAATTTGTGCTGTCCTAAATGCTGTAGGCCCTCCTGTCACAACAATACATTTGATCGAACGTAAGCTGACCAGAGTGTGCTCATGTATTGATAATGAAAGTGGATGAGGTTTTGTTTTGGATTTGCGTAGATGAAGAGCACACTTCAGGGTAAAATATATCAGACCGTGGCAGTGGCTTTACCAATGGTTAAATAAGAATGTCTGAGACGTTTCTGTGGAGTTACGGGGGGGAGGGTACGTGTCCCTCTATGCCCTACCCCCTCGGCGGATACCCGTGCTCTGGGTGACCCCCCCCCCTTGAAATCTGCAAATAATTTCTGACGAGTTTATATAGCTATGCAGCTGCAGTTTTATTTTCTTGTGGTGCCTCCTTGAAAAAATCTACGCACCCCCAGGAGCCATTTCATTTCATTTTAGCCCTAGTTACACCACTACTCGATCCTTGTTCATAGTCATTTCACGGCAGCGTAATGACCATAGCTGCAATTACTCTACACCATGCAGCGTACTTCTTAATTAATAACAGAGAAAAAAGGGAAACCGAGTGTTCAGAATCTTCCCGTTTTCATTGCAAATTTCAAGCTTCAAATTTCAAACTTCAAAATGTACTTACGCGGGCGATTTCAGAAGCTCTGACAATCCAAACAGAAGAAATAACAGTCCGCCGCCACATTCCCCCACTGCAATTAAAGCTCTTGGGCATTTCTAAAGTGAGGTTATGAAATTTTAAACAGGGGAAGGAAAATTATCATTTTTTTTTCGTCTATCCAAACCAATATCCAAACTGTGCGTCCGAGCTTCAGGGATGGTGTGGTGCTTTTTCCCACAGACCAAAGGAGCAACTGCACCAAAATTGTTATAGGAAGATCTCGCCTCTTTCTATTCGGAAAAAGAAATACTGATAAGACAGATATTGAAATGGGTAATTTGAGTCCTGCCCTCCCTCGTGCAAGCGTTTCTTATCAGTAACTGATTCGTGATGGATCCAACCGTTATTGGTCAGAATGACAGAGCTGGCTCTGTCATTTTGACCAGTAACCAATTTCGGAATTTGTTTAACGGCGCAGAAGGCAAGTGTTCGCACCAATAATTCAGGCCCTGTTGCTATACGTTTTCGTATATAAGCTGATAAGGTCCAAGCATGTGAATTGTGCTTGCAAATAATCGCAGGAAGTGGTGTAAACTCGTGGAAAGTTTTAAATTTTGTGACCTAACTCGTCAGTAACCCCGTCCATATATTCGGTAGTCCTACCTTTGAGTCTGCAATGACTCCGCAGACAACAGAGGAAAAACCATACGCCAAGCCTAAAGTAACAAACAGCAGGCTGATCTGAATGACTGTAAAATCAAGCTGTTAGAGGGGAGAAAATGAAAATGAAAATGAAAAGTTTGGCAAATGGTATAGGCCTCCGTTTTAACTCATAAGTTGGACTCTTTAATGAAGTGTATTATCAAATTCAGTATATGGCTGTGCCGAACATTCTGAATATTAATTAACATATTTCGCTTGAATATCAAATATTGCAACATTCATTTTAATACCCGATTACCCATTGGAATCGTATTCCCTTTATCTAACGACAGAAATCCCTCCTGTTTCCATAGTGACCTACCTACCTCCTCCAGATAAATCGCAAAAGTTGGCTCCAAGGACGAGAAAGTTGCAAAGCCGATGAAGTTAACAAATAGGGCTATCCAGACTGCGGGTATACTTAACAAACTAGACACGGAACCACACTCCTCAGTCTGGTTACCTGTTCGAAAGATACAGAAAATGGAAAGCGAAGCGACTTTTTCTGCTTATCAGCCTTGATGAGGCATGTACGGGAACAATACTCTGCAATAAAAGTCGTTGAATCTGTTGTACCTGCTTGTACGTAGTCATTTAAGTGGCGACAAGGATTAGCTGAAACTCTGCAGATGAACTAACCGCCAACTTTACTATGGCATTAAACGAAAATCTTTTTGAGAGATAGGCCTAATGGTGTGACAAATGCAGTTCAAGATGTTACATGATTCCCAAGCCGACAGTCATCATGGATTTCTCGAAGAGTGTAGTGACCAGAGATTGTTATCTGTGTACTTTGAGCTAATATGTAACCATTACGTGCTCTATAATATGTATACAACAAAACGGGAAAGTTAGTAGTTTTAACATTGTTACTAAGAGACGGAGAAGGTGATCCGGACCAATCTGACCTTGTTCCGGCATCAGGAAGAAATTGACGGCATTGATCGCTAACACAATCCCACCAAGAACGAAAAATGGAACTGGGAACCCTCCGGCCTGTCCAGGGTAAAAAAAAATGGAACACTGCAAAGGATATCTTATTTGAATAATCATCTGCAACAATCTGTCTTAGTCCCCGAAGCTCTATTTTTGGAAGTTCAATCTTGTAAAGAATTACTGTATTTGAACATTAAACTGCAACTTAAGTGGACGAGCCGAGGGTTGCGTTGGATGCAGTACTAAGGTACTGTAACTTTTGAACATGTCCAGCTGGTCACCCCAGTGAGTACACTAGCACGTTTGACTGTTTGTTAATATGGCACTCGTTACAAGCACGCCCAACTTTGATACTTTACTGTTGTTTTATGCAGAACATATATACATGTAGAATGCCTGTCAAGAAGGAGATTTGTGATTATTACATGTAGGAATAAGGTAAAGAATTGGTGCTGTTCGCAGAAGCAAACAGCTACTCGTGAGAAAGCTATGCACTAAACAACGTCTTCAGCTCAGACTAACGCAGAACACTTGAGAGAAGCGAGTTTGACGAACAGGTGGGTACTCTTCATTCACATTTTATGGTACAATGTATATGAAACACAATGCGTAAACACGGCAGCGCTTCCCGATCACGGGCAATTCATAATCATAATTTCTTTATTTCATGAATACTGATTTTTCTACACGTGGTACATAGTGACTGTAATTTTGTATTCTACCTTTTGTAAACAACAGGTCATTTAAAGATCTTCAAGAATGCTGAATTTAAACGTCGCTGTCGTTGCATTTTTGAAAATTTTGTCCACTTTTTTTTCTCGTACATTTTCATATACTTACATTGTACAAAAAGCCTCCAAGAGCCGGCCCTAGTGCATACGATACGCCATTTGTCATCTCGATCAAACTCTGTCAATTGTATTTTTAAAAAGAGAAAAGGAAAACAAGACCTTTGTGAAGATATTTTGGCTGTTTACAAGAAGGATTTTGATAATGAACTTAAGATATTGATGAAGTCGAAAACAAATTCGGCTTTTTTTTCTGGGGCCCTAGGGACTTTACAGCATGAAATTAAAGAACTGTATTACAGACGTTATTGCTTTGACAAGGTTTTTGAACTTGTCGTCATCCTGGCAGATATGACATTGGAGTGTCCTGATAAACGAATTCGATCACCATAGTAACACTGTTACTTGTCATTTGTAGCGGTAATTGTGGTGGCTGCGCATCGTGATAATTGTCTTTACAAAACCCAACACAAGGTTTCCAACACACCGGAATCATCTGTGAAGTCGTCAGTAGGATGAGCATCGCGTGCGGTTGGGTCAAACATTTTGATTTTCCCTTTGACAGATGTCACACCAAGACAACCTCAAACCCAAAAATTATGAACCAGTAGAGATCTGGACCCGTACAACACGCAAAAGTCATTGAAGCCACTGAGCGGCCATCTTACCGTCCCAAATGCAAAGGTTATCACCTTTATATTCGGCACAGTAAGATGGCTTTATCGCCATTGTTTATCAAATTCGTTCTTGGCATCACTGGCAAAAAAGGTAACAATCGACTTTGTATTCGGCACGGTAAACTGGCTACCAATGGCTGCATTCGGTAGGAAGGAATTGCGAGTCTAGATTTTTTTATATGACGTCTGTGTACTCTGTGCAAAAGGGCACAAATTCTCTCTCACAAAAAGAGTAATTCCCTGATAAACCTCCCCCAGTGAAATCGACTCTAAAGAGAGTGAAACCCACTCTAAAAGATTGAAAACCGCTTCAAAAGAGTGAAAGTTTCACTCTACCAAGGAGCCATAAAGAACAACTCGAAAACAAGTAGTCCTTTTGGTTCTTCTTTAGCTCCTCTTTTGGAGGGATTTTCACTTTTATATTGGTTTTCACTCTTTTGGGAGTGGATCTGTCATGGACCCACCCCCAATTTCCGAGAGTGAGGTTTCCCCTTTGACATTAGAGAGTGAGGCTACACCCAAAGTACACGATGCAATCTGGGAAGGGGTGAGCTGACTATCTGGGAGTATACGAAAATGGCTTTCGTACCACGGCTTTCCCGACATCATCTGGTAACGCAGCAGCCACAATGGCTGTTGTTGCTGTTAGGCTAGCTGCCGCTCCTATTCCCTCTAAGATCCGTATGGCGAAACTAAACACTGTGAATGTAGCTGTTGTAGGCATATCAATTATAAACCTGTAAACGCAATAAAATACGTATTAGTAAGAGTGTCTGATCTTACACTTTCCTTTTTTTAACGTGTATCATCAATCGTTGCAGTAGATCTTGAAGAGCTGGAAAGATTAATCATGCATTGTGAAAGCTTTCACAATGGTCAAACGTCAAAAGGTCGAAACGTCAAACGTTTATAACATTTGTTTGTGAATTTTAAGCCTCCGTACACTGTCAAAACCACATTGAGGGTCCAACACATTTTGTACGCACTTTTTCAACGCCATAAACCCATACAGTGTTTATTGAAATGTGTTTAAAGGAATGGGTTTAAAGGCTAAACGCTTTCAATGGTACATGTTCAGCTTTTTGAAATCGGCTTAGCATTTCAACACATTCCTGATCACTACCAATAAACAAGTGTCTAAAAATGTTTGTGAACTCTAAGCGCCTTTTCGGGGTGTATTCTTGCGCTAAAATTACATACCTAGTGTGGACTTGTGAACAAAAGATGTCCACACGATGCAGGAAAGGAAGACGTTTTGTGGACACTTCCACAGGACGTTTCCCCTTCTCTGAAAAAGAACTTTAGAGGCATTTTGGGGCAGGAGTCATCAGTCGTAAAAGGAAGAGGAATAGTCAAGGAAACTTATACATAAAGCCAGCTGAAAATCGTGTTCCCAGTTCAAGAAAAATGAGTATTTTCACTGATTTTTTTTTTACTGCATGAAAAGAAAGGAATGTCCACAGTAGGTATGTAACGTAAGTGCCTCCTTTATCACGTGTATTTTAATGAGCCATTTGGGTATCGATACAAGGGACGATAAAGCCAGAATCAAGAACGCCTGCCACCAAATGCCTGCCTGCAAATTGATGAACAGATCTCGCATGCACGTATTGCCATCATTTTATAAATTTAGGCTACACTACGGGAAAATGCAACTGGCTCTATATCACTGAGGACTATATCAGTGGGAACTAAAAATACCTACCCAAACAGAATATTGCATCCTCCGGTGATGAATGAGCCGGCGAGAAAAACGAAGCGAGCTCCTGCGATCGGTATCTAGAGAGACAAATGACAGCAAAGTTACTGAATTTATCTACACTGACCACCAAAAGTTCTGTTAACAGGTATCAGCAAACGACTGCATTTTTTCAAGAAGTTCGCCGTTGAACACATTACGGCCAGAGTAGAAACCGAAAAGGTGTGTCGTTTCTTTTGTTGCCCTGAGAAAAAGAGGTATAAAGGATTCCAGATGGTAACTTTTCTCTTCAACCGTGAATTGTGAAGAAATATTGGCCTGTGTTGATGATATACCACATTTTGCACCTGAGGTGTTTATCTCTGCATTAGACACACAAAGTTTGATGTACGATTCTGGTTACTGTCAGCTCAAGGTACAAAAGCGAATATAATTTAACTTCTACCTAAAAGAAAACAGGGAATGGCTCACAATTTTGCCTATGATAGGCGATCCCACGGCGGTAGAAATAGAATAAGAGGCGAATATGAGCCCGATGACCGTCTCCGACACCCCTCTCTCCTTAGCCTGTTAGGGTAAGAGAACAAACAAGTCTAGAGGTTTGTGATGGTTGTTAGTTGTGGTTGTTGGTCCTGGCTAAAGGCCGGTTCGAGCGTACCTGTCCGACGAAATTATGAGCATATTTACTCCTTTATTTTGAAAGCTACGAGAGTTTTTAACACTTGGTAAATGATTCGGTTGCATTGTATCAACGACCATCCACAGTTGGCCAGGCACCAGTTAGGGAACGTTTCAATACTAACGCGGCAAAACAAAGGTCTGTACGAGTCTCATTAAAATAAGCTTATAAGGATTTTGATGTTTAACTGGGAGCTGTACTCAGACACAGATTAGAGGTACACCATTGGTCTAGGTTTAAACCATTAGCTCATTTGATTGCAATTTATGCCCCTGAGCAAATAAGTAAACGCCTGGAGGGAGTGAGAGTGTCACAGCTGTGCCAAGTCTTGTACAAGTGTCTTTCATTCTTGACTATTTTATCCTCTTTCTTTGTTCTGTACCATTTGGTTTGGGCTGTTCTTTAGGCCATGATTTGCCTGTTTAGGGCCATAACTGCTGCCCTATACGATTCTTTGTTTCCTTTCATTACATCTACTTTGAGTTCAAATCGGAGGAATGTGTGGGCATGNCCTGAGTGCACACCACTATATAAGACTGGCAAATTTTACAGAGGTCAGCAGGGGGAGCGGGCTAGCCGGGCTAGCGGGCTAGCGGGCTAGCGGGCTAGCGGGCTAGCGGGCTAGCGGGCTAGCGGGCTAGCGGGCTAGCGGGCTAGCGGGCTAGCGGGCTAGCGGGCTAGCGGTTCTTTCCTCGCTTTGCACCAATGAGGCCCGGGTTCGAGTCTCGGCTTGGCCCAGGCTTAAGTGCATTTGGTTTCCAGTCCACACTTGCTCTCGCAGGTTTTCTCTGTGTACTCCGGTTTCCTCCTGCCTCTAAAACTGGACCTTCTTCCTAACTCTGTAACGTGATGCTGATTAATAAAGTGTATGAATAAACGTACAGTTGTTGGCGCGAATAGCCTGAGTTGCTGAAATCGCCATTAAAACAAAACAACAGCCGTCAGCAATAGTAAGTTTACTTATTTTATGTAATTGACTCGGTCTCTCTTATGGTTTATGAACCTTATGTGAAGAATCTGTACGTCAGAAGTTGCGATCACGCAGGACCATTAGTTTGTATAGTTTTGCTGTTATTTTTATGAATAACAGATGGCCCATGCAAGTCGGCACCTGAAATGTTACTACTGCAAACAGAGGGTATACATGGAGAACGACTGAGGCCAGAGGCCTGTACCTGATGTTTCAGAGATCTAAAGTGGCATCTACGGGGATAGAGACGTACATAGCCGGGGGCATTTGAAGCAAGATATGAGACGGAGAGAACCCCTCCCCCGCCTTTGTGTTGGTCATTGTTTGATCGGAATCTCAGGAATTCTTTACAGACTTCTAGGGGGAAGTGTTAGGTAACAATAGTCTAGAGTGTGTATAGGGATTGGACAGGTAAGGAGGGGTACCCCTCCGTCCCATATCTTGCCTGGTATAGCTTGGAGACTCGTAGACGCGGGCTATACCTAAAGAGGACGGTACCTTGAGGGAACATCTCGGGGTACCGGATAACTCTCATATGGAAACTTCTACTCAAAAATTGTGAAATTGTGATATTGTGTGTGTGTGTCTTCGTTTGTTTGTTTGTTTGTTTGTTTGTTTGTTTGTTTGTTTGNCTTGAGTGCACACCACTATATAAGACTGGCAAATTTTACAGAGGTCAGCAGGGGGAGCGGGCTAGCGTAGCGGTTCTTTCCTCGCTTTGCACCAATGAAGCCCGGGTTCGAGTCCCGGCTTGGCCCAGGCTTAAGTGCATTTGGTTTCCAGTCCATACTCACTCTCGCAGGTTTTCCCCGGGTACTCCGGTTTCCTCCTGCCTCTAAAACTGGACCTTCTTCCTAACTCTGTAACGTGATGCTGATTAATAAAGTGTATGAATAAACGTACAGTTGTTGGCGCGAATAGTCTGAGTTGCTGAAAGCGCCATTAAAACAAAACAACAGACGTCAGCAATCGTAAGTTTACTTATTTTATGTAATTGACTCGGTCTCTCTTATGGTTTATGAACCTTACGTGAAGAATCTGTGCGTCAGAAGTTGCGATCACGCAGGACCATTAGTTTGTATAGTTTTGCTGTTATTTTTATGAATAACAGATGGCCCATGCAAGTCGGCACCTGAAATGTTACTACTGCAAACAGAGGGTATACATGGAGAACGACTGAGGCCAGAGGCCTGTACCTGATGTTTCAGAGATCTAGAGTGGCATCTACGGGGATAGAGACGTACATAGCCGGGGGCATTTGAAGCAAGATATGGGACGGAGAGAACCCCTCCCCCGCCTCTGTGTTGGTCATTGTTTGATCGGAATCTCAGGAATTCTTTACAGACTTCTAGGGGGAAGTGTTAGGTAACAATAGTCTAGAGTGAGTATAGGGATTGGACAGGTAAGGAGGGGTACCCCTCCGTCCCATATCTTGCCTGGTATAGCTTGGAGACTCGTAGACGCGGGCTATACCTAAAGAGGACGGTACCTTGAGGGAACATCTCGGGGTACCGAGTTTCAAGAAGCCCGGATAACTCTCATATGGAAACTTCTACTCCAAAATTGTGAAATTGTGATATTGTGTGTGTGTGTGTCTTCGTTTGTTTGTTTGTTTCTTTCTTTCTTTTTTTTTCTTTTTTTTTCTTTTTTTTTTTGATGTGATAATTATATTGGAGTGATTTTGAAAGATTCCAAGATTATTACATATACTGTTGCCACTAGCAAGATTGGTGTATTGGATTTATATTGAAGATTTATTTTTTCTAATTGAAATAACATTAGGCAAACGGTTGCTTAAAGTACAGATATGCTCCTAAATGGCTGAGGAAAATTGAATTGAAATTCACTAAGATTTTTTGATTCATCGATAAAGGAAGCTTGATTATTTTCCTGTGGGTATTATATTATTTTGGGACAAAGTTTTCGTAGACTATTATTTAACATATTGTAAATAAAATTCTGTAAATAGCTCATATCAAAGAGTGGAACCCGGATTTAAATCTTGTGTTTTGTACACCCCAGTTAGGCGACCGTGACAGGGAGCCACACTTCAATTATAGTGGTTTTTTATCACCTTTCACCTCTGCCAAAAATTCTGTCATCCATAAAGTGGATTGAGTTCTGAGTCCCTACTTATACCTTAATCTGCGGGTTTTCAATGAAAATGTTCTTCTGGGGTTTTCTTCCAACCTGTAAAACTGTAATTGCTTCTCATTGTCCCTCTCTACCGGTTTCGAGCTACATTGCCTATGAAAATTTGGAATTTTTTTTACTAATTAAGGAATTGCTCAAAATTAATGAAGACAAGTGTCCCTTATATGTAAAAACAATGAGTTTTTAACAGGTTTATTTATAGCAAGGTGTGGTAGTTGCGTTTACCTCGATGGGATAAAAGACTGCAATGATGGAGTACGCCATGATGTTTGTCAGCGAGGCCAATATGGCGCTGACAACAGTGGCCTTCTTGTGGTAGGTGGACCCACTTCCGGCCGGCCGCTCGTCGCTGTCGTCGCTTATTGGATCATCCTGAATGGCAAACGATGTGACCTTCTCAGGAATTGACACTTTGCCATTCTTGCTGTCTTGATTTTTCCGCACAGTGCTTGGATCCTCCAGTTTCTCGAGCTCCATCGTCTATGATTACAATTGAAACATACAGTTTCACCTGTATCTTTCATATATACATTATACAGGGTGTCCCGGAAAAAACCAAACCCCGAGGAAAGGGGTTAATATGCCCAAACCATAAGATATAATTATAATGTATAAGGATCTCCGAAAAGTAGAAGCAGTGTTCTTTCTAATGAAACCTTGATGGTATCCCTCTTGTCTTGCATGACTGAACGCCATTGTCTTGAAAATGGGGCATCCGAACTCAGTTGTAACACTTTGGATAAACCAGTGAATGAGGTTGTCCTCTGTCATGCTTGTCCTAGTTGACAGTGACGACAAAAGGTCGTGATAATGAGCGAAGATTGCCTTTTGTCACTTTCAAGTTAATGCAATAATCTGGTTTAAATGTGTTGAATTGCCCCGAGGTAGACCAGTGCAGTGTTGAAAAGTGTTCGAAGCAGGACAGCAAGTCTGCAACATGGTCATGACGAAATTTCTTGAAAACAAGAGCTTTCAAGCCCCCCAAGCTGCATTTAGGCCGGGAAGCCTTTCCTGATAGGGATCTACCGGCAAAGCCGACCATCTGGGAAAATGCGCACAAATACCAAGAACATGGGACAAGCCTTAATTTGAATAAAAGGTCATTCGGGAAGGAGGCGCACAGTGCGAACTCCTGAAAACGTTCGACAGCAACTTGTCGAACAGCCAAGGGGAACCAGTTGCAGCAGTCGTTTAACCGCATAACGCAGTTAGACCTGCAGTTCAATCCATACCGAATGCACATCCGCCACCAACTTTTGCGTGGAGACCTGAAGAGGAGACGGGGGTTTGCTCAATGGCTCCTGGAACGTATCCAAAGTGTTACAACTGAGTTCGGATGCCCCATTTTCAAAGGCAAGGGTCTTCAGTCATGCATGACAGGAGGGATACCATCAAGGTATCATTAGAAAGAATACTGCTTGTACTTTTCGGAGATCCTGATACATTATAATCATATCTTATGGTTTGGGCATATTAACCCCCTTCCTCGGGGTTTGTTTTTATCTGGGACACCCTGTACATCAAGGTACACATTAAGGTATATTAGTCTGACAAGATCTTGCCTTCAACACAACACTCTGAAGAAACTAGGGGTCCTTCGTTTGTTTCCGTAATGTTATGACCTACTCAGTCCCGCGTGGCGTAAGCACATGACACATATTGTCAGCTATCAATACCTAATGTTTTTAACTACAATTTTCAACTACTGCAAGACTGGTTTGTAATCGAGCGTCGTTTTTATACCTGGAAGTTGTTTCTTTTGGGCAAAGCCAGATATTTCTGTAGTAAAGGCTCTTTTTGTGAAGGACAACTAAATGGCATTTTTATGACGATCATGAAGTCAGTTCTTACCCAGGTGTAATTTTTTTTCGAATAATGATAATAATGTGTTTCTTTCAATTCGGTATTTTATTCCATGTTCCCTGACGTCAAGAGTTTGTAATCTTTTGATTTTATTGTAGTTTTAACACTGAGTCCTCAATGTATCTGAATATCTCTTCAAAGATTTGTGTAAAAGTAACAACTGTACGTTTGTTTCAAAGCCTCAAATACGGAAAAGCCATATGTTCTGTTCTAAGTAGACACGGACTCTCCTGTCTTCATTTCACTTTGTAAATCCATGTTAAATCTTGCACAGAGGATGGAATAAAAAGGTTTCCAGTGACATGGAAGGAAATTTATGACGTCATCAGACTTTAAATCCATAGCAGCCGATCACCCCGTATTTGCGGACACGTGTGCGTTATATTCCATCATTTTGTTTGTTTATCGTTTTTAAAGTTTTACATTTTTAAATTAATTTAATATCTCCTCTAAAGATATGAAATTATTTCCGATGATGTTTGTAATTGTCTATACTTAATTTTATTTTTAATGTCTTTTTATACTTTTAGTAATGTAAACAGGGACCTATGGCAGAACAGTTTTTATAAACTGAAAGGACTCCCGAGTACGAAAAATAAAAAAATAAATAATTGTTTTGTTTCGTTCGGAGCAGAGCTGTTTGACCGTGTCTCACAGATGATATTATAGGCATAATATATGATCATCCCGTTCCCAGAAAAAAAAACTCGTCTTAGGTAGTCAACGCATTGTCAGCTGTTTTGTACGATACCTGACCCTACCTATACTCCTGCCAGCTACAACTAGTAACATCCCACAATTACAATAGAAAAAAATTAATAGCGTGAACTTAGTGATTTTAAGTTTCGTTTTAGATCAGCGGCATATATACCGGGTCCGGTTTGCTCTCCTAATCATTGTAGAAGTATGGTTATACATTGAAATATTATGATAATCATCGGTCTATGCTTCCACGCTTAACAATTTTTGTGATCGGGTATCTTGTCCGTTATCAAAAATTAAAAATCGGGATATGTTAATTCCTCACTTTCTTTGTGCATTGTACCATGTCGATGTAATAACGCGGTATAAGTCAACGACATTACAGTATCCGATAATTTACTCGCAGGAGGCCCTGAACCAGTTGAATTAGAATATGTTTGCATTAATTCATGAATTCAAAGCAAAGCAATGGCCGTAAATTTGTGTTATTAAATATGGGAAGAGTAACCCCGTTATAAAGGCTAATGTTCGCATAATAGTAGTATAAGGGCTACCGTTCGCATAATAGTAGTATAGGTAGACGTTCTGGTACGCTTAGACTTTTTCTGAGGGAAAGATTGCACAACGAATAGAAATGTGTGAATGTGGAAGAAGTGCCTTTCCCTGAGCCGATCTTCATCCATACCTTCGTTGACGAACTTGTTATATTTTTCACTCCGCTATTCTGTATTGGATTTGTCATTGTGTCGAAGATTACGCGCAGCAGCACTTTATCACGCAGAAAGTTCCTTTCTCCAGAGGTTGTTCATTGTCTTCACAGATAGTATTCATTCAATGATAAAAATATTCTTTCATTTCTAAAAGGGTTCCTCGGCCAGTTAAAGTGGTAATGTGCTTCGTAATACTACATTTCGTTACAGTTTGTGTGCTAAACATATGGAGATCCTATGCAAAAGGTTTTTTCCTATAATACAAATGGTTCTGTCCGTAAAATTCTATCAAACGTTGGTAGATTAAGGGGTTGCCGTCCTGTTCTGTAGAAGGGTTCTGAACAGTGTCGGATGATGAAAATATTTGTTCTCGTTCTCCGCCACAGTAGGAGAGTGTTGAAATTAAATACGAAACGTGAACACCTCAATTGGGAAATTCATCAATGAATGATCTATGTTCCACAGTTTTTTTTTCCAAAAGAAATTGGGGATGAGAGGGGGATTTGTGGGAGGGATGACTTGTCCAGCCATGGGCCGACATCATGTGACACTATATAGGGAGAGATGTTCATGAAATAGATGTACGTCCGTATAGGTAATATGTATTACATTTATGCAGAATTTTACATCAGAAGACATATGGCCTTTTATTATTTCCCTTTTATATTTATGTTGAATACGTTTCAGTCGTTAGGAAGTCCAAAACATTTCTCATAATCCCATTTTTTGTGCTCACTATTAAAAAAAAATGGGTGGATAATTGAATAGTCCACCTCTCCCTACCTCGAAAAGTGGGGGATATATATACCCCCCTGGGATTTACGCCCATGGCGCGGCGTTGTCTATAGGTACACAAAGTGTTTTCTCATTTCGTCCAGTTCAACAGTTCGTAAATATGATATTTACTTCATTGGAAATACACTACAGTCGTAAAATTATAGTTGTAGCTTTACGAAAAAAGGCAACGGATTACTGACCTGTCATCAGATGTATCTTCGTGAAAACTGTTAAATGGCCTACGGGCCACTCTCAGCTGTACTAAAAAGCAAGGCTTCGCGCTGGCTCCCGATTACTCCGTTGGAGTGTGAAAGGGAACCAGTCTCAACCATTCAACCAATAATAATATCGAACCATGAAAATCTTACCACATTTGCTATTTTTGGAGCGATAAAGGTGGAAATAGGTAATGTCCCCACTTTCGCTACCAATGGCCACTCGACAGTTCAATACATAGAGGCTTGTGATAGGACCCGACATTAGACCAACGGTTACCATATCATGAAGGAGTGATCGTTTTTCAACTCAGCGGAAGTGCCGTGTGAACTAAAGCTAATGTATTCTAGGGGAGCCTGTAGCAAGTCTAGTGGAGGGCACTACTTTGCAACAATTCGTTTTCATGTACAATCTTGGGTTGTCGCTCTGCATCTTAACAGAAATACAAAATGACGCTGCAAATCTGCTTTGTCTAAGTATGGTGATATTCCCACACTACGCAGTGCATGCCTTTGCTTCACATTATAAAGTTTCATGGTCGTCACAATGCATGCCTGCCTCACAGTTATAACACGGCGCACACATGCTTCAGCATCGTAGTTGTCGGGACATACACTCGATATTTCACCTATTTTCTGGGGACCAAAAAACTTTACGGGGACAAAGAAAATGTCCCTAAAACTCGGTCCAAATTTGCCGAACAAAAAAAAAACCCTTAACGCAAGAATAAGTCCTCTCAAAGGCACCTTCCATATCTACGAAATTGACTCCGTTAACACAACACACGTGTGCATTGGGTTCGGCCGTCAAAATCGTCCTGGGAGCGATTGTGACGGATACACGGCAACGCTTGGCGCAAGTGTTGATGTGTATATGGAAAGGCGTCTTAACGCGGTAAATACTTTCTCATGTATGCGTCTTGTCTGCTTGTTACACTTATCCATAAGTTGATACTTCTGTTCTACCAGTTTCGTATTGTTGGGGGAGCTAGATTTTGCAGTCTGTTGCTGATGAGCTTTTTTTTAATCGGTGCGTTTATTGCTATTTTGTTGTGAATAGGCCACTTTCCAGACATGACTATGTCCACCGAGGCCATATCTCATTGTGCATTATACCAAATTCGGTGTTCTCGTGCGCCACGCGTGATATCACATGCTCTATGATATGTTGACTTGTCCTAATTTATGTTACATTAAAAATTGGGTTAGTGTGAATGCGATCCATGTAAAAAAAAGCCTTATGTTAAAAGTCATGCTGATTTCGATCAACTTCCCCAAACCCCATTGCTGTTAATGTCACCCACATGTGTAGTGTGAAACGCACATGTGCAACGACAATGAGTAATATGAAGTTCCGGTCACGACCTCAGACCTGGCACGATGAGAATTCATGTAAATGGGTGTGAATTATGACCGCAGGTGGCGTATAGTTGGAAAAAGTGTAAAAAAAGATCGTCAACAATTGACATTTAGCAGACTTGAAAAAGACTGACGTCAAACGCCACACAACCTTGTATCGCTATAGTGTGAAACAGGCTCAAAGAGAACGTCAGGTGGAGTTTCAATTCTATTTAATACCTCGACATTTTGCTATTTTCCAGGTAATCCTCATGCACTTGGAAATTACATGTACCACATGCAAGCGTCCGTAGCTTTATGAAATACACAGCTATGTTGAACCAGGGCAAGCCCGTTTTCAATAATGCTAATAAAGAAATCATACTTTTCTAAATTTTTATTTCCACGAGGTTGGGGAATATTCCACACTAGAGCAAAAAACAAGCAAAAATTCCTGGCGATAAAATAACATTAATATCAAAATTTTGAAAACCGACATTTTCAGAACATTTTCTTTTTGTAATCAGGACAAGAGCTGTCTCTGGGTTAATAACAACAGTTGCCCCTAATAATGAACGCTTGTCCATACAACACAAAATCACGCTGACACAAAGCTGGAAAATAGTTAACTTAACCGAAGAAATTTGAGGAGCGAGTTCTCGGAGTGGGTCACTGTTCTACTATATTAAAAGGGCAGGATAATTATGACAACGATGATGGCTACGACCACGACGACGATGATGAACCTAATTGTAAGCAAAGCTTATCTGTTAGTTAGAAATATTGTCAATAAAGTGAATAAGTGAAAGTGCCTTAGCTGTGATGGAAATCACGGAAAATATTTATGTTCTACCAAATTTTTGAACCAAACACTTGGAAAACATTTCTGAGAAATGGTTGCTCGTGCGCATTGCCATGCACTTACACATTATTATTTAGCAGAGAAGCAGAAAAGTGAAACAAACTGTACAAATCAGTGCAGCTTTGAGATTAAGTGCCTAGGATGACGTCCCTGTTTTGCCCATAAATATGGAAATTTCCTTTAAAGCCAAAAAGGTAAAAAAGGAAAATACCTGTTAAGCCCGTGAAACAAAACTTAAAAATAGGATTAAACGAAAATCAAAGTTGCAAATTACAGGTAGTAAAACAAATTCACTGCTTGACGTCTTTAATTAACTTTGTAAATTCTGCCCTGAATTGCACGGGCAGATCAGATCATTTTCCCATCAAAAATAATGAAAGAATAAAAACAGAAGAAAGGAGGGGGAGGGAGAAGAAAAAAGAAGGGGCAAGTTGCCTGAAATTTTCCCCCATTGTACCTAGAATCCAATCCAATCCAAGAATCCTTTAAGCGGGCCCCGGACCCCACGCTGTAAACTAGGCTTCGTGCTTCGTATAGAGAGAACATTTGTTTTTACAAAACTATCTTAGATAACAGTTTAATTTCTTCTTAATCACTCATTGCCGTCTGGAAAGGCGTCCTGACACCCAGGTTCCGCACAGTGACTTTATATTTACTAGACATTGTTCTATCCAGTTTTGACTAAATAGAGATCATTTTTTGGCCGGTTCACAAAAACCTAGCGATCTTGGCGTCACAAAAAAGGGGCAGCATACGTATATTACAGCGGGATATTTAGCCCGGGCGAACTGAAGATGGCTGCCCAGTGACATAATTGAGTATCATTATCTCTGAATTGACTTTTATCGTTTTTACTTTGTGACTAATATGAATTTCAGACCTTCCAATTTAATTTCTGAAAGTGTAACTTCAAACGGCCAATATCCCTCGCCTTTATTTTGGATTTCATCAGCGACGTCTACTGCGAATGAAATTAATACAGATGCAAAAACCACTAGTTTTTGAGGTGGAAAATAGCATATTTCTCCAGTTTTTCCGAGCCTCCCACCAAAAAAAACTATGTTTGGAAAAACAAAATAAGGCATGGAATGAAACTGATATAGGAAAAAAGTCCTGTTATTTAAAGAGAAGATTTTATTTTACGTGTTTTCAACATGTAGACCTGCAGCGCCCTCCTTACGTGTACATGCACGTACCGAAAAGGAAAAAAAATCCTTCTTTTCAGTCATCAAATCCCCACGACGCGATCAGCCTACCAAGCCGAGGTTACAGTTGCTGCACAAAGATGCGCCGTTAGTCGATCAAACTCCTTCTGTGTCCTTCCTCTATAGTTGCAATTACTTTAATTATTAAATTGATGTTCCGTTGAATCCATACTGCTAATTTGTATATAGCTAAATGACTCAATCAGTTCTTTGAATAAATGCCACAGACCAGTTGGTGAATGGCTGTCATGAATAATTTCTTTCCTTTTTATAAGTTGACATGTGTGTTCCAACTACTGGTGGCAAACAATTTATTATAGGACCTCCCACACAAGAAAATATCGCTTCCTTCGTCTGCCAGTATACTTTGCAAGCTGCCAGCACACTGAAGGAATCCACACAGCCTACGGCAGGGAGACATACGTGAGCAAAAATCACTCAGTTGGAACATGGAGCTATTAAACACAAGGAGTAGGAGATGCAGAGATCAAAAGGGTGAATGATGGCCAGCGCCAGCACTGCACGTGCTGGAAGGACAAAACAAACTCCGCACCGCTTGCAGGCTATGAGGAATGTTGCAGTTGCATTTGGAAAGGATTGAGGATATCGCGCATGCGTGTCCGTCACACTTCCGCGTGTTCAACATGGCTGCCTTGAGACGGAAACCATCGTCATCGGAGACTTAAATTTCGATAATTTTAGTTACTGTTCTGCTGTTCCAATGACAATTAAAGTATGATATGGTTACGTCTTTAAATCCCCAAAACGTCTCTCTTAACAACAAACAGAATTACTAACTAATACAAATTCTCCAAAAAATACGCACAAGAAAACTGAGAGAATGTAGCTGATCCAGAGTGAAATTAAAAACAAAAAAAACATGGGAAGATTCGTTGTCCTTTTTGTCATTGTCAATCACTGTCTCGGCATAAAACCTCACCACGTTGTCAAATGCATTCCTGCGGCATGTTTCCACCTTCTTGTAACCGTATAGAAACTTCTAGGATTGCGACTTATGATATAAATATCGCAGATGCCATTTTTGGATATTTTTTCTATTACCGGAAACGCAAAATGTCATAACTGACTTTAAAAACGCCTGACCTTTGCCAAAAAACCACCGCCGATTCGGAATTGTCTAGCACATCGGCGGGGATCGCTCGCTGACACCTGACGACTACAGAAGAGAACTACGCATCTTCTTCGTGCATCTTTTCCACCTTTTATTTACTCAAGTATGCCGCAGCGAAACACGACGAGTATGTGGGTTACCAGCTACCTGGCGGTGGTGTACAAAGAATGCCTAGGGTCTTCAACACCGGGGCTAGTAACCGCACTTTGCCTATGGAATCTACCAGAGCAGTTAATCGGGTTACGGTCTGTAGGGACCTCGATATAACTCCTTGTGTTTGATAGTTCCATGGTTAGAATGTGTTCTATTTGCAACTTCGCAGCACGAGTGTACACCTATGGAATTCCATATCTGCCGTCGTGCGTCGTCCGTCGCCCGTCGCCCGTCGTCCGTCGTGCGTCGCCCGTCGCCCGTCGTGCGTCGCCCGTGGTTTTTTGTCAC